GCCTCTTAATCTCAAATAAACTGCTCAGAAAAACCTGGAAGTAGTGCTATGTCTCAAGTGATAGTGCACTAGCCTTGATCACATTGAGGCTCAGGGACAGCACTCAGGCCTTAAGTTTAAGCCCCAGAACTGGAAAAAAGAAAAAGTTAATTTGTCTGGTTGACTAACATCTGTTCGGTAGTAATATACTGTGAAAATAAATCAAATCTTTATTTTAAAACCTGTCGCAGTATTTATTTTAGAAATTGTGTTATATACCAGGTATCCATGGCTTACACCTATAATCCTAGCTACTCAGCAGACAGAGCTAAGGATCTCAGTTCCAAGCCAGCCCAGGCAGCAAAGTCCATGAGACTCTAATCTCCAAAATACTACCAGAAAAAAAGCCAGAAGTGTAGCTGTGGCTTAAGTGGTAGAGTACTGGATTTGAAGAGAAGCTCAAGGACAGCACCTAGGCCTTGTTCAAGCTCCAGGACTGGGAAAAATAAAGAGAGGGATGGAGGAAGAGAAAGAGAAAAGGAAGGAAGGAGAGAGAAAAGAAAGAAAAAAAAGAAAGGAAAGAGAGAGAAGAAAGAAAGGAAGGAAGGAAGGAGAAAGAAAAAGGGAAAATCTTGCAAACTAGAGAGCAAAATCAGCTTTCCTAGTCCTAAGGCAATCAGGAGCAACTATTTTACTTTGTATTTAGATATTAGATAATTAAAACTTGTAATGCATCTTACTGCAGTTACAATAAGTATGTGGATTTTCTACAAGTCTCAGTATTGTCAGATTATGTAATATACATATATCAGTTTCCACAGCTACATGGGTTGGGCTTTATTATTGTTTCTCAAATGTGTATGTGCTTTAAGAATCTCCAGAACACCAGAATCACATTCTGATTCAGAGATCTGGACTGTGAAGGGGTTGGATGGTCAAGCTTAGATTTTGTGTTTCTAACGAACTAGGAGGTTAGATACGACTGGTTCCCCAGACACCATGACTAAAGGTTATACTATAAGTGGTAAATACCATCAAATATAACCCTGCCCTCTGATTCTAGAAGTGGCTTCAACAATGATTGCTTAACTCAATCCTCAGCAGACATTTTTCTATAAAAGATCAGACTGTACTTTGTTTGTAGTTGTAAGTCTATATTTCAAATTTTTGTTTGCTTGCTTATTTTTACAACTTAAAAAAATAAACCTTTCTAGCTCTGAGCAAGAAGCTGAAGATACTGAGCACCAGTAGTTTATTATACCTATAATCCTAGGATCGAGGTTTAAAGCCAGCGTGGGCAGAAAAGTTTATATGTGAAACTTATTTCCAATTAACAACCAAAAAAAAACCAAAAGTGGAGCTGTGGCTCAAGTGGTTGGGTACTAACTTTAAGCAAAAAAAAAAAAAAAGCTCAGGGACAGTGCTTAGGCCCCCCCCCCTTTTTTTTTTTTTGTTGGTCATGGGGCCTGAACTGGTTTTCTGGTGGGTTATTGGAGGTAAGAGTCTCATGGAGTTTCTTGCCCGGGCTGGCTTTGAACTGTGATCCTCATATCTCAGCCTCCTGAGTAGCTAGGATTACAGGCATGAGCCACTGGTGCCCGGCTTCCAGGTCACTTTTAAGCCCCAAGACAAGGAAAAAGAAATATGAAGACAAACCTTCTTAGCTTATCCCCTTGCCTGGGATTGTTACATATTTTGGGTTGGTTGGTTGGTTGGTTTGTTTGTTTTTGCCGGTCCTGGGGCTTGAACTCAAGCCCTGAGCACTGTCCCTGAACTTCTTTTGCTCAAGGCTAGCATTCTACCACTTGAGCCACAGCACCCCTTCCAGCTTTTTCTGTTCATGTGGTACTGAGGAATTGAACCCAGGGTTTCATGTGTGCTAGGCAATCACTCTACCACTAAGCCACATGGCCAGCCACATACCTTGTTTTGTCATGACTTTTTTTTTTTTTTTTTTTTGGTGTGGAAGCTTGAACTCAGGGACTGCATTCTGTCCCTTAGCTTCTTTATTCAAGGGAGGTGCTCTGCCACTTAAGCCATACCTCCATGTCTTTTTTATAGTATTTTTATTGTTGGATGGGCATTTATAATGTTTCATTCATAGACCTAAAAGGAGACCTGTCAGTTTATAAAAGAAATATATAAAAATCTTTTAACATAGAGACATCATATACTAGAGACAGTGGCATCCTCTAAGCATCACAGTTGGCAGTGTCTTCTATGGAGGTGATGCAGGGAGACCCACCAAGCTTCCATTTTTCCATCCAGATACAGTTGCACTCCAGATGATATGGAACAGTACAGTGATACCAAAGGTATAGAAATCATCCTAAAGTTTTTTATTTGTGTCTGTTTTTGTTTTTTTTTTTAGAAAACCAGAAAATATAGCAAAAATTTAATAGAATAAAACTTTTAAAAATGGGCTCTATATCTGGTTTTTTGATCGTTAATTAGACATAATCTCAGGGATAACTGGGCATTGGTCGCTCATGCCTATAATCCTAGCTACTCAGGAGGCTGAGATTTGAGGGTCACAGTTCAAAGCCAGGCTGGGCAGGAAACTCTCTGAGACCTTTATCTCCAATAAACTACTCAAAAAATCAGAAAGGGGTACTGTGGAAAGTGGGTAGAGCACTCACTTTGAGCAAAAGACAGGGACAGTGTTCAGGTCCAGAGTTCAAGCCCCAGGATTGGCATAAAAAAGAATCTCATGGACTACTGCCCAGACTGGCTTTGAATCAAAATCATCATATTTCAGTCTCCTGAGTAGCTAAGATTGCAGGCATGAGCAATCAGTATCTAGCTTGTCTTGACTTTTGAGGTAATGTTGGAGAATCTTAAGAATTCTAGTCCCAGTGAACTTAAATCTATGTTTGTTGGTAGACAAGAAGATAAAATTACTTGATAGAAATGAAAAAATACTGCCATTTTGATTACCACTCATACAGAATGCAAACTTCTAAAACGTATTCATGTTTATGCCATGAAGAATGCCTTGGCAGAACTTTAAGATGTATTTGGCCTTTTTTTTTTTTTTTTTGGGTCGGTCGTGGGGGCTTGAACTCTGGACTTGGGCGCTGTCCCTCAGCTCTTCAGCTCAAGGCGAGTGCTCTACCACTTGAGCCACAGTGCCACTTCTGGTTTTCTAGTGGTTTTTTTGGAGATAAGAGTCTCATGGACCTTCATGCCCAGGCTGGCTTTGAACCCATCCTCAGATCTCAGCCTCCTGAGTAGCTAGAATTACAGGCATGAGCCACCGGCGCCCAGCTGTATTTGGCTTTTTTAGTTTAATCAGATAAGCCTGCACTAACTATGAATCAGCACAATATCTAAGCGTGGTTAAAATTTGGCCACACTTGTGTCTGAATTCACACCTGCTGCTTATTAACTAAGTAACTTCAGTCAAGTTCCTTAATTTTTCTGAGATAATAGTACCTCTGCTACACAAAAGTATTAATATTGCACAATGCATGTTACTTAGAAAACAACACTGGTGACTATATAGTATTATAATACTATATTACTATGAGTATGACTGAATTCTATGAAAGAATCTTCATGACTAATTGTTAGATTGTCCTTCAGAATGATCCTAGAACGTGTCTTTCAAAGGCATCAATGTCATTCTTAATGTTTCTGCAAACACTATAGGAAATCATGAATCTACCACCCTTAAAGACAACATATTTAACTTTTGCAAACCCACAAAAGTTTAAGTAGTGAATGATTCCTCACATTATTTCACATATTTTTAAAAATAGGGTTTCTTTGTACCAAATAGAGATTATACAGTAGGATATCTTCCCAATTTACTCTCATCATTTATTTTGAGAATATTGAAAACAGCTTTACTTCAGTGACTTGTTTATAGTATTTTAATTCCACGGTTTCACAGATAATTAATAATACAAGTGAAAATTTTTGTTTGCCCTGCCAGGACATCCAAGTTTTAGTGTTTGTTTTTTTTTTTTGGTCCGGTCATGGGGCCTGAACTCTGGGCCTAGGCGCTGTCCCTGCGCTCTTCAGCTCAATGCTAACACTCTACCACTTGAGCCACAGTGCCACTTCCGGCTTTTTTATTTTTTCTGCTTATGTGGTGCTGAGGAATCGAACTCAGGGCCTCATGCATGCAAGACAAGCACTCTACCACTGAGCCACCTTCCCAGCCCCAAAGTTTTAGTGTTAAAAGTAACCATGTCAACATTGTTTTTCTTGTTTAAGAATTATAGGGTGGTCACAAGTATACATAAACATATTGAAATATGATTAATTTAGGGGAGAACTCAAGTCGTATAATTCCTTAGAGGGAAAATCATAGTTCAACAAAATAATAACCAGGAAAGCAGTGTTTGAAAGGGAAGAGGTGAGACCAAGAGGATGAGAAGTAGATAAATGAAGAAAAGGAGGGAGAATGCAGCCCAAAATTCAATGTATATCCTTCAACATTTAAGAAAAGTGAGAGTTGTGTTGGGGCAAGGGATTGGTGAGACTGTTTAAAGGGGTGATATTGATCAATGCTCACTGTGTTCATGAACTGCTCTGTTGAATGGCAACCTACTTGTACAACTACTTATTTCAAGATAATAAAAAATATTAAAAAATTAAGGGGTGGATGTGATAATACGTGCCTGTAATACTAGTATTCAGGTGGCTATGACAGGGTGATTACAAATTCAAGGCTAGTTTGTGTTTATCAAAAAAAGTTACAGAAATTATAAAAAAATATAACTTTAAGGCAATGAATAACTGTAAATCTTTATTTGGAGGATGTCAGAATTCTTAAGAATTTCTATTTAAACCCTAAGAACTATTATTTTTGTTTTTATAAAGGAATTTAGTATTAAAGATGAATTGTTAATTTTAACAGTCAGAAGCTACTACTGTACCATTTATCATTTAAAATAGAGTATGTATATGTTTATATTCTATTTAATACCAATACTAATGTTTCAATTTTTAAATGTGTGGTATGAAAAGAAATAGTCTCTGGTTGCAAGCTTTTGAGAAAAAAACTCTCTTAGCTTTTAGTAAAACATGGAGGAGACTTGTTTGCTGAGAATGAAAATAAAGATACTCCTTGTGACTGTGCGGAGAAGCAACACCACAAAGATCTGGCCCTCAATCTGGAATCTCAGATGGTATTTTCACGGGACCCTGACGCTGAAGAAATAGAAGCGGAATATGCTGCATTAGACAAACGAGAGGTGAGGTAACTTTCAAAAATAATTAGATAGATGTAATAATTTTGTATTTTACATTAAATTTTATGTATTCTTAAAACTCAGTTTGTATGGTCATCTTATCCATATACTTAATATCTTGTTATTTTCATAGCAATAAGTATAAAAATACATCTAGAAAACTTGAGAGTAAGAAGGGCATTGATGGCTCACACCTGTAATCCTAGCTACTCAGAAGGTTGAGATCTTAGGATCGCAGTTCAAAGCCAGTCTGGGCAGGAAAGTCCATGAGACTCTTATCTCCAATTAACCACCAGAAAGCTGGAACTTAACGCGGTGGCTCAAGTGGTAGAGTATTCTCCTTGAGCTGAAGAGCTCAGGGACAGCATCCAGGCCCAGAGTTCAGGCCCAATGACTGACAAAATGAAAAAAGAAAAAGAAGACCTGAGGGTAGCGTATTTTCTGTAACATGTGAATGTATTTATAGTTTTAACACATATAGTGATACAAATATGTGATATAACTGCTCTTCTTCCTGTTCATCCTTTTCTCCATATCTTTTAGGTTGTTGTTATAATAAACATGTTTTTTGTAATACTCATCTAAAACAAAAAAGTAACTGAAAAACCACCTCTGACCATTCATTTTCCATCTTTGTGTCCCCTTTATTATAGCCCCATATCTTTATAGAAGAGAAATCAAACAAGCATTATCAGTACCTGCCAATTCTTCACCTCTTCATTCTTAGTCATTACCTTATCACTTCCTTTCTACTAAGATGAAACTACACTTGGTATGTGCTTAAATGTTGCCAAATTCAGTAGGTCTACTTCTCTCTTCATCTTAACTTGAATTCTCAGCAGTACTTGGCACACTTGACCACTCTCTTCCTGGGGAAACATTTTCCCTTGGCTTCACTTATGGTATTCTCTTTTGCCATCCCTGTCTCAATAAACATTTGTTCTATCCACTGAGTTGCTCAAGCATAAATACAGATGACATCCTTTTATTCTTCACATCTCCTTAACCATTACATCCTAACAGTTCAGGAAATTCTGTTGATTTTACTTCCCAAAAACATAACCTACCTCTGTTTATCCCAGTCCGCTAACTCCTAGACTCTCATCATGCTACTTCTAATTTAAACTATGTAGATTATCCTTAAATGAAGAAATTATACTGCAAGGAATGTTTTTTTTCCCCCAAATAATTCTGATCCTGTTTAGTGTTAAATTGTTAGATTGTGTGTGTGTGTGTGTGTGTGTGTGTGTGTGTGTGTGTGTGTGTGTGTGTGTGTGTGTGTGTGTTTGATACTGTTTCTTTATTTTTGAATTCTTAGAGTTGTGGGCTCTGACATTTCACATAATGGCTCAAATAACTTTACCTTTTTGTTTCTTATTTTTTTTTAATTCCATGTTTTATTCGGACTTGTTTATTCAGTTTGAGTACACATGGAAATAGTGCCTATATATCCTGAGCATTTTGCCAACCTACCCTTCAACACTGACATTGAATCCATAAAGGACTTTGAATGGTACTTGTACCCCTCAACTATTTTATTTTATTTTATTTTAATTTTTTGTGAACATACTGTACAGAGGGGTTATAATTACATGGGCAAGATAATGAGTACATTTCTTATCAAGCATTGCAACCTCCTCCTTTGTTTATCCTTCACATCCCTTCCCAGCCTCCCCCCGCCCCCCCATTTCCACCCCCCCCAACTATTTTAATAAGGAAAATAAGCCAAAATATTTGAATAACTTGTCAGGATAAAAATGAGCTAAACTTTTTTTGTCGGTTGTGAGGCTTGAACTCTGTGCCTGGGCTGAGCAATTTAGCTCAAGGAAAATGCTTTACCACTTGAGCCACAACACCACTTCCAGTTTTCTGGTGGTTAATTGGAAATAAGAGTCTTATGGACTTTCTGCCCAGGTTGGCTTTGAACCATGATCCTCAGATCTCAGCCTCCTGAGTAGCTAGGATTACAAGCGTGAGTCACCTATGTCTGGCTGAACTTTATTTTTAAGACTTTAAACCCAAGCATCTTTTGTTTGGCACATTGTTTAACTCTTATCAATCCATTATTTTGAGCCAAACACAAATTATTACTATGGTGTTGTCATTTAGCAGAAAGAGAATTAATTAAACAATAACATTTCAGAAAAAATATTAATGATTGCGTTGAAAACTTTCATGATTATGTATTTAGTTTTTCCTAAAAATGTCTTAATTCATAATTAAAACATAATAGAACTTGGCAGGGAAGAGAAAAGCAATTAATAATTATTAGAACTCATTTACAGATTTTAGTTTAAATGAATTTATAACTATAATAAAGTTACATTAAATTTTATGAAGTTAAGAACAGTTCGGTTACTTGTTATGTACAAAACAACTACTGAGTAAAGAAAAAAAGATTAAAATGATTATTTGAGTATAGTGTTTATGCATATTTGCTTTGATATTATTTTTCTATTTTTATGTAATTCCTGAAATTTATAATGAATATTTATTTTTAAAATACATTTCATCTTTCACGATTTTATCCCCTAAATTTTAGTAGGTTTTTTTTTTTTTTTTTTTTTGGGTCCGGTCGTGGGGCCTGAACTCTGGGCCTGGGCACTGTCCCTCAGCTCTTGAGCTTAAGGCTAGCACTCTACTACTTGAGCCACAGCACCACTTCCAGCTTTTTTCTTTTTGCATATATGATGCTGAGGAATCGAACCCAGGGCCTCGAACATGCAAGGCAAGCACTCTACCACTGAGCCACCTTCCCAGCCCTTTTAGTAGTTTCTTATGTCAGACTTAATCACATGTATGTACCAACTTTTTAAAATCACTGAAGTCATATTAGATATTGAGTTTTACCAAAATATTTTTGACTTAATAAAACATAACCATATCTCTCAAATCAGAACATATAATCTATATATTATTATTACTCGCTTATTGATGAGCATTAATAAATCAGGGTTGTTGTTTTTTTAACCTGTACAGCTTGAGTTGGTTTTTTTTTTGGCTGTGGGGCCTGAACTCTAGGCCTAGGTGCTGTCCCTCAGCTCTTCAGCTCAAGGCTAGTGCTCTACCACGTGAGTCACAGCGCCACTTCCAGTTTTTTCTGCTTATGTGGTGCTGAGGAATCGAACCCAGGGCATGCAAGACAAGCACTCTACCACTGAGCCACCTTCCCAGCCCTGAATTTTTTTATTCCATTAATAATCTGAACAGTTAGAACCTTCTTGACACATCTAAATTCTTTTCTCCAAATGATTAGTTTATAAATGAGTTGAATTAAAGTTTGTATTTCTTATTTGAGTTTTTGCTGTTGTTGTTAGGTTATTTTGTGGTGTACTTATTTAGTACACATAGAGAGAGGACCTGTGTCCTAAGAATTTTGGAGACTTCTTAATGCTATCACTCAACAAAACAATGACTTTTGCTAGGAACTATTTTAGGCGATTGGAGGCTAGCAATGAGAAATGATATACATCTCCCCTCTAGTTGTTTTTATTCCACCAGGGAAAGAAAAACAGGCTAAAAAAGAAGTGGCCCTGTAGATCAGAGTGGTAGAGCTCAGGACCTCCAGGCCCTGACCCCAACAACTGACCAAAAAAATACAAAAACAAAAACTTACTTCAGGCTAAAAATTAAAGAGATGGTGTAGCGCACCCTATATCCTAGCTATTTAGGAGGCTAAGATCTGAGGATCACAGTTGGAACCCAGCTCAGACAAACAAGAAGAGGCTCTTATATCCAGTTAACTAGCAAAAAGCTTAAATGGTAGAGCACTTGATCTTAGTGGGACCAAGAAGCTTTTAATTCAAGCCTCAGTATCAGCACCAAAAAAAAACAAACAAAAAATCAACCGCAAATGAGCAATTGGCATCAGTGACTCACACCTGTAATCCTACCTACTCGGGAGGCTGAGATCTAGAGGATCAGGATCTTAAGGTCAGCCTGAATAGAAACTTTCACTAGACTCCATTTCCAATAACTGGCAAAAAGCAGAGTTGGAGGCATGAGTCAAGTGGTAGAATGCCAGCCTAGGAAGCCGTAGGCTCAAAGTCCAGACTCTACTACTGACAAAAATATGCTTAACGAGAACATAATATTCAGGGCAGTAACTGCTATGCAGAAACAAAACAAGTGTCAGAAGAGAGACTAAGAGACTAATATTTCTAACCAAACTTAGAAAACTTTTCCAACAAAAATTAGAAAAATATGTTCCGTTTCTTAATACCTATGTAAAGAATGAACAGAGAAACTGGTGAGGATTAGCTTCTATTCTAGAATAAATGACTACAGCTGAGTAAAGGAGGGAAATGTGAGCTACACTCTACTAGGAAGAACCATGTTAAGAACCCTCCCTTGCCTATAACTCTGGAAAGCTCAAGGTCTTTATCTGGCAGGGAACCTACATGCTGGACATTGCTTTGCCAGGCTTCCCTGCTTGAAAGGTTTAGCCTTTTCTGTTTTACAGAAGGATTGCCTTTCTATTAGCTGAAGTTTTGGTGCCCAAGCGAAAGAAACAGCTAAATGAGAGAAGCAATTAAAATGGAACCTTTTCTCTCTGCTCCACCCCCTTTCTTTTTCTCCCAAGCTCAGTCATTGAGAAATTGCTATTAAGGGGAAATACCTCCTTTTCTCTGAATTTCTTTTACACCTTTTAAATTTTTCACAGTTACTAATATTTTGGGGGTAAAGCCTTTTTTATAATGAACATTTCATCTATACAGTCAGTTGCAGGGGGAGTATTTTCGTTGTGGTAAAAACAGCAAAAGCAAATACTCCTTTCATAATATCTTTGTATCAGTGTTAAAGATAATTTTTGGAGCTATCAGTCTGTACATGGTAAAGTAGTATACTTTGTGTCTGTACGAGGAGGTAAAGTAGTACAGTTTGTGTTAGGCTGTTTCTTATTTCTTGAGTGGTGTTTTAGTAGCAACACGTGGAGGTAGTTTCACTCATTGTTTCTTTTTAACTCCTTTTTCTTATCAGTACTGATTCTTTTGAATGTTATTGCTGGTCTTGTGTTTGTTCTGAAAATAGAAGCAGTTTATCTTTGCAAGAAGAAAAAGAAAGTCACCTTCATTTTAATCCTGCCTACAGAAAAGAGAGGTAGTTACCGTCTGGAACTGAGAAATATATTAAAATGCTTCACATGACCTAATTACATTTCTGCTGGGAAGATTCAGAGTTGAATATGTTATATGTTCATGAAAGCAGTGTGTCTTTGTCCTTCAAGAATTATTTTTGTTTCATCATTACCTATCAGAATTTAAAACTATATATGTACTAGGCACCAGACAGGTGCTAGACTTTAATCCTAGCTACTCAGAAGGCTGAGATCTGAGAATTGCAGTTCGAATCAGCTGGCCAGAAAAGTCTGTGATACTCTTATCTCTCAGAAAAAGCCCAGAGTGGCACTGTGGCTCAAGTGGTAGACACCAGCCTTGAGCACAAAGAGGCTCAGGGACAGAACCCAGGCCCTGAGTTCAAGCCCCAGGACTGGCAAAAACAAAAACAAAACCACAAAAACTGCATTTTTTAAATCTACATTAAAAATAAATTACAGAACTTTCAGTGGTTGGAGGTATGGCTCCCTTGGTAGAATTCTAGACAGTCAACAAAAGTATCAAGTACCAAGAATAAATCCTGGTCTGCAACCAAAAGAAGAAAAAAAGCTTCAGTATATTACTCTAAAATTAAAGGGAAACTATCCTTTTCCTGTTCATTACTTCTACTATTGGCTTTTAGACACCACTAATCTGCAGTCATAATTATAGTCATCATTTTCTTTATACTTATTTGGCAAAAATGAATAAGGTAGAATAATGGCTAAATTTAAGTATGTGGGAATTAAGAAATACACATTTGTTCCCAGTGGAGATATCAAGAAATACTCATTGCTGAAACAAGCAGAGGTATGCTGAAACAAGGAGAGGTACCAAGAAGTACCCCAAATCCCAAGTTTCGACTTGGAATTCATTTTCCAGAAGCAATATGGTTGATAAAGCGTGTATCTTCTGTAACTACAGTTAATCATTACAAGATTTACAAGATCATTACAAGATTTTTGCAGGGGAAAAGTATCTTTTATAATTAGCTTAAAAGGAAACAGTGTATCATGGGTTAAGTTTATTTCTAAGGTTAATTAAAATTACATTGCAGTGTTTCTTTAATAATATCCTGATATGAGAGATTAAGTTAATTTTCCATTTCTTGCTAAGTAAGTTAATGGAATGCTTGCATATGTAGACATTCATGGCAGTATAACTATATAGATATATAAATGAATAGGCTTTTAATGCCATATGAAATGAAATGTACTTAATATAGTATGCACCCTTATTTTTAATAAGAAGAGCACTACATTCTGCTTTTGTTCACTTTCTCTGTTGGCAGTATTTTTTAAATAGAATCTCATTTTTGGCCCCTGGCCAGTCTATATCTCCATTTTTGTATTGACACTTATTACTATAGCTAGGATGGCAGGGATTTACCACCACACTCAACTTTTTCCTTTTGCAATTATTTCTTGAAGAATTTTACCCAGACTGGCTTGGAACTGTGATTCTCTTCATTTTAGCCTCCATTGTGACAGCCGTTTACTACCAGTCCTACCTGTTGGTTGAGATGGTGTCTCTTGAACTTTTGCCCAGACTTCAAATTGTGATTCTCCTGCTCTCTGGGTAGCTAGAATTACAGGTGTGAATCACATGTGCCCAGCTGTAAAAATCATTTTGATTACTTTGACTGTTGTAATATGGGTCAAAAGTCCTTTATATTTGTTTACATCTCTGTAAGAACTCTTAATACTTACTGCCACAGGTTATCCTCAGTGATTATTTTACTAAGTATTTGACATTTCTACTGCTCCTAGAGCTGTGATCTTTCACTTTGTGTTTTCTGCACTAACATGGTTACTCTGGTCTCAATTATATAAACTGATTGGAATATAACATTTAGGATATAAACATTTGGAATAGTACACAATTTGTAAACCCAGCTACTTGGAAAACAGAAATAGGAGGATCACAGTATGAGACCACCTGGGCAAAAAAATTAGTGATACTCCATTTCAACAAATAATCCAGGAATGTCTGTAATTCCATCTGCATGTGAGGTGAAGGTAAAAGGATTGCAGCCTAAGCCTGCTCAGGCAACTATCTGAAAACCAACTAATACAGAAAGATCTGGGGCTGTTACTTAAGAGGAAAAGTGTTTGTACAAGGCCTTGATTTTTTTTTGGGGTCCAGTCCTGGGGCCTGAACCCTGGGCCTGGGCGCTGTCCCTCAGCTCTTCAGCTCAAGGCTAGCACTCTACCACTTGAGCCACAGCACCACTTCCGGCTTTTTTCTTTTTGTTTATGTGGTGCTGAGGAATTGAACCCAGGGCCTCAGGCATGCAAGGCAAGCACTCTACCGCTGAGCCACCTTCCCAGCCCCTTGATTTTTAATGTATATGAGAACTGTAATAATGACTACTGTTTTTACTTCTCATTTGTTTGTATTCAAATTTTCAAAACTGTCTAGGCATTGGTTGCTCACACCTATAATCCTAGCTACTCAAGAGGATGAGATCTGAGGATCATGGTTCATAGCCAGCTGAGGCCAAAAGTAAAGTTGTTGCTCAAAAGGCATAGTGCTAGCCTTGAACAAAAAGCCTCAGGGACAGCACTCAGGTCCTACAAGCCTCAAACCACATAAAAAAAAAAAACAAAACCAAAAACAATCCTTAGACTATAAGGAACCAGAGGTCTTGCTTTCATAATATAGTATTGTTATTTTTAGAATGATTAGGTGCATATGCCCTAGCATCTGCCTTCAAGCTTAAAAGACCTGTGGAGTCTAGCATAAAAGTGTAGTTTGACATCTAAGGGGTAGCATCTAAAAAACCCTTCAGAATTTCTATAACCAAAATTGATACTAAAAGATTAAATAAATGACCATACTTATTTATTTGTAGATACTTTGATGTTATCATACAGAAGAATCACTTTAACTTTATTTTTCTTCTTTTCAAAGCCATATGAAGGACTAAGACCCCAGGATCTTCGTAGATTGAAAGATATGCTTATTGTGGAAACCGCAGACATGCTTCAGGCTCCTCTATTTACTGCTGAAGCTTTACTTAGAGCTCATGGTAATGAACTAAATGCTTTTGATAACACAGGTGCCTTGTGAAACATTTTAGCACTAAACAGGAGAGGAGGAGGAGGCTATTTTGTATTTTAATATAAAACAAAATGGTTTGTCAAATAGGCCTACATAGATTTTTGGGGAGTGGTTACTGCATAAATCATCATCAAAACATTTTGCATTTTGAAGCATGAAGCACTATTAATTAAAAAGAGGAAATTAGATATTTTTGTGGGGTTTTTTTGTTGTTTTTGTTTTGTTTTGTTTTGTTTTTTGTCGATTGTGGGGCTTGAACTCTGGGTATGGGTGCTGTCCCTGGGCTCTTCATCTCAAGGTAAGCGCTCTACCTCTTGAGCCACAGCACCACTTCTGGTTTTCTAGTGGTTTATTGGAGATAAGAGTCTCAGGGACTTTCCTGCCTGGGCTGGCTTTGAACCGTGATCCTCAGATCTCAGCCTCCTGAGTAGCTAGGATTACAGGCATGAGCCATCGGCACCCAGCTAGATATTTTTAAAATTAAGGTACTTCAGCCAGCTGGTAGATTGTTTCCCTTTAAGAAATTTGTCTGATTTGACTATGATAGGATGTCGGAATTCATAATGCCATTGCTGATCTCAGTAATTTGGGGCTGAAGTTGTACTATAAGCAAATACCAAAGAATGTGGTGTTGTTTTGAAATTATGTTTATTTATCTAAAAGCTATTTATATTATACAGTTTAAGGATTCTTTGTTATTCTTTCTTTCTCTCTCTCTCTCTCTCTCTCTTTCTCTCTCTCTTTCTCTTTCTCTTTCTCTCTTTCTGTCTGTCTTTCTTTCTCTCTTTCTTTCTTTTTTTTTTGTTGGTTGTGGGGCTAGAACTCAGGGCTTGGGTGCTGCCCTTGAGCTTTTTTCACTCAAGGCTAGTGCTCTACCACTTTGAGCTACAGCACCACTTCCAGTTTTCTTGTGGTTAATTAAAGAGTTTCATGGTCTTCCCTGCCTGGGCTGGCTTTGAACAGCGATACTCATATCTCAGCCTCCTGAGTAGTTAGGATTGTAGGTAAAAGCCACCAGCACACAACTGTTATTTCTTGTTTAAGACATACGTTTGTCACAAGTTCATTATGATTCTTTTTTTGCCAAGACAGTTTACCAAGAAGCTAAAGAAACTATTTCAAATTCTTAAATTTTTGTTGCTATATATATAAAACAAAAAAGCAGTATTGTGAGGTGTGTGTGTGTGTGTGTGTGTGTGTGTGTGTGTGTGTGCGTGTGCACGTGTGTAGAGAGAAAGAGAGATAGAGACTGGGACAGAAAGAAGCAAGCTAAATTGTACATCAGTAAAAATTTTATAAAATCTAAAAGTGGTATGAGTCATCTGTCTTGATTATTAACAGAAATTACTGGGAATTTTGAACATGTTGTTAGATGTTGACATGTTGATGAGCCATAGTAGTTTTATAAAAGTTTAGGGGCTGGGAAGGTGGCTCAGTGGTAGAGTGCTTGCCTTGCATGCCTGAGGCCCTGGGTTCGATTCCTCAGCACCACATAAGAAAAAAGAAAAAAGCCGGAAGTGGCACTGTGGCTCAAGTGGTAGAGCACTAGCCTTGAGCTGAAGAGCTGAGGGACAGCGCCCAGGCCCAAGTTCAGGCTCCACGACCAGACCCAAAAAAAATAAAATAAAATAAATAAAAGTTTAAATCTTGTTTTAAAATATTGCTAACATATCTAAATACTAATTTTCAGTTATTACTTGTATATAAATACTACTAATTTTCCTTAAATGACCTGTATTCTTATTTTTTCTGTTTAGTTACTATATAGCAGTAAAATATCATACTTTCTGATTTTTTATTTATTTTCCATTTTATTTTTAAAGATTGGGACAGGGAAAAATTACTTGAGGCATGGATGTGTAACCCAGAAAACTGTTGCCAACGATCAGGGGTTCAAATGCCAACTCCACCACCAAGTGGGTATAATGCTTGGGACACACTTCCTTCTCCAAGAACTCCAAGGACTACACGCTCTTCTGTCACCTCTCCAGATGAAATCAGTTTATCTCCAGGGGATTTAGACACCAGTTTGGTATGTCTATTAATACTACTTCCCATACTTTTGTTTTTAGTCTTGTAGCTTTTAGGTTATTTATACTATATTCAATGGATTTTCTGTGTTCTTGTAATTGAATCTTACATCTTTAAAGATTCAGTTATTTTCATGCTTTTGTAAATACTTATTAGAATACATTACCTCTGAATTATATATTGAAAACCGTAAGATTTTCTTTTGTCATTTCTAAACAAAACAGTTTGGGAATCATTTACATTTTCACTTAAAATGTTTTCATATGTTTAGATACAGCATACCAAAATATTAAAAATTTTGAATTTTTGATAGGCACTTTAAGCCAAAAATATGAGTCCTCTGTGATTTCTTGAAAGTTATTAATTTTGAAGACATTTACAAAATATTGGTAATTCTGTTTTTGTTTCATGAAAGCTCCTAGAGTTTGCTATTCAGATGGAATTCCAGAATGTTTCTCCTCTGACCCCCAGCAGAGTTTGAGCTCAGGGCCTAAAACTTGCTAAACAGACACATTACTACTGAGCTGTGCCTCCAGCCCAAATGTTTGCTCTTTATTAAGGAACAGTGCTACTTTTGTGTAGGATTAATCAGCATACCATTTGTATGCTGTGTAGGAAATTTTAATATTTCTCGAATGGCTCAGCTACTTAAAATTTGTGACAATCACAAAAGCATTTTTTTTTATGTAGTCCATTTTGGAAAACAGAATTCTGTTTCTAATATAATTCACATCTGTAACATTATAAAGATTGTAGTTGTTGAAAATATACATAACTTTATCAAGGTTTCTTGCTTAGAAAGCCTTAAATTGCTATTCTTAGTATCCTGAGTTGCTGTGTTTAAAACACCAAGTTATTTTTGTTTTTGTAGATTTTCCAGTGTAAGGTGAAGAATATGATATTAAGGTGGTTATTTTATAGCATGCAATTTGATCTTAACCTGAAGAGATATAATGATTTGGTTTTGTACTTTGTTTTCCAAATGTACAAATTATAATTCATTGGTGTATATATATATAGAGAGAGAGAGAGACAGAGAGAGAGACAGAGAGAGAGAATGTAGAAGTTTGGTTTTGCAATAAAACATTTAAATCCTAATTAGTTTATATTGAGATTTATTATGCTATCAAAAAGTAGGCACTTTAATTACCATTATAATTTTGAAACACTTTTAAAATTTATGACTACTATACTAATTTTTCACCTTTAATGAGCAAATGAATATATTCTCTTGGCAAAGTATGACCCTATTTAAATCTTTGTTTATCTCCAGTGTGACATTTGTATGTGCAGTATTTCTGTATTTGAAGATCCAGTGGATATGCCTTGTGGACATGATTTTTGTAGAGGATGTTGGGAGTCGTGAGTATATAAACAGCTAGTATCTCTTATTGCATGATAACACTCTGATTTCGTAATGAAATTGTTTGCTTTCAATACTTAATGGAAGAAATACTGGTTTCTGAGTTAAACTAAAATATATTATACTTTAAGACTAAGGATGAATATTTTTGCTTTTCTCGTTTTCACATCAAAGCAAGTATGTTTAAATTTTTCTTAATATTTTGCTACAGCTAATATAAATTTCAAGCCTACGCCTTAACTTCAGGAATCAGTTTATCTTTTTTTGTGTGTGTGAAAATACTGTACAGAGGGGTTACAATTACATGAGCAAGGTAATGAGTACATTTCTTATCAAGCATTGTTGCCCCCTCTTTGTTTCCCCTTACCATCCCTTACCATCTCCCTCCCCTCCCCTCCCCGCCCTCCCCCCATACCAAAGTTGTAAAGTTCATTTTTCGACGTAACATCTTGTACATCTCATTGTTGCAGTGGGTCCACCTGTATCCCTATTTCAACTATTTGTTTTTTCCCTTACCCTCCACAAATTATACCAACATCAAATACAGTGAAAACAGGTGTTATATCATGGGGGAGGGACATACAAAGCAACAAAGAAATCATCTTATAAATATGTTAGATACAGTAGCAAGAAAGAAAAACCATTTGAGTCTTTATCTTGGGGTTCATTTCGCCTAACATCAACTTATCTGACCATTTCTGCTTGTCTCAGACATATACTAGTTATTGCAAATAAGGGAAACCAAGGGGCCTATATTTCTTTGGGCCTGGCTTACTTCACAATATAATTTTTTCCAAGTCTTTCCATTTCCTAACAAATAGGGCAATGTCATTCCTTCTGATGGAGGCATAGAATTCCATTGTGTATATATACTACCATTCATCTACTGAGGGGCATCTGGGTTGGTTCCATATCTCAACTGTGTTTATTGCAGCATTATTTATCTTATATCCTAAGAATTCTAAGCTTTTGTTTTTGTACTTCCTCTGAATTTTTATTTTTGGATAAACAAACAAACTTGAAAAATCTGTGAAAAATAAGGATATTAATAGATATTCTTTGTAGTCAATTTAAAATTAAATGTCTCTGTTAAAGATGATTTGGTATATATTACAAATGGAAATTTATATATTGAGAAATATATCTCAGTATCCAGTGCCTTCGTTATAACTTTGTTTGTTAGGAGAGATTTGTAAGCAAATACAGATCTGTTTAGTAAGCAATAAAATACCTGGTTATCTTGAGCCACATAAAATATATCCTTAGTATTTGAGGAAATATAAAAAATGACTCAAACTTTTTTTTTCCTGAAGTACTGAATAGAAAGTATAGTAAGCTGGGGAATACCACATGTATAAGAGCAAGAAATTGAGACATTTTCTGGGTTTTGGTTTATTGTCTTTTTTTCTTAGTTTTTTTTTTTTTTTTTTTTGTCTGTTGTGGGGCTTGAACTCCATAGTTTTTTGGGTTTTTTTTGTTTGTTTATTTGTTTGTTTTTAGTTTGGTTTAATTTACAACTTCATTGAGGTACAATTGGCACATATCAAACCATATGATAAATTCAGCATATGAATATACCTGAGAGACATTTACTATAATCAAAATTGTAAGTATGTCTATCATATGCTGGAAATGAAACTCAAAAGTTTCCTCATTTTTCCTCAAAATTCTTCTGATCATTTTTCTGCCTCCTTAAAATTTCCCCATCCTGATACTTTAGGCAACTTACTGATGTATTATGCAGTCTCATTTTGAGTTTATTTTCTTTATGTGTTTTTTTAAATGAAATATGAAGCAAGACTTCATTTGGAAAGAACAAAAGCTGCTGGTTTTCAAGAAGTCAGAATGAGTAAAGAATATATGGTTGTTCTTTTGAAAACAGATTAGATTTTATGTGAGTGTAACAGATACAGTCAAATCAGTATAGCTGATCTAAATAAACTAATAGGCAAAGGGTGCTAGCTCATAATTTAAAGCAATCTTTGACTCAGTTCTGCAGGCAGAAAATTTTTCCCAAGTACAGTACTTCATTTACCTTAAATTTATTAACTGTACTGTTGGAGGAAGTCTTACTGGTATTTAGCCCAAGTTTGTGGCCATTGGATTTGATTCATATGTGAAAACTGAACCTGCTCAGGAATTTACTTTAAATTTTTTTTGAACTTCTTTGACCTTCTTAACCTTATTCAGTGTTGCAGTAACCATCTTCCATACTCATGGCAAACTAGCCATTAGAACTTTATGGTAAGATTTAATTGTTAAATCTTATTATCAAAAGATTTAATTATTATTTTCGTTGGCATATGACCAGCTTTCATAGGATTCTCCACCCTGCTAACATTAGCAGGATAGTATTTGTTGGATCAAAGACCAGTAAAACAAGTTCCTTGTTGAGTGATTCATATGTTGCTAAACATTTTTTAGGAGAATTTTTAAAGGTCTTAATAGTTTGAAAATTTCTCAATCTGTATTGTTCTTCACCAAATGCTTTAAAGCATTTATCCCTAAGGCTTAAGTAAAAAAGAATTATTATTTTCTACCCAGACTGGAACATCTTTCCTAATATTAAGGATAAGAGCTCAAGTTCTAGATAAAATAGTTCTCTGTGTTATAAATTTCAGTTCTGTCACTTATTGTTTAAGTAAGTGGTAAGCTACTGTGCCTCAGTTTCTTAGTTGCTAAAATGGTGATAATAGTAAATACTTCATAAGTATTATTGTCAGATTTTAAGTGACAATATATGTAAAGTACATAGAACAGGATATATAGTAATTATTCAATAAATCTTAATTATCATTTTCCCAAGCCTTGTAATAAGCAGAGAACCTAACTATGATAGCATCTGCAAAGCTGATCTACAAGATAAAAATGTAGGTAAAGTTTACTCCAAATTTATCTCTTTTACTGACAGTCATAAACTTTATATTCTATTAATAAACTTAGTAGAAAATTGTATCTTAAGGAAAATTAGATACAGGATTAACAGGGAACTAATCCCACCTTTAATGAGGTCTTTTTCAGTCCTGTCATTTAGTTACACAGGGATAATTAAATCTGCTCTGAAGTATTTGGGATATATAAAATTCAAAATATCATTTAGTTAACTGTGTCTAAGCATACTGCATACTCTGACAGGGTACTATAAGTATTAAACTAAACTATAGCCAGCTTTTCATGGAATCTACACATAACTAAAAGAAAAGTTCCTCGCGGCTGGGAATGTGGCTTAGTGGTAGAGTGCTTGCCTAGCATTTATGAAGCACTGGGTGCAATTCCTCAGTACCACATAAACAGAAAAAGCCAGAGTGGCACTGTGGCTCAAGTGGTAGAGTGTTAGCCTTCAGCGAAAGAAGCTCAGGGATAGTGTCTAGACCCAGAGTTCAAGCCACAGGACTGGCAAAAAAAAAAAAAAAGGGAAGAAAGATGCCTGTCATGTGAAAAAAGGAAGTCTACAGTTAGTGGTTTTCATACTCTTTAAGACCTCTTTATACTCTTAAAAATTGAAGTGCTTGCTTTGGTAGCACATATACTAAAATTGGAATGATGCAGAGAAGATTAGCATGGCTCTTGCACAAGAATGACACACAAGTTCATGAAGCATATTTTTAGACACTATGTTGGAAATGAACTTAACAACTTGTGGGGGGAGAGGAGTTGGAGGGGAGGAAAGTGGCAGAAAACAAGGAGGGGTATTACACTGTTTGGCAAGAAATGTACTCATTTCCTTACCTATGTAACCAACTCCTCTGTACATCACCTGTACAATAAATAAAATTAAACTTTAAAAATTGTTGAAGACTAAAGAGTGTTTGCTTGTATGGGTCATATCTATCCATATGAAAATACAGATGGTATTCATTAAAAATAATAGTTAACCCATAATAAGTACTATCTCTGGAATAATCAAACACTAATAACTACAGAGTTTTGCTTTAATTGTCCTTTTTTCCATTTATTTTGTGTAAGTACTAAATCCTATATAGTCCAGACTTTGGAAGTTTGATTCTTAAATAACAATAGTCCTTTTTAAAATTTATAGGTTCTTATTCAAAGTCAGGTACCTAACAGGTATTTCACATACATAATCTCTATAACAGCCCTGTAGAGTACATATTATTATTTATCATTAAGTGTTTCATCATTTTATATAGTATGAAACTGAGGCTCAGAAAAGCTCAGTCAGTGCTTAAAATCATTAAGTTTAAGACCTAGAAATTCCTAGCTCAAATAACTTAATTCACCTTTGCAGGTAGCCTATTTTATGCTATGTGAACAATGTATGTACAGTAGGACATAGCATTCATTTTAATATTCACCTAAATATAACAAGAATGCCTTTTTCTTTAAAAACATATTACATTGAAATACTATCCCTAGATATTTGAAATTGTCTGTGGTTAATTTTTATACCATTATCCCTTTAATTTTTTTAAATATTCATGTTAATCAAGATATTCTGAGGTTTTTAGAGAATATAAAGCAAAACAAAAACTTAAAAATTTATAGTATACATATGTTCATATTTTGTATATTTGTAAAATGAATTGTTGAATAGGTACTAAGTGCTACAATTAATATTCTGTGCTTTGTGGGCACTTTTTTGGTTTTTGGTTTTGTCTTGAGGTTTTTTGTTTTAGTTTTTGTTTTGAGACAGGGTCTTGCTATGTTGCCCAGGATAGCGTCAGACTCATAATCTTTCCCAGCTTCCTAAGAAGGCCACATACGACCACATTTGTGTGTCTTTGTATGTTTTGGAGAAAAATATCAGGGTCCTGGTACATGCTAATAAGTGGCTGCTATTGAATCATATATGCCTCCAGTCTTGTGGATGCTTTATAATAATCTTAAGAAAAAATTTACCGTGATGGAAAAATACCCTTCAGCAGTATTAATAATTTATTTCCTTGTCCTTTTCCATCAATTGATAATTTTAATAGGTTTTTGAATCTGAAAATTCAAGAAGGTGAAGCTCACAACATTTTCTGCCCTGCATATGATTGCTTTCAACTTGTGCCTGTGGATATCATAGAAAGTGTAGTTTCTAAGGAGATGGACAAACGATACCTACAGTTTGATATAAAGGTATGTTTCCAGTTATCAATTTTAATTTTAAGAAATCACATAGCAGTTGTTTTGTTTTTTAAAATAGTAATCTCCTTTGTTTCTCAGAGAAAACTAAATTGTGGCATTAATTAAAATGTTGAGCCAGTGCATTATTTTATAAACTATAAGAAAAAATGGAAGAATAAAACAGTAGTTATCCCAGAAAAGTTATTTATTACTTGGAACTATTTATTAAATTACCTATTGCACTTTTATAACTAGATAATCAAGATAATGTTCTAGCTAGGCACCGTGGATCTGTATTTCTAGCTACTCTGAAGGCTGAGATCAAAAGGTTTATGGGGGGCTGGGAGGGTGGCTCAGTGGTAGAGCGCTTGCCTTGCATGCCTGAAGCCCTGGGTTCAATTCCTCAGCACCACATAAGCAAAAAGAAAAAAGCCGGAAGTGGTGCTGTGGCTCAAGTGGTAGAGTGCTAGCCTTGAGCTGAAGAGCTGAGGGACAGTGCCCAGGCCCAGAGTTCAGGCCCCATGACCGGACCCAAAAAAAAAAAAAAAAGGTTTATGGTTTTAAGCTAATCTGTGCAAGAAGTTTGAGAGAGACCCCCCTGTCTCTCCTCGGCTTTCCTGAGCAAAAACCAAAACCCTGTTCAAAACATAATGAAAGATTCTAGAACATAGTAAATTATACAGGTTTCTAGACATTCACTCACACACAAACCATAATGAAAGCAAAAGATGTTGGGAGTTTGGCTCAAGTTGCAAAGTATTTGGGTAGTAAGTATGAGGCCCCAAGTTCACACTGCTATACTCCTTCACCCCAATAAAGACAATATTCAGGGCTGGGAAGGTAGCTCAGCGGTAGAGTGCATGCCTTGCAAGCATGAGGCCCTGGGTTCGATTCCTCAGCACCACATAAACAGAAAAAGCCGGAAGTGGAGCTGTGGTTCCAGTGGTAGAGCCCTAGCCTTGAGCTGAAGAGCTGAGGGACAGCGCCCAGACCGAGTTCAGGCCCCATGACCAGCAAAAAAAAAAGACAATATTCAAAGTAGTCTCTACTTTAAATTTTCCAAAATATTTTGTACTCTTAAAAATACATACTTAAAAACAAAAGTTTTTAACTTAGAAATTTATTATTTTTAATCCAAGCAATAATTTCATATGGCAAATCTTAATGTTTCATTTTTTTTCTTTATTTTTATTCAGGAGATGTTTAGAAGTATATGAAAGTTACTCTTTTCTGTGATATAAAAGTTACATTTTAATTGCTTTGTGCAGATTTTTCTTAGTCTAAACTCTAATGTTGCCATGAACTGGCATGTCACTCCTGTAATCTTAGCTACTCAGGAGGCTGAGATCTGAGATAGGTGGTTTGAAGCCAGCCTGTGCCAGAACTAAAGCTTTGGCTTAAGTGGTACAGCACTGGTCTTGATCAAAAAAAAAAAAAAGTTCAGTACAGTACCCAGCCTCTGAGTTCAAGCCCTAATAAAACAAAACAAGACAAAAAAATTTAAAGCATGGACTTTAAAACAATTTTAAAAAGAAGAAACCCTATTCTAACATAGAAAACATCATAATATTGATTTGTGTGTGTTATTACAGTTCTAATCCCAATCAATAATAATTACATCTAATTTCAATGTAATTAGGAAAGTGACACATTGAATAACAAAACATAAGTTACACATTTTTGTGTAAATAACTTCATTTTTGCCTGATATTTAGAGAAAACAAGTTTTGAAAATTATGTCATTACTATAGTACCACTTTTTCCTTTTATTTTTCTCAGTGCTTTTCATGATGTTTTTAGTACTTTTCAAGACTTGACAGCTCCTTGTGTTTATTTCACTCTTGCCTGATTTTATCTTCTATGTTAGAAGTACAGCTGAAATAGTCTCTTTTTGTGTTGTTGTTGTTACTGTTCAAACAGGCCTTTGTTGAAAATAATCCTGCCATTAAATGGTGTCCTACTGCGGGGTGTGAAAGAGCGGTCAGATTAACAAAACAAGGGTCCAACACATCTGGATCTGATACACTCAGCTTCCCATTGCTGAGAGCCCCTGCTGTGGACTGTGGAAAAGGACACCTCTTCTGCTGGTTAGTATAAGACAAGGTGGAATCAGCCTTTTCACTTTTCTAATGAGACTTTTTACCTGGAATCAAGCCTTTAAATTGTAATATGCTCAATATTATTATTAATTTTAAAAGATCTGTAATAAACAGCAACAATTCTTATGTTTCATGTATCATGTGCTTGATGCCAGGCGCTCACTATACGTGTGTGTGTGTGTGTGTGTGTGTGTGTGTGTGTGTATGTGTGACACTAGGATTTGAACTCCATCTTCCTCTTGCTAGGCAAGTGGCCTTTAGCTTTTTCCTTAATTATTACCTATGAATGGATATCTCTTAGATTGATATAAAATTCGTCTTATACATAGAAATGAAAATTAATCCTAACATTGCTAGACACTTAAGAAACTATCTTTTTTTTAAAAAAAAATTTTAGAATCAGTTTAATGTCTACAAATTCCTGCTTGGATTTTGATTACACAGCACTAGATCCATATCGTTTGAGAAGAACTGAAAATAGTATTGAGCAGATAACGTGATAACTGTGGAGCAGTAGCAGGGAGACATCATAAGCAATTTACAGGAGAATGGTGGATTGGGCAGGATAGGAAAAGACAATGGTATTTTTTTTGGGGGTGGGGGGAAGTCCAGTCGTGGGCCTGAACTCTGGGCCTGGGCGCTGTCCCTCAGCTCTTCTCAAGGCTAGCACTCTACCACTTGAGCCACAGTGCCACTTCCGGCTTTTTTTTTCTGCTTATGTGGTGTTAAGGAATCGAACCCAGGGTCTCATGCATGCAAGGCAAGCCCTCTACCACTGAGCCACCTTCCCAGCCCACAAATAATGGTATTAATGAACAAAATATACACCTGAAGCGGCTTATATGTTTTTCTAAGAGGGAGGAAAGTCTCTTTTATCTCTTCAAATCTTTTTTCTTCCACGGAAACAGATCCGATTCCATCAGGCCTGTTACCTGCCTATTTTTTTTAATTATCATCATCTGAACTACCAGCCTAGTGATGACACCATTTATTGCAACACAGCTATTCCCTTTCATATTTATATATCGTCTGTGTTTGCTTTAGGCCTGAGGAAGAAAAATTGAGTAGTTGTCAGAAAGTCTGTATGGCAGCAAATTTGCTTACTAGTTAGCCATTGATGAAAAATTTTGCTGACTCCGGCATTATGTGCTTAGGTATAGTGCTTAGTGAAAAGAAAACCATGTTTGTTACTTTCATCACTAACTCAGAAAGCAAATAAAATGCCCAAATACTGAGCAATGATATTTTATACCTACACACTTTAAGATAAATTTTCAAAACCTGTAGAAGAGAAATTATGAATGATTGAGACTAATTTTACTGAACTAAACCAGTGTGAGAGAGTAGAATTATTGAATGAAAAGGGAGTTAATGACAATGAAAGTTTTATTATAAGCAAATAAATGAATTTTAGATGAATATGAATATTATAAAGGAAGAATATTAAAGTAACAAATCTATTTTCTGAGTCAATGTGAGATTTGAGAAGATACCCATGGTGTGCATCCTGTTTCTAGAATGGTAGTGGTTTGTTACATTGATAGGAAATTTCAGAAAAATTCACATAAATCATTTTACAAGTTCTCTAGTTCACAGTCGAAATCTTGGTTGGGAAGGGCTGGTATTTAGAGGAAAGTTGGAGACATGATAGAGAAGGAAAACAAAAATTACCAGATTGTCTTATCAGATAAAGTAAATAGAATTTTCTTAGGTTATAGAGAAAAAAGCTTTGAAGGGAGAAGAAAAATCTATAGCTACCATTGTCTTAAACTCTGATTTTTATGGGTTAGCTTTCACTAGGTTTTACGATAGATAGATAGATAGATAGATAGATAGATAGATAGATAGATAGATAGATAGATAGATGCTAGATGCTATAACTGCACATTTCTAGAACCACATTTGAACAAACTCTACGCTCTTACTCTAATACTCTTCAGATATCAGATTAGTTATACTCAAAATCCACAGGAGACTATATGTCATGATCTTAGGTTCTGCTTTGAATTTCTTCCCAGTTTAAAAGGATCTGCAAATTACCCTGTAGACTAAGGTCACATTTGGTAGTAGAGACTTAGCAAATAGAACATCATATTCTGGACATTGTACCAGAGGGGAATAGAATAAGGTGACTTGAATAAAATAAAACTAGGTTTTATGTAGGTCAGACTCACATTTAAGTTCTTCAACTGAATAGTGTTGCCTTTTAGTTTTGATAATTATTAAGCTATAGGACTGTGAGGTAGATTCTCTAGATTTTACATTGCTTGCTTTACCTATCAGAGTTAGTTTATGATTCCTGTAATAGAGTTTTGACCTCTTATATAAAAACTTTAACTATAATCAGAAATTCTTAGTAGAAATGGTCACAATTTCTGTCACCTTTTTTTGTCTTTTATTTAAGTGAGAAGCAAAAATATCCTGTAAAAGAAAACTGCAAGGATTTTTACAAAATAAATCCATATGACTCAAGGTTTTGTGCTCCTTTCTGTCCCCAAAACACTCAAATGCTTATCTAAAGATGATTATAAAAGACAACAATAATTTCTTTTAAAAATTAGGTGTTAGCCAGGTGCCTGTAATCCTAGCTACTGAAGAGGCTGAGATCTGAGGATCATGGTTCAAAGCCAGCCCAGGCAGAAAAGCCCATGAGAGTCCTATCCAGTGAACCTCAGAATACCAGAAGTGGCACTGTGGTTCAAGTGGTAGAGCACTTGCCTTGAGCTGAAGAGCTGAGAGACAGTGCCAAGGCCCAGAGTTCAAGCCCTATGACAAAAAAAGAAAGAAAGAAAATGGATGTGACAGAATCAGTTGGACTATGCCCAAGAAATATCTGCTTGGATATAACTGAATTTATTGCTGGGAGAGAACGTGTTCACGGGCTTTTTCCTTCTTACCACAGTATAGCCCTATCTTTTGTAACTTGATCACACCCCTTGTAACTGAACCTAGAATGTTTTCTTCCCTTAGGTTTTATTATAGGAGTTTTTCTTATCTGAGAAAATGGTATTTAAAAATTAGCTAGACTTCCCCTTTTTTTCTTTGTGTTAAGTAGAATATGCTACTCTGTAACTTCTCTAACCACTGAGCTAGTACAAAGTGTCTTTTTTTTGACAACACTCTAAAAGATTCCTTGTCAAAAATACTTGGTGGCCAACTGAAGTTTGATTTAATGTAGTGGTCATTTCTGCCCTGCATAGCTTCAGAATGTTGTCTGGTCCTTAATTGTAATCATGCATATCTCTATTGAAACTGAGAACCTTACTTGGAATTTATTCTTCTAAGCCCACCAAGACAGTTAAATATAATTTAGAGTTATTTTTCACATTTACTAACAAGAATATTCTAAATAATATAGTGGATTTTTCATATAGCACCTCTTTTACAAAACATGAAAGAACCCTTCAAAATAGTGTCACCACACAAAGGAAGAAAATGTAAACTTCTCATAGGAAGGTTTGAATCACAGTGATGCACAGAGTGAGCAGCCACAGTATCACGTTTCCAGGCTGTTCAGGTTTCCAGTGATTCAGAGTACATACATATTCAAGAATTCTGAAAGTAAATTTGCATTAAAGTTGTCACCAACTCATTCTATTTTCCTCCAGTACCCATAATAAGTATTTTGATAACACCTATTTCCTTCTCAGAATCATGAATCTTAATTGAGGTAAAGCAGTAGTTTCATGCTTCATGTGTCACTCCATAGACTCCTTAGGCAAAGAGAGACTCGACAAAAGTCCTTTGGGCAAAATAGATGAAGTTTTCCTTATTTGCCAACAAAATAACATCTCTTGAAAATCAGTCTCTAACACTAGCTTAATAGCTTTTGTTATAGGGAGAAAAAGAGCTTTCTAGATTGAAGGGATCTACCTACTTAAGATTTTTATTCTTTTCAGAGCCCTTTAAAGCTAGTATATATTCTTGCTAGTAATTCTATGTATTGGCTCATATTCAAGTAAAGAGCCATTCCTTTTAGTCATATTTAGACAGGATTGAAGAATATAGACAACCACTTTTGTCTTCATAATCTCTTTACCAGGATACTTTTTTGTCTTGAATGTACTCATTCCTTGGTACCAGTATTCAGTTGCCTATGTGCCAACATTCCCCTTCTTATATACATTTTACTAACATTTTGAGATACAGTTTCAGCAACAAACACCATGTTCTTTGACATTCATTCATTAAAACTCTTCCAAGCCAGGTGCTAGTGGTTTACACCTGTAATACTAGCTACTTGGTAGGTCAAGATTAGAGATCATAGTTCAAGGTCAGCCGTGGCAGAAAATTGAAAAACTTCTTCCCATGGGAGTAGTGGCATTTGCTTGTCTGTCTAGTTATAATAAAAAGCATAAAATAGGTATATCTGGGTGCAGGCACAAGCCTGAAAAGAAGTATAAGGGCCCTATCTTAAAAACAGCTAGTGCAAAAAAAGGACTAGAGATATAGCTCAGCAGTACAGTGCTTGTGTAGCAAGCATGAGGCCAAGTTCAAACATGAGTATTGCCATAAATAACAAAATGTCCTCAGGAGCTGAGCATGATGTCACACATCTGTAATCTCAACACTCAGGAGGCTGATGCAGGAAGATCACAGCCTTGGCTGTTCACAGCAAATTTAGCCAGCCTTGGCTACGGAGCAAACAAACAAAACAAACTAGGAATTTAACTTTCTAGTGTAAATAAAACTGCGCTTTAATCAAGATTATCAGTCCCTTAGAGAAGCTCAAGCTTATTTTCCCATATACCTTAGCATTCGTTTTAATATTATAAAATGACAACTTCTAACATACTTTGTAATATGCAGTTCTTGCGGTAGCTTCATTTATAAGCTTCTCTTTTCTATATCTACTCTTAGTGTTGCATTTGAACTAGGAAACTGTGCCAAGCTATTATAACCTTCTGAAGAGATACTTCTGGTTGGGCTAGCACCCAAGGAAGCAGCAGGTCTGTGTCTTCCTGTGTGGTTCTGGAAAAGAAAACTTGTCTGTTGCACTCTCACATAACATGGCCTCAAAGCTGAGCACATTGATAAGTGACTAGCCTTTTGACATTAATTAGTCCTTTTAGATTCTATTTGAGAGAATGGACCTTTTTTTCCCCTTGATTATTTTCTATTTTTCCCTCAGAAAATATTCAGAGAAAACATTGTATTGATTGCTCTAAAGAAGATCTATTGAATATACTGTTTATTCTTTTTTGGCGGGGGGAGGGGATCCTGTCGTGGGGTCTGAACTCTGGGCCTCTGCGCTGTCCCTCAGCTCTTCAGCTCAAGGCTAGCGCTCTACCACTTGAGCCACAGCGCCACTTCCAGCTTTTTTTGTTTTTGCTTATGTGGTTCTGGGGAATCGAACCCAGGACCTCATGCATGCAAGGCAAGGGCTCTACCACTGAGCCACCTTCCCAGCCCCTATTGTTTATTCTCTAGGGGAGAAAATCTTAAACTTAATGGAAATAATTTTTCATTGGCCTCATTTGTTAGTTTTAGAGACAAAATGTGCATAAGAGTATTTTACATTTTAAGACTTTTTCTATTTTTAGTAAGGTATAATTAACAAATAGGCTTAAGAGATGAGTAGTGGTAAGTATAGATTCTGCATTCCCACATGATCTCAAGCAACATGTAGAAGTACTGTTTCTAGATCTGGGGCATATTTCTTAATCTCTGTATGCTAGCATGTGTGCCAAATGATAATGTACATTTATCACAGATACTACATTTCTGGAAAACAGTTGATTGGGATATACACTTAAAAATAATACATGCATTTCCATTTTTAAATAACCCACTTTTGGGTTGTTGTTGCTCTTGTTTTGCTGCTCCCTGGGCTTGAACTCATGGTCTGGGCTTTGTCCCTGAGCTTTTTTGCTCAAGGCTAGTAGTATTCTACCACTCGAGCCACAGTTCCACTTGCAGCTTTGTGATGGTTAATTGGAAATAAGAGTGTCATGACTTTCCTGCCTAAGCTGGCTTCAAACTTTGATCCTCAGATCTCAGCCTTCTGAGTGGCTAGGATTATAGACATAAGCCACCAACACCTGACTCAATATTATTTAATACCTGATAAGTTACCACTAAGTTCCTAGGAGCTCTGTAAATAAACCATAGTTACAGGAAAGATTTTCAAAATAGTGCCTCTGTTTGTGTATATGTCTGTCTGTTTGTGTGTTGCTGCTGGGCTTGCACTCAGGGCCTCAGTACTATCCCTGAGCTTTATGTTCAAGGCTAGCACCTTACCACTTGAACCACAGCTCCACTCATTTTGTTGGTTAATTAAAGATAAGAATCTCACTGACTTTTCTGCCTGGGCTGGCTTTTAGCCACAATCCTTAGATCTCAGCCTCGAGTAGTTAGGGATGTGAGCCACTGTAAATGTGCCATTGGTGACTCACATCTATTCCTAAGTACTCAAGAGGCTGAGATCTGAGGATCATGAGGATCAAAGTCAAACTGGGCAAGAAAGTCGGTGAGACTCTTTATTTCTAACTAACCACTCCACAACGCCTAGAGCTGTGGTTAAGGTGTTTCTTTGAACGAAAAATAAAGCTCAGGGACAGTGCCAAACCCTGAATTCAGGCTCCTGGACCAGTAGACACACATATACACAGAATTCTAAACTATAGATCCCTTAGTACTTGCTTCTATTGCTTGTCTAATAAGCCCCCAAGAAGTAGCAATACTGCTAGCCTGGGAACACATCTTGAATAGCAATAATTTAAATTATTAGTAAGGATTAAACCTAATTGATAAATGTTTTAAGGCAGGCAAAACTATAAATATTAGGAAATCTATTTGAAACTTTTAAAAGGTATAAATGAATGTACCACTCTGCCTATCTAGGCTTTAAAGACATATATATATATATATATATATATATATATATATATATATATACTTATACACATATGTATTGATAAACACTATGAGACTGTTTGAGGTGACAAAGGGAAGAAGGAAGAGTATGGTGGAGTGCAGATAATATCAAAATTACATATTGTATATGACATGGAATCTCAATGAAAGCAGTTAATGGGAGTAGAGGAGGTGAAATAGAATAGTAGAAGGGGTTGTTCTTGCACAGGGGCCGTGCTAATCTTCTCTATAGCATTCCAGTTTTAGTATATGTTATTCTGATTAAAATACATAGGCATGTTTGAAATACTTTGGTGAAACCACTTGGTACAATTAACATACACAAAAAATTGAGTGAAATAGACTCTGTTAGGGGGTGATATCAACTGGCAAGGAGAGTGTAACTGAGGGTGAATATGGTCAAAGCATTCTACATGTATGTATGAAAGTAGTCTCATAGAAAGGGTCAGTGGAATAAGAGCTATAAAGGGTTGAGTTTCATGAGCTGAAGTACATCATATGCTTGTATGGTAATATCACAATGAAACTCCCTAATGTATGCTATTAATAAAGCTTTGTTACTACTTTTCAGTGCCTCTTTTGAAATACTCATTTCTCATTGCCACTATGTCTTAGTTTTTCAACTATAAAATTAGAATACTTTGTATGTTCGTTTGTCATCTTGATATTGATGAATATTTCTAAATGTTTTTTCTATTTTCTTTCTTAGGGAGTGCCTTGGTGAAGCACATGAACCTTGTGATTGCCAAACATGGAAAAATTGGCTACAAAAAATAACTGAAATGAAACCAGAAGAACGTAAGGGGAATTTTGCATAGCTGTATTACAAATAGATTAATAGCATTCAAAAGATAATGTGCCATATTTCTTATCCTCTTCATTGAAGTTGTTTTTAAGTTTGTTAATGCTAGCTCTCCCATGTTTAGTACTTTCCTCTAACCAACATTATTTTGCAGATTCTGAGGAAGAATCATAGTTAGGTCACATCTTCTAACAAGCCTTTCCAACCAAAGGTAAATAGAGTAAGAGAAGGTCAGATTCAATCTTCAACCATTCTTTCCCCTCCCCAGTGTTGAGGATCAAACCCAGGGCTTTGCACATGCTAAATAAGCACCCTAACACTGAGCTGTAACTGACCCCTGTCCCCAGCCTTTGTAGTACCTTTTTGGTATTATAGTGAATCAACCACTTTTTCTGTACCTTAAGGGAAACATTGTATTATCTGTAGTAAGCAGAAGTTGCTCATTTCCCTAAAAGCCTTCAGTGAAAGAAAAGCCAAGTTAATTTCTTGGTGTTATGTGGTTCTGTACATTTATTTACATTAAACACTATAGCAACAACTATTGTCACTAAGACTTGTTTAAATGCACTATTTCTATTGTCCTCACAGAAATGCTATGAGGTAATGCGAGTGATCCCATTTTATTGATAAAACTAATTCTTAGGTTGTATTGAGTAAAACAAGCATGGGACTGGTGATACAATAAATCTGGTTCACTGTGGGAACTTGTTTTTAAATATTTTTTCCTATTACACAATAACTGTTCATCTCCTTAAGTGTTTCCCAACATATTTTCTTTCAAGTTTTTATAAATGAACATTGGTTGAGGGGTTTTCTCTGAGTTTTTAGATAATAGAGTTAGTTTGAGGTATTATAAATCAGGATAAAAGATTTACTCAGTGGAGCATATACTTATGTAAAACATTTATGACACTAGAGGGAAGCAAATAATAGAGTGTCATATGGTAACTACCTGTTAAGTTAAAGATGAGATTGCTTATGGAAGTTAAGGGTGGAGGAATGTCACAGATCAGATGGAAGTGCATTATGAATTGGATTTGAGCATATCTGCAGAGACAGAAGTTAGTTAGTTGGAGTGAAACTAGGAGCCATGACACTTCAAAGGCTTTATTCTGTCAGAATTTTTCATGTACAAGAGTTGGTGCTTGTGTTTTTAGATTCATGAGGTTTGTTTTGCCCACTAAGGTCCAAATATCACTTTAAACAGAATAGTAACTATAGGGTCGGGAAGGTGGCTCAGTGGTAGAGCGCTTGCCTTGCATGCATGAGGCCTGGGTTCGATTCCTCAGCACCACATAAGCAAAAAGAAAAAAGCCGGAAGTGGTACTGTGGCTCAAGTGGTAGAGCGCTAGCCTTGAGCTGAAGAGCTGAGGGACAGCGCCCAGGCCCAGAGTTCAGGCCCCATGACCAAACCCCAAAAAAAATAAAACAAAAAAAGAATATTAACATAGATTATATATTTACCTTTAACAATAAACTATACATTACATACTTACCTATGAAGGGTAGATTGGAGAAATCGGTGGTAAAGAGATAACTAATTTGAGCCAGAGGGTAGATCATGATAACATTAGTCAAAGTTGGCAAATTCAGATAAAGGAATTATACTTTCAAGAGAAAATAATGGACCTTGGTGTGTACATTTTGAACTTGAGGTCATTGTTAGAAATATATGCAGACCTATCTAGTGGAATTTTGAAGATAATTGTTTCAAGTTTCACAAGAGATGCTGATAAAACTCAGGAATAATTTAATGAGTGCTATTGTATGCTAGACTACAGAAATAATATACTTTCTGTGCTCTTAAATTTGTATTTGAGGACAAGATATGTAAATTGTTATAGAACATTGTTCCTGTGCAAAATGTGATAGAAGGGAAAGACAAAAGACAAAAATGTCAGTTATCCCTAGGAGACGGGTGGGAAATATTTTATAACAAAATTGATGCTTAAGTTACATCGTGAAAACTGGACCAAAATACGAAGTACATTTCAAGATGAAGGAGAGCTGTGAAACAGCATAATATCAAAGGAGTGCAACTGTGGTACACCCAGTGCACTAATGCAGGAAAGTGAAGTGGAGAGGTTAAGAAGTCCAAATCAGTCATTTACGTCCTGAGATGACACTTCAACGTTCTTTCAGGAAGAGAATATTAAACATAGACACTTATTTAGAAAGATCACTCAGGCAGAAATGTGGATGATGTATCAGGAAACTGATCTCAGGAAGGCAAGATCTGGAAGAAAGGAATTCGAACCCAGCTCAAGGAGAAAAATTATGAAACCTAATTTCCAAATTAACCAACAAAAAGCCAGTCTGTAGACATGGTTCAAGTGATAGAGCATTAGTCAAGCAAGCAAGCTGAAAAGACTTGAGGCCCTGACTTCAAACCCCAATACTGGGAAGACCTTATCTGAGATTCAGATGTCCAAGTGAGAGGGTATGAGGAATCAAGACAGGGCATTGTAAGTGGAGGAGAGTTGTGTTTTGCAGGACAATTAAAGAGATACAATTTTATTAAGTTGTAGGTTAGTGTGCTTACTAGTTGCCTACATTTAAAGTACCACAAAAAAGTAAATAGCATACAGTTTTAGTCAAATAAAAGATATTTCTGGTTTGAGACATAAAAGCAAGTATTTAAGATAAGTAATTATTTTTAGTTGTTTGTTAGCATTTTAAGATTGGATCAGTTATGCCATATTCACAGATAAATTTTTTTCTATTTGGAAGGAAATGGAGAATGGCCTGGCTATTGAGAGCTATTGTTGGGTAAGGGAAAGATACTTTGCATGTGATAATGATCCTGATAATAATAAGAGCTGGGAGCAGTGAGTCATACCTATAATCCCAGCTACTCCAGAGGCAGAAACAATCCAGACAATTGTAGTTTGATGCCACCCTGTGTAAAAAGTTAATAAGACCCCATCTAAGCCAATAACTGGGTATATCTGTCATTTCAGTGATACAGGAAGATGGCAAAAATGAGAAATACTATCTCCAAAATAACTAAAGCAAAACAGTTGGGCTGTGGTACCTGCCTATCTAGAGACCCTTAGTTCAAATTCTAACTCGTATATATCATACATATGGTTACTTCTGTTATTCAAAGGTAAAGGAACTACAGGTTAAAATTTCACCTTTGCCATGTGCCTACCAATGATTCACACCTGTAATTCTAGCTATTCAGGAGGTTGAGATCTGAGGATCATGATTCAAAGCCAACCTAGGCAGGAAAGTCCATGATACTTATCTCCATTTGAGCTGTGGCTCAAATGGTAGAATGCTAGCCTTGAGCAAAAAAACTCAAGAGATAGCCCCTGCATTCCAGCCTGGGAACCAGCACACAGACACACACACACAGACACACACACACAACACTACCTTGTCCTTAAGAGCTCAAATGGACTGGGGGGAAATGCTACTAAGGTTTGAACTAGGGCCACCTACTCTGCCATTAAGCCACACCCCCCAGACCTTTTATGTATTTTATTTTTTTAATAGGGAAAGGTCTGAACTACAGTCTTATATTTACTGTACCCCAGTAGCTGAGCTGACAGGTATTTGTCATTAGTTGGGATGGATGGGATCTCATGAACTTTTTCCTGGACAGGCCTGAAACCACAATTCTTCCCATCTTAAGTCTCCAAAGTAGCTAGGAATATAGAAACCATAGCATTCAGCTTGGTTTTATTCAGAAAGACAGGAATGTTAGAAAATAGGAGTTTGAGGCAAAACCAAGGCTCTTTCATTTTCTCACTGTACTGTTGTATCCTCCTCATTGAAAGATAGTAACCAGAATGATACTATTAATGACCATTAAGTTTATGACATTTAGGGTATGGCTTAAGGTGACGGAAATGAGCAATTATACTAAAATAGAACATGATCATTAAATATGTATAAATATATTCTAAATGATTAAATGTTTAAGTTTACATATTTCGTTTTTCTGTGCATTTTATGGGAAAATATATAAGTAACATAAATATTTGGAGACAGGGTCTTGCTATGTTGCCCAGGCTAGCACTGAACTCACAACCTGCCTTTCTCACCCTTGTGAATTAATTTTATAAAACAGCTCAAACAGTTTTTAAACACTGAATTACCTCTATTGTGTCTAATTAATCAAAATAAGAAGTTGGAATGATTATATTTTCTATGAAATTTACAAATTTTGCATATACTTTCTCATAGTTCATAGTTATTTGGTAGTTATGGAATTTAACTTGTCTGTTTAAAAACTCAGTATTTTTAAAACAACTGTTTTAGGCTATTTAGATTAGATAACAGGTTCTGTTATACACTACATGAAGTTAGGTTTTCTTACCAAGAGGGCTAAGCACACTAGATTATTCAAAAAAATAATAAGCTCAAGATATAATGAACGTGTAATTAAGGTTGATGAAAGAGTTTGGCAAGTCAGTAGAGGTGAAGAAGACACATATAGTTGAAGGAAGATGAGGTATTGTAAGTGATGTGAACTGTAAATACAAAAAAATGATAATAGCGTAAACATGTTCATAGAATTGAAAGTGAAGGCCTTTTTTCCAGTCTATTTTTTATTATATTGTTGATTATTTTCTGAATGTAATTTGCTTCATGCCATTCTCTAGAATGCAGTTAGGAGCTAGCATTCTGAATGAAAGAAAAAGAAATTGTTATGTTGCACACCACACAGCGTCTTTGTTTTAATGTCTTTGTGCTTTATTTATTATGACAATGGACAATAAGGGTCATAAGAATATATTAGAGTCTCTGAGCTAAAAATAATGTTGATGCTGAAGAGAGGAGAAAAGCCTCTACTTTTAAATAAGATGTTGTAAATATAAAAGAATCTTAATGATTGTTCTATAGCAATACTTTTTGTGAGCAACATTGACATTACAGATTGATCATATTTTCCATAATACACTAAATTCACTCTGAAACTCCTGTATCCACCAAATTCTTCCTGTCATCACCTCCATCAAACCCATCTTCTACAATGGATTTAGGACTAGAGTGTAGTCTCCTCACTGCTCTGCTACAGTTGTTTCTCTTTGCTATGTAGAATTAAAAACCAGTGTTTCACATTCCAACACTTAGGAGCACTCAGAGTTTCTGCAGCCTGAGCGCTTTAGTTCTCTACTGCTAGTGCACTATGCATGGTACTCAGCCCCTTAGTTACAGTCATAGTCACTTCCCAGGGGTCACCTATCCTTCTCTCAGTGGCATATATGGGTGGTGAATATCTTTTCATTTTAATATTTAAAACCTCAAAGTGTTAGGCTTCTCCCCCTGCTTCAGACAGTAGGGCTAAACCCTTATCCCATCATCCTTTTGAAAGTGGGTGTGCAGCAAGTGGCACTGTGGCTCAAGTGTCAGAGTGCTAGCTTGAGCTGAGAAGCTCAGGGACAGTGCCCAGGCCCACAGTTCAAGACCCATAACCAACAAAAAAGAAAAGAAAAAAAAATAGAAGATGGGAGTGTGTGTGTGTGTGTGTGTGTGTGTGTGTGTGTGTGTGTGTGTGTGTGTGTGTGTGTGATCAGCTTGGATGAACTACTTTCAAATAAATAGGCCAAGAAATGGCACTATAGGTCAAAATGGTAGAACCAGATCCTTGAGCAAAAAGGCTTTAGGGACAACATCTAGGCCCTGAGTATAAGCCCCACGATTGACCAACATCATGAAAGTAAGTTGATTTTTTTTTCTTGTAGTCAATAGGGAACAATTGAAATATTTTAAGTAGATTTTTATTTTGAAAAGATCACTATATTTGAGAGCGAAGGAAATAAATTGGTTTTCTGTGCTTCCTTTGACATGTGATAGGTGTGAAGAACCCTAATTAACGTAATAAACAGTGATAATGGAAAGAAACAATTGATGAGAAAGTGGCAGAATCAACGAGATGCTGTGAAGGGGGAACAAGAAAGATATTAATCACATACTGCTTCTAGATGGACTTGGGGCAGATGATCAAAGCATTTACCAGGACAGAAAAGAGAGAAAAATCAGTTTGGGCAAATGTTAGGTTTACTTTTAGGAGTATCACATGGATAAAAAAAGATTGAGTGAGTTGTACTGGCATGTACCTTTAACCTTTAACTAGGGAGTCTGTGGTAGAAGAATTCCAAGTTTGAGGTTAGGCTGGGCTACAATAGTGAATCCTCGTTTCAAAAAAAATGTTGATATTTCATGCTTTTCCTATAACTGTTATTTATGCCTTTCTTTGGAATAGAATTCCTTACAATTATACTATTCAAAATGAAGCAGTTTAGAAATTTGTTGTAGACTCTAATGTGAAAATAAATGTGATCACAGTGAGGAAACCTGGAAAGAAAAGCTTGGAATTTTCCCTCTGAAATTGTGTACTAAATTACATATTTTTATGTTTCTGATTAATATCCTAAAGTTGTAGGAGTTAGTGAAGCTTATGAAGATGCTGCCAATTGTCTCTGGTTGTTAACTAACTCCAAGCCTTGTGCTAATTGTAAGTCCCCAATACAGAAGAATGAAGGTTGCAATCACATGCAGTGTGCAAAGGTAAGAAGTTAAAGAGTTTTGCACTTGAAGTCCTAATAAAGTCTGTCAGTCCAAAGCAGAAAAGTTACTCGATGAATGAAACATCAACTAAATGAGTAATTTACTACTATATTGAAAATGAAAATACCAACAAAAATCTACTTGGTTGAAAGTAATATAAACAAGGACCTTTATGAACTATAGAAATGATCCCTGAAAATACAGTCTTAAATAAAGACCTTAATAGGACTGAAAGTTAACAGTATATACATACATAAACTCCTGGCTTCGTTGCACAGAAATAAAGTTCCATTATATTTAAAGCAAATATTCCAGGAGGTTAATAATATTTCATTAATCCTTGCCTACATATTTCTAAATGCTTTTGTTTTAAAATTGTAATGATATTTTTCTTTTTTCCTTTTTTATTAAGTATTTATATTTAAAATGATTATTTAAATTAACCCACAATGTAATTTCTTCTAATATAGTATATGAAAGAAACAGTTAAGATGACAATAAAAATGTCAATATCATCTAAGAATTACTTGCCTTTTAAACTTACTATTTTATAACTTACAAAAGAAAGGTAGTGGGGCTGGGAAGGTGGCTCAGTGGTAGAGTGCTTGCCTTGCATGCCTGAGGCCCTGGGTTCGATTCCTCAGCACCACATAAGCAAAAAGAAAAAAGCCGGAAGTGGCGCTGTGGCTCATGTGGTAGAGCGCTAGCCTTGAGCTGAAGAGCTGAGGGACAGCGCCCAGGCCCAGAGTTCAGGCCCCACGACCGGACCCAAAAAAAAAAAAAAGAAAAGAAAGGTAGTTACTAAATTATTTTGAGACTCTATCTCCAGTTACCCACCAAAACCCCAGAACTGGAGCTATGGCTCAAGTGGTAGAGTACTACTTTGAACAAAAATGTTAAGGGACAGCACCTAGGCCTAGAGTTTAAGCCTTAGTACCCGTGCGCGCGCGCGCACACACACACGTCTGTATAAGATTATCATAAATGATTGGCTGGCTTAGCGAAGCTGTAAAATTTCCCTAAGAGACTAAATGGAAAACTTAGTGTAGGATTCTGAGCAAAATCCTCAAAAGTGTTTATTAGTTTAGTTAAGGAATGGCTGATACTGTTTTCTCTTCAAAATCTATATTTTTTTCTTGGAAAATCTGATAAAGATTAAGACTACCTAGATCTGTAAAGAAGTGTAGATTAACTAAAATCATCAACTGTTAGCAGCTAACAGTAGCTAACTGCTAGCTACCTAGCAGTAGTAAACTCTGGATAAATGTTTATCAAAAGAAGGAATGTTTTTGCCAATTAATGATATAGGTAACAACTTAAATGTATTTTTCATTTGAAAACATTTATTTACATGCTTTGCAAATATAGTAATCTTATTTTCTCTGCCACCTGAAATACTTACACTGAAAATAGAAACTGAAAAGTAGTTTTTGTTGTTGTTTGTGCCAGTCCTGGGTCTTGAACTCAAGGCTGAGTGTTGTCACTGAGCTTCTTTACTCAAAGTTAGTGCTGTACCACTTGAGCCATAACTCCACTCCTGGCTTTTTGGTGATTAGCTATAGATAAGAGTCTTCTGGACTTCCCTGCCAGGGGGGATGGCTTTGAACTGCAGTCCTCAGATCTCAGCCTCCCGAGTAGGATTACAAGTGTGAGCCACTAGTGCTTGGCTGAAAAGTAGTAGTATTATGACATAGAAATCTTATGTAGAATGTAAAACCTTGTTCAGCAAACTGAATGTTTTCCAAATATTTTTTAGTGGTATGGGTGAAACAGCATCTGATTTGTATCAAATCAGACACAAAGTTTGCTACTGTCTGTCAAAAAAATTTTTACATTGGGGCTGGGAAGGTGGCTCAGTAGTAGAGTACTTGCATGCATGAGGACCTGGGTTCAATTCCTCAGCACCACATAAGCACAAAAAGCCGGAAGTGATGCTGTGACTCAAGTGGTAGAGTGCTTAGCCTTGAGCTAAAGAGCTGAGGGACACTGCCCAGCCCAGAGTTGAAGCCCTACAACTGGCAAAAAAAAAAAAAAATTGACATCACCAGGCACCAGTGGCTCACGCCTGTAATCCTAGCTACTCACGAGGCTGAGATCTGAGGATCACGGTTCAAAGCCAGCCCGGGCAGGAAAGTCCGTGAGACTCTTATCTCCAGTAAACCACTAGAAAATCAGAAGTGATGCTGTGGCTCAAGTGTAGAGTGCTCGCCTTGAGCTGAAGAGCACAGGGACAGCGCCCAAGTCCAGAGTTCAAGCCCCATGGCCGACCAAAAAAAAAAAATTGACATCAAAACCATGAAATAAGTTCACAGTTTATTGTGTTAAATGCGTGTTGTAAAGAGGTATATGATCACAGAGACTTTACTTGCATCTGTTTCACCCATACATTCAACATGCATCTTATGTGTAAGTCTGTGCTTTACAACAAAGACTAAATCATAATAAACCATTTTTGATGCCTCAGTGTTAATTATGATTGAGAGGCAGTTTACTATGTAGAATCAAATGTATTAGTACTTTAAAGAAATGACATGTTTGATCCTCTAAAAAAAACTTTTATTTCATAAACACTTTATTTTATTTTCCCTTACATAATTTTGGGGGAACTATACGTTTTTCATTATTAGATAGTTTAAATCACTTAATAGTAACTTTCTTCATTTGAGTTAAACATCAGAATAAAAAAAATTACGTTGCCACCCTGGAAGGCGGTTTGGAGATTCCTCAAAGAACTACTCCCATGATTCAGGAATACCACTCTTGGGCATCTGCCCTACAAGTCAGGATACAGTGAAATTGCACTGTCTATATATAGCCGCAGTATTCACAATAGTCAGGTTACAGAAGCCATCTAGATGTCCTATAGCAGACAAGTGATGAAGAAAATGTGGTACATATATACATATAATGTACATGTAATTTTATTCATCTGTCAGAAAGAATAATATGCCATTTTCAAGGAAAAGGATGAATCTAGAAAAAATTATATGTTAAGTGAAATAAGTCAGGATCAGAAAGACAAAGGGCACTTTTTGCTCATATGTGGAAGTTAGATCTAAAATACATACATGATAACATATATAGAGTTATATGCATATATACACAAATAAATTGACTAAAGGGCATTATACTTGGGGAGGGGAGGGGGTGTCTAATGGTGTAACTCCTTTGAACAACTAACAAGCTATTTAACAAAATGAATACCAAGCAACTGAAACCTGTTCATGTGGTACAGGGCCAGCAAAGGATGGAGCACAAGAAGGAAGGGAGGGAACAAATGCAGTTACTAAATTCAGTGTACATTATATAAAAATTTCATTGTGTAATTTGAGGATACGGATGGCCCGGGAAAAGATGGAGAACTATGGAAGGGGTCACATTGATCAACATGCGTTGTACTTATAACCTGATTCACAGAATTGAAACTCCTTCGTACAACTACTTAATAAAAATAAATAAGCATTTTTATTAGTTGTAATTGAAATGCAAGAAAATCATTTAAATTCTGTATCATTTTTCCCATCATAGAAGGTAATGTTTGACTATTGTATAAAAGTTTTGCCACTAATATTGAGAAATCAATAAAGCTTCATTGAAGGGTATTTGTGTCAAATCACATGAAGTAAGTTTATAGTTTATTGTGTAGTGCATGTTATAAACAAGTACATGATCACAGAGACTTTACTTTCATCTCTGTTCATGATGTATCAGGCAAACCAAAAACTAGTAGAGAAAGAAAAGACATGAGTACCTACTTATTAAAATATATGTGATTGCTAAAATGTGAGTGTGTGTGTGTATATATATATATACATATATTTTTTTTCAAACTACATCTTAGAAATGTGGACAATGTCATCTTTTCAGGTACCAGTGGGGCGTTCACAAACAATGGATATCATTGATCATCAAAGAAAGTCTTAGTGACATTCCAGAAAACATACAAACAGTATTCTGTGATCATAAAGGAATAAAATAGAAATTAATAGTAAAGTTGCTAAAGGTCTTTCACTTGGAGTTTTAAAAAATGGAAAAGAAATTTCTAGAAAAAAACAATGAAGATACTACATCATCAGAGCCTAAGTCCTACTGCCAAAATTCTCAGAGATTATTATTGCCTCGCACACTTAAGACAGTGCAAAAAAGGGAATGATTAAGGATTTGGAAAAAAAAAAGATAAACCACTGAGCTAATAAATTTAAAATTTGAGTTAAATGAGTTCATACAATTCAATATAAGAAATAAAGGGCTGTGTACTGGAGGCACATCTTTTCCATGATGAAGAAGAGATATCCAAATGAAACATAAGAAATGGATCACATGTCTGAGATTTATTTCTGGTCACATTCAGGGTTATGCAAACATCACATAATTTTACTAAAAAGCGGGCCATCATTTGTATATTAACATACAGAGAAATTCGCATATATGTTTTCTTTTTAAGTGCAAGTATGACTTCTGCTGGATTTGCCTAGAAGAATGGAAAAAGCATAGTTCCTCCACTGGAGGTTATTACCGATGTACTCGCTATGAAGTCATTCAGCATGTGGAGGAGCAATCCAAGGAAATGACTGTGGAGGTAAAGAACTGGCTAAGCCAACACTTTAAGCCAGTTAATAACATTGAAAGTATTTTGCATTTCTTTTCCTATCTTTGTCTTAATGAGTCATTAAATTGAATACACTTTGGAGTAGCCTTTAATTCAAACAAAATAGCTTAAAACTTGGGAAGCTTTTTTTCTTTTTGTCTTCTAGATCTTACTTCGATAGATATGAAAAGTGGTTTCAGCTTGCCTCTGTAAAGACTTAAATTTTTTTTTTTTTCCTGAGGCTTGAATTCTGGGCCTGCATACTGTCCCTGAGCCTCTTTGTGCTTAAGGCCACAACACCAATTCTGGCTTTTTTTCGGTGTAGTTTATTGAAGATGGGAATTTCATAGACTTCCTGCCCGAGCTGGCTTTGAACTGTAATCCTCAAATCTCAGCCTCCTGAGTAGCTAGGATTACAGGCATGACTCACCAGTGCCCAGCAGTTTCAATAATACAATATTAAAGCACCTAGTCACGTGCCAGTCAACTCATAGTCTAGGTGGCTTAAACAATAGACATTTATTTCGGACAGTTCTGGAAGCTGAGAAGTTCAAGACAAAGGTTCCAGTTGACTCCTTCTTTGCAAGGGCTCTCAGTTTTGTTTATAGCCAGTTACCTACCTTCTCACCTGTGTCCTCACATTGACCAGTAAAAAGAGCTCTGAAGTTTTCTCCTCTTGTAAGAGCACCATCCCTGTCAGAGTAAATCCCACCCTAATGACTATTTTTTGTCACCTTCTCACACTGTCTCCAAATACAGTCACATTAGGGATTAGGTTAGGAATATTTGAGGGACAAATCAGTCCATAGCCAGCCATATAATATTAACATTGAAGATATGGGTTTAGTGGTTTCTTACAGGTAATACTTTGTTCTAGGAGCATTTAAAATGTGTTATTCTCCTAACCAAAGGAAAAATATCAATACATTTTTATACATTACCATTACTAATAAAACTTTGAATAATTTCCCCAAAAAGCAATTTTAATAGTAGTTTTTATAAAAGTCATTCATGGACTTTTGTTTCCTAGGCTGAGAAAAAACACAAACGGTTTCAGGAACTTGACAGATTTATGCACTATTATACAAGATTTAAAAACCATGAGCATAGTTATCAGGTATGTCCCACATCATTTTAAATGCGCTTAACTGCACTGTTGTGAATGAGTAAAGAGGATGGTTTAAATTATTTATTTCTGTTCCTTTAGTTAGAACAACGCCTTCTTAAAACAGCCAAAGAAAAGATGGAGCAATTGAGTAGAGCTCTCAAAGAAAGTAAGTTCTACGTGGTGTGTGTGATAATTAATATAAAAATCCTTCCATACTAAATCAGTTCACTGGTAGGAAGTTAGGATTCTAAAGTAATACATTAGATACATTGGCTCCTTCCAATGCATCTTTGAGTTTTCTTAAACCCTGAATATAGTCTATAGTCTTAAACCCTGAGGCCTCTGTGATTGGGTTTCCCATCAGGCACTTAGCCTGCTCCTCTTAATGTAGTCTTTGCTGTTACCAGTCAAAAAACACACTATAGGTTTGCGTACTCTCTGCTACTTCTGATATTCTAGTTTTGGGAAGAACAGGCGGGTCCTAACAAGATACCCTGACCTAGTCAAAGGGAGCAAAATAACATGCTACCCAATTTTTACATATTAAGGATTCTTGAGAAAATATACTTGAGTATCAAATAAAGTGGAAGTCAAGTATAGTTAGATTAAAATCCTTTCAGTAGTGAATAATGAATTGAGGTCAGAATGCAAAGCTATGAGAAGGGCAAATTGGGAATTTTAAATTAAAAGTTTTTTTTTAAGCAACTTATAAATGCAGATTGAGTGTTGATTGGTTGATTGCATTATTAGAACTTTATGTCCCAAATGTTTGTTTTTAAGAGGCATGTTTTTAAAATAATCCTAGCTTTTATAATTAGAACAACCCTCATTTTATGAGAATAATTCCTAATAAAATAGCCCTAAGTACCATAAATAAGAATGGAGGAAAGATTTCCATTGAACCTTTGTCTTCTTGTTAATTATTAATTAGTTTGTATACATTATTAATTATATAACTATATCACACCAATATCAAACTCTGGAAGTATTATCCACAATGAAGTTAGAAGAAGAAAGGTCCCATAGAGTATACTTTTTAACAGGAATTTTTGTCTGTTTCCTCACACATTAGTATCATGTAATATACATGACATGTAGTAAACATTCAGTTTTCTAAGTGCTAATTATTGCTAATTATATACTTGAGGTTCCAGACAGCATAGTAAAATACACAAAGAAAAAAGATACAGCAACTCGAAGAGATAAACAACCTCACACATTTCTCACACATAACGAGCAAGTGCTAAGGGGAATGGTTTGATTTTTTTGATTTTTTTTTTCTTGGTTCAGATACTTACCCAGGGATCTGAGTTATGTACACAGAAATGTTAGGGTGGTTTGTAAATCAGTTTGTGTATATGTGTATAAAATATCTTTGTAGAGGCATGCAGAATAATTTATACTTAACAGTTTAGATTCTACAGTTTAATTTTTGTTTTAATTTCAGTTAAAGGAAAACCAAGAATGTTAAAATGATATCTCTGCCTTATTTTATTTATTTTTATTTTTTTGTCGGTTGTGGGGCCTGAACTCGGCCTGGGTGCTGTCCCTGAGCTCTTCAGCTCAAGGCTAGCACTCTACCACTTGAGCCACAGCACCACTTGTGGTGCTGAGGAATCGAACCCAGGGCCTCATGCATGCAAGGCAAGTACTTTTAACACTGAGACACCTTCCCAGCCCCTCTGCCTTATTTTATTAAGGCAGTTTCCTTTTCTCTTATCCTCCTCACTTGTCCCTTTCTTTTTCCTCCTTGAATCTTTTTATTTACTAGCATTGGTTAACTCGTCATTCCTCAGAATGTTTTATCTTCTTTCTTACATTGTTTTTGGATTTTTTTTTTTCTGATCTTGGGGCTTGAACTCAGGGTCTGTGCACTGGTCCCTGAGCCTGTATATTCTCAAGGCTGGTGCTCTACCACTTGAGCCAGTGCCACGTCCAGCTTTTTCTGCGTAGTTTATTGGAGATAAGAGTCTCACAGACTTTCCTGCCTAGGCTGGCTTCAAACTGTGATACTCAGATCTCAACTTCCTGGATAGCTAGGATTATAGGTGTGAGCCAAGGCACCTGGTATACACTGTTTTTATGTAAGCAGTTAAACTTTTTCTTAAGCAAGCAAACATCTTAGCAATATAATCTGAAAATTATAGTAAAGTGTGAAATGCTGGGTTGACCTAAAACCATATTTTTCTACCAGTAAAATGAGAACAGGTTCCAGGACAAACCTGGCTCCTAGGCTGTCATCTTTGTCATTACAAACATAAATGTATCACCTGTGAATGCTTTATAGGTTTGGGGGCTTGTTTAAATGAGTATTATCATATAGTTATTTTACTTTCTTCTTAGGAACCTTCTTTTTTTGAACAAGAGTTTTAATTTTTATGTTACAATATTTCCAAAAAAAAATCACAATGTTTCAATTACTTTCTAGCTGAAGGAGGCTGCCCAGATACTACTTTCATTGAAGATGCAGTTCATGTGCTCTTAAAAACTCGACGTATTCTCAAGTGTTCTTATCCATATGGATTTTTCTTAGAACCTAAAAGCACAAAGAAAGAAATTTTTGAACTAATGCAAGTAAGATACCTTTTAAAATTATGTATTAAAAGGGGTAGCAGTTATTATGAAAACAGGTTTTCTCCATTTTCAGCCACTTAACTAAGTTTTAACTAATTTAGGTGGGACTAAAAAAAATAATTTTGTTTTTATTTTAAAATGGCTTTTAAATACAGGAAAAGCAGCTGAAATTTTATTTATTTTTAAATGTTCAGCTGAAGTTTTGAATGAGTTCTTCTGTACAGGTATTTTCTTTTTTAATTTTATTGTCAAGGTGATGTATAGAGGGGTTACAGTTACATATGTAAGGTAATGAGTACATTTCTGAGTCAAACATTGTTATCCCCTCCCTTGTTTTTCTCCCACTTTTCCAGCCCTAATATTCTCCCCGCCCAAGTTGGAAAGTTCATTTCCAACATACTGTTTTGTGAGTATCACTGTTGCATTAGTTGATATTTTCTGCAGCATTTATCCCTTATCCAACTAGTTGAGGTAGAACTATTTATTTCCGATTAGTAATATAGATTCCTGATTAGGTGATATATCTATTTCTGGTTAGGTAAAATAAATTTTGCATTCGAAGATGAAATGAACAATTTTGCGTACTAGATTAGAAAGTTACTTTGTAACTTTGTAGTATATTTTAAAAGCATAACTTCAAAGTTACAGTATTTAAAAAAGCAAAAACACCTAAGCTAACCTTATACTACAGCTAGCCAACTGCATTGTACATTCCTCTTTTATTCTTTTTCTTCTTTTTAGTGGGGGGAAAAGAGCTCAGAAAGGGAGGGTATACATATCAGTCAATGGTATTCAATATGCACTGTCTGGAAAATGAACTATACAACTCGTGGATAAGGGTAGGAGGGGGAAACTGGGGAAAAGGGAAGGAAGGGGTAACATTGTCCTAAAGAAATGTAAACATGGGGGGGAGGATTGGGTGGGAGGGTAGGGGAGGATGGGAAGGGATGGGAAGGGGAAACAAAGGAGGAGGCTACAATGCTTGATAAGAAATGTACTCATTATCTTGCCCATGTAATTGTAACCCCTCTGTACAGTATTTTCACAATAAAAAAAAAAGAAATGTAAACATTACCTGAATTGTCTTATGGTAAATCTCTGTACAACTTAATAATAACAATAAAATTATAATTTTAATTCCTTTTTTTTAAGCCACCACTTGTTGGCAGTTTCCATGTCATTCTTTTGAACTGCCTGTATTTCTTTCACGGTTCATTATGTATTTGCCCCATAAAGCTTTCCAGACCTAATCTCAAATAGCAGTTGAATTGCCATGCCTCAAATTCCTTTGTCTTTGATGTCTACATCATAGCATTAGTATGTTTTCTTATACAGTGTCTTGAAACTTACTTTTTTTAAATAATATATACCATTTTCTTTACTGTGTCTATCAAATAATTCCTGCTTTCCTTGAGTTTAACATGTTTCTTTCTTACCCTAGAAAAATGTGCAGAGTAGAAAACATGCTCAAAATTTTTTTTTTCAAAATCTGGGTTTATTTCTTTAAAAGAGTTGGATTTAAGCAAGAAACTGCAGATTCTAGATTTGCTACAGCCATTCATCCTGTAAGCTTTGCTTCCTCTTCTTCCCCTAGACAGACCTAGAAATGGTCACTGAAGACCTTGCCCAAAAAGTTAATAGGCCTTACCTTCGCACACCCCGCCATAAGATCATCAAGGCAGCATGCCTTGTACAACAGAAGAGGCAAGAATTCCTGGCATCTGTGGCTCGAGGAGTTGCTCCTGCAGACTCTCCAGAAGCTCCAAGGCGCAGGTAAGAAGGATGTGCACTAAGCTACATGCCAGCACTTTTATTTTCCTATTCAACTCACATAGTCCTAGACGTTATTTATACCTCAAATGGAGAGCTGATAAAAGTTACGTTCACTTTTTGGTGATTTTTTTTTTTCCTTCAGTACTTGGTGTTTTTCTTGGTGGTTTTGTCTGTCAGTATTGAGTTCACATTTCAGATGAACTCACTTCAAAGAGTATTCTTTGCATCATTTCAAATGTGTAATATATGAGATGACATGATGGTCTCAGACATGTTAGGGTATAGAACTTAGAAACTTGGCCGTGTTCTGGGCATATTTATAATTTTCTGTTAAATTATAAAGAAATGAGAAACTTGACATTTGTAGTTATATAAGTGGTCCATATTTATTTTTTAAATTAAGAGCAGTTGTTTTGGTTATTTTATATCAAATGCTTCTGTCATTATAATCTGAAGTATATTTTCTTATTTGTAAGAATTATAAGCATTATGAGCTGGTGCTCTTGCCTATAAGCCTGGCTACTGAGGAGGCTGAGATCTAAAGATCACGGTTAGAAGCTAGCCTGGGCAGAAATGTCCATGAGACTCTTACCTTCAATTAAGTTCCAGAAAACCAGAAGTGGAGCTGTGGCTCTAAGTGGTAGAGCATTAACCTTGAGCAAAAGAGCTCAGGGACAGTGCCCAAGCCCTGAGTTAAAGCCCCATAACCAACAACAAAAGAATTATAAGCATTTGAAATTCCAATGGCTCTATTATTTTTACATTAATGTTTATAAGATATTGTTTAATCGTAAAATAAGAACTAATCATAACGTGGTGATGTTTTGTAATGTTTTTCCATCATTTTATATTTTAATAATTAATCTACTTTGATTAAGCAAGATATAAGCAAAAGAATTAAAAGTAATTAAAAGCACAAGGGTCTGGTTTTATGCACTTTATAGTACTGTTAATAAATCAAATGGTATGTCTAATTTCTTTGTAGCTTTGCTGGTGGAACATGGGATTGGGAATATTTAGGATTTGCATCACCTGAGGTAATTGTTTTGCGGGGAGGGATATGGCATTGGTTTGTTTTTGTATTTTTCTTTAGTTGCAACCCTACTTGCACCTGCATGCTCATCTGGTCTGAATTCTACTGAAATTATCAACAGTACTTTACCTTCAGCTATTGATTTGATTAGACTATCATATTGCCTGATGCATTCCTTTTATTACTCAATAAACAAATGTTAAGTATATGTGCAAGATAAATTTTTGAAATATATCTTCTAATTTATTAGACCCATAAATTTTATAAATACATACAGACATTATAAATGTGTAAGTACTAAGATAGAAAACCTCATAGTAATATTGTGAAAGAAACTCTTTCTGCTTCCCTCTAAGACTTCACTCATTATTTTTGTTGTTGTTATTGTTATTGATAGGCCATTTTAATATGTAGACATTCTAAAAAACTTAATATTACCAATAGCCGTGATTCAACTAAAAATAAGACTGAGTGAAAATCTTAGTCACATAGATTTCTGAGAATGAAATTGCTACTGTCAATTTTGATTTTAGCAGTTCTCTCCACTTCTCTCTCCTTTGCTCTTTGTAAAAATGATAATACATTTGATACATATATCATAGTGATCCTTCAACTCAATTCTTAAGAGAAAGAACAATGAAACCTTTATATTTACAGCCTATTTGATTTCCGAAACTGAAAAAAAAAAACAAAATGATTACTATCCAAAATGATGATGGCTTATTTAAATCAGATACCTTTCTGCTACTGGGGATACTGTCACTCACCCTATGACCTTTTGTATTCATAGAGACATGCAAGAAAGTAATGACTTGAGAAAATAGTTTGCTTAGAAAAAGAGAGGGGCTGGGAAGGTGGCTCAATGGTAGAGCACTTGCCTTGCATGCCTGCGGCCTTGGGTTCGATTCCTCAGCACCACATAAGCAAAAAGAAAAAAGCCGGAAGTGGCGCTGTGGCTTGAGTGGTAGAGCACTAGCCTTGAGCTGAAGAGCTGAGGGACAGCGCGCAGGCCCAGACTTCAGGCCCCTCGACCGGACCCAAGAAAAGAAAAAGAGTACATATGAGAAATTTTAATTGGCTTAAATTGCAAACAAAAATAATAATTATATATTTTTAAATTTTGTATTATAAAACAAATTAAGAACCTTATTCTTTCCTATCTAGATTCTGGGCTTACTACTTTATGCTGTAATGACAATTTGATGATATTTATGTAAAATTTCCCTTTTTTTTTTTTTTTTTGGTCCAGTCGTGGGGCCTGAACTCTGGGACTGGACGCTGTCCCTCAGCTCTTCAGCTCAAAGCTAACGCTCTACCACTCAAGCCACAGTGCCACTTCCGGCTGTTTTCTTTTTGCTTATGGGGTGCTGAGGAATCGAACCCAGGGCCTCATGCATACAAGGCAAGCCCTCTACCACTGAGCCACCTTCCGAGCCCCATAATTTTCCTTCTTAAAGGTGGAATAAACAAGCATCATAAAACATGAACACAGTTTTGCAAAAATTGAAACCTTTATCATTGTATTCACTTTCATCTCATAGGTTCTGATTCTGATATCACTTTAGGAATCCTGCAATATTTGGGCCTGCTAATGGTGGCTGTCACTTAAATTTGGTTTTGAGTTGATAAACTTGACAAAAATTATTTAATTCTCTTTTCTTTAAAGTCTTTGGCATGTTGAAATCAAACTTTTATGTAAACTTTACTATGAATCTAAAGAATTACCACATATTGTGAGATTTTCAAATTTCATATATTGTATGACTATCTCAAGTAACTATCAGAATTATACTTCTAAAACTAACTCTTCCTTAATACGGATTCTAGAAATAAATAAATGTTACCAAACTCCAATAGAATTTTAGATTGAATTTATATTTTTTCACTGAAAGTCTGTAGGACATGTGAATTCGAGTTCTAACTCTTATCTTTCTAGCTCTTAGACTTCCTTGATTACCCCAGAGAAAAGAATTTCATTAAGTTGTTAATGAAATTGGTACTCAGTAAATGCTGGTTGTTATATTTAAATTTTAAAAACTACTGCCAGCTTTTTTTCTTATAAATCTTAAGACTTCCTTTGTGTATATGTACACACAGGCACCAGTAACAGGTCTTGAACTTGGCCTTTCACTCTCACTTGGTTTTCTTGCTCATAGCTGGCACTATACCACTAGAGCTATTCTTGCCATCCAGCATTTTGTTGTTTAATTGGAAATGGAGTTTTCACAAACTTTTGTGCACAATTTAACTTTGAACCAAGGTTGTCCAGGTGTCAGTCACCTGAGTAGCTAGGACTATAGACATGAGCCTCTGATACCCAGCCAGTGTAAGAGTTTTTTCATCTTCTCTGTGGCTTTAATTTCTTCAATCACTTGGAGCATCCTGACTAAGCCTTTTCAAGCACTTACTTAAAAGACTTTATGATTCCTTGGAAATTTTCAGATACTTTTTTTCCTTTAAATCTCTTGCATCATGAGAGAAGGACATTTTCAATCAGAAATAATTAAAAATATAATAGGTTTCTTCTGCACTTACTTTTTTAAATTGAAGTTTGGTTTCTACCTTAGTAGAATGCTTCCCATTTTTTAATTAGAATCCATTAAACCCAGATAGAGGAAGAAATGTAAATAAATTTTAGAGTGTACTCAGTGAGAGGGGGATTGCCTTGTGTGTAAAAGCCCTATATAATTATATTGAACTTTCTCAAATAACTGAGATAATCATCAACCTGTAATGTTTATAACTAGGAGACTCCACAGTGGTTCTCTAAATTAGTTTTCTTAGGCTGTCACACACCCTGGCCTATCTCTTGTTTTCATTTCCTCTGTCACTGAAATCTGGTAAAGTACATTTATACCCAGATAATAGTGAATATGTATAGACTAGGGAATACAGACTTTGGGAATAATAAACCTTCCTTAACGTGTTACCACAAATATACGTTAGTCAAAGACATTTGTCTTAATCTAGGCTCTCTCCACATGCTAAATCAAAAACACTTTATTTATGTTGTATGTAACACTACCTATTGGCTAATAAGCAAAGAAAGCCCAGTAATAATCTTATTTTAAAGGTAACCTAACATTGTTATTTTAATCTAGTGATTTGACCATTAAGTTCAGTGTCTAGCAAGTATCCAACACTATATATGTAGTCTGGTGTTCCCCTCCCTCCCACCCTTTCATATATCATAGTCATTTGCTAAAAATTAGATTTAACATAAGGTAATGAAGTGGTTGTTGTATTAGTTATATTAGATAACATCAGGCATAAGAACTAACACTGAGTTATTGTCTAGTTTTGACATTTGCAAATATTCCCACTTTATTGACGCACTTGTAATGGTTATTTGAATTTTTGGTTTTATCTTTTTGGTTTTTGTTTGCTCTTCTCATTTCCTTCGCATGATACAACTTGAAGTTTCCTTTTGTACAGCCAAGTGATTTTATAATATGTATAAAATCACACGTTTTCACTTTGGCAAAAGAATAGTTATTTTACTTGCATTTTAAGAAATTGCATGCTCTCCTGTATTTTATAACCTTTGGTTTATGCAGGAATATGCTGAATTTCAGTACCGGAGGAGGCACAGGCAGCAGCGTCGTCGAGGAGATGTGCACAGTCTGCTCAGTAACCCTCCAGAGGCTGATGAGCCCAGTGAAAGCACTTTAGGTAAGCTCTGGGATGTCACATAATTGCTTAGTTCTTCCTTAGTTAGTTTTTAAATAATTGATGTCATGTTTGTAATTTAGATTCATAATAAAAGTGTAGATGCTTCTGTTGTCATGGGATATTGAAAACCAGAGGGAATAAGAACATAGATTGTGAATGTGAGGGCGATCTGGCTGCGACATCTGTCACCCCATTGATCGCCAGGGTTGATTCGGCTGATCTGGCTGGCTAGGCGGGTGTCCCTTCCTCCCTCACCACTCCATGTGCGTCCCTCCCGAAGCTGCACGCTCGGTCAAAGAGGATGACCCGATAGAGGAGGACCAGTCTTCGGTCAAGGGTATACAAGTAGCTGCGCTCCCCTGCTAGAACCTCCAAACAAGCTCTCAAGAACATAGGTTGTAGCCAGGCATCAGTGGCTAACACCTGTAATCCTAGCTACTCAGGAGACTGAGATCTGAGGATCACCTGTCTTATGCCAACCAAGGCAGGAAAATCTGTGAGAGAGTTATCTACACTTAACCACCAAAAACGTGGAAGTGGAGGTATGGCTCAAATGGTAAAGCACCAGCCTTCAGAGTCCCTGAGTTCAAGCCCCAGTACCAGCACAAAAAAAGAAAAGAAGAATGCAGGTTGCAGAGGAGACCCCTATCTGGGTCTGTGATACTGTCTGTGATGTAAATTAGCTGTATAAACTTTGGTTGTCACCCTCTCTAACCTTCAGTAAAGAAAGCAATAATATCGCCTTGTAGACTCATTGTAGACACTAAATTTAGTAGAGTATTAAAAACACCTCATGAGCACTCAGTAAAACTATAGCTATTGATACTGTTACCATGTTCAGAATATTCCTAGTTATAGTTTTCCTAGAGATATTCTTTAAAGAAAGAGTCATTTGAATACTTTTTAAGTGTTAAATTATTAGTTGAAAATATACAAACTATGATGTCAGGTACTAAAGATTTGCTCTTCGTGATATTGTAGTACCCAGAATTTTTAAGGGATCTGAAGACTGTTGTTAAGTTAAGAAAAATGAATGTAGCCCTGTACTTACAAAAACCTTATAAAGTACAAACATGTAAAAGCAAGCATGGCTCTAAGTGATTGTAATAAGTGTGTATTACTGCTTACAGTGAAACTAACTTGTTGAGAAATACCAGAAAGATCAAGTGAACATGTATACAGACACAGGTTTTTCCTAGCACTGAATGAGAAATTGTCAAGTTAAATAACAAAATGTATGGGAAAAGGGATAAATTTGTCACTAGATTTTCTGTGGTCTCAATTGCTTTGAAGCAGATATTCCAGAGAGTGGCAGTGGCCGCAGGCCAGGCGCATCCGTGGTAAGTTCTGCATCTATGAGTGTGCTGCACAGCTCCTCTCTGCGTGACTACACCCCTGCCAGTCGCTCTGAAAACCAGGACTCTCTTCAGGTAGCCTTGCTGAGCAGCCTCATGCCCATGTTGTTACCCTTTCTCTGTGTAGTGTGGTCTCCTACGTCTACTTTTCTTGCCTCCCTTTTTTTCTTCCATTATAATATAATTTGTTTCAAAGACATTGTACAAGAAAAGATTCCTGTATTTCACATTTGTCTTAGATTATTTTTTCCCTTTTAACATAGACAAAGAGAAAATTAGAAAATATGAATCTGTAAGGTGATTTGTATAGATAAAAAGTAATATCTGGGGCTGGGAAGTTGGCTCAGTGGTAGAGCGCTTGCCTTGCATGCCTGAGGCCCTGGGTTCGATTCCTCAGCACCACATAAGCAAAAAGAAAAAAAAAAGCCGGAAGTGGCGCTGTGGCTCAAGTGGTAGTGCGCTAGCCTTGAGCTGAAGAGCTGAGGGACAGCGCTCAGGCCCAGAGTTCAGGCCCCACAACTGGACCCAAGAAAAAGTAGTATCTGTTCAATAAAGGAAGAATGGCAAATCTGATTCAGTTAAATTGTTTTTTCTTTGGTCGTATTTTAATGTGGTTTTACTTTCTGTTACCTCAGGCTTTGAGTTCCTTAGATGAAGATGATCCCAATATACTTCTTGCAATTCAGTTGTCACTGCAAGAGTCTGGGCTAACCATCGATGAAGAAACTAGAGACTTCCTGAATAATGAAGCATCCCTAGGAGCAATAGGCACTTCTTTACCTTCTAGGCTAGACTCTGTCTCCAGGAATACAGATAGCCCACGGGCTGCATTGAGTAGTTCTGAGCTGTTGGAATTTGGTGACAGCCTTATGAGACTTGGAGCAGAAAGTGACCCATTTTCAACTGACACCTTGAGTTCACACCCTCTCAGTGAAGCAAGAAGTGATTTCTGCCCCTCATCCAGTGACCCTGACTCAACTGGCCAGGACTCCAACATCAATGACAATCTTCTTGGCAATATCATGGCTTGGTTTCATGACATGAACCCTCAGAGCATTGCCCTGATCCCTCCAGCAACCACAGAAATCAGTGCAGATTCTCAACATCCCAGAGACAAAGATGAGTCAGAAGGTGTGAGAAACATGGAACTGGTACCACCAGAAGAAGATTCAGTTTTTGATGCTGCTGTCAGTGAAAGTGGAGGAATCCAGATAGAAGAGAATCCTTTGGAAGAGAATATTCTGGCTGTGGAAACATTGGCACAAGCTGCTGAGAGTAATATTGAGGCAGCCAACAAAGGGAATGGTTCAGATGCTTCAAGTCAAACACCTCAAACTTCAAGGGACTGGCTTGACCAAGTACATTTAGTCTGAACTTCACATATTTGGGCTCCTAATGAATGGCAGGTACAGATGGTATGCTAGGTGGAGTAAGCTTTATAGAGATTTTGATCCACTTGATTCCAATCTAATTGTACATCACTAATGTTAATATTGAATACAGAAGAGTCCCATTAAAGGTAGTTTCATCATCCATATAACCTTATAGGGAGTTTCTTTTGTATGTAACTGGATAGCTTTTTCCCTTTTTGCTGACAAAAAAAAAAAAAAAAGAGCTAGAGGAACACACATAAACAGGTTGTATTCACATTCTAAGAAAATTCAGTGCTCTGTTTAGCCTAGAGCTAATAACACTTAAATTGAACATTTAAAGCAAAGTTATACTCCCCAGTCTTTGTGTGGCTTTCTCTTTAAAAAAAAGTTCATTTTAGAAACCTGGTTTGGACAGATGTGATAACATGTATGTCCTCAGTCTCCGTGTTCTTCCATAACTTTCTTCTCCCTGTTTGTCTAAGCGATATGAAGTGAAGTATCCAAGGTTTCTCTCTAGAGCTCCAGTGTAATTAGTTTTAATTTTCACATGAATCAAAGATCTCTTCTCATGTCTATTTACAGTCCAATTGTGCCAAACCTCTGACTCGTGCGCTGACTAGCAAAGCATTCAGGTATGCAGTATCCTATAGTGTGCTCCAGGGCAGTGTCAGCGTTCTTGGGAGTAAAAGGTGCCACTTGGTAGCCATGATGTTCCAGATTTGATGGGCTTTTGTTGCCATGGAGACTGCATTTAAAGAAATGTAGCCTGTAGCTTAAGTTAACTAAACCTAATGCTGCTGTTAAAAACAGTTTATTTTAATATTAAAATACAGTTGATTAGCAACAGCGGTGCTGTATTTTAAGAGACACTTTATTGGAAGTGCAATCATAGTTCTTTGTTTTCACAATTTTACAGTGCATTCTAATTACTAATGGGTGCAATTACTTTTAATGGTAAGTGTTTTATAAAATAGAAAAAAGTGGAGTTTTCATGAGTTATAGTAAATCCCACAATTATTAAAAATTCAATAAAACATCCTGCGCAACATGTTACCGTGCCTTTGCCTAACCTAAATGGATAGTTGCCAGTTAAATAAGTTATTAATTCAAATTTCTATGTCTCTTCTGAAGTAACTATGCTATGAATTGCAAAGACCTCCATAAAACCACCCATGGCCTTGCCTTTACAGTAAATACAACTAACTGTTCAGTTTGCCTAATGAGCAAATGCTGACACGTGTTTGTTCACTTGCACAATATTCATTTGCTGTGTGATTACTGTTTAGTATTGAAAAAAATCAACTTCCTAGTTATCAGTGTCTTATTACTGTGAAGAAACTACTGGTCTTAGTTATAATAATGATACAATGGTACAGTGTGTAATTAATAATAAACTGTTGGAATGGCTGTTTACTTACATATTACCAGAACTAGCATAACATAAGCAAACTAGATATATGCAACACTCCGTTTAATGTTTTGCCAGATTGTTACCAGAAATCTACAGAAACCAAAATTTCTGTACTGAGTTTGTACAGGCTACTAAGTCCTTGGCCAGGCAAAAAGTCATATTTGAGTATTGATATCCACATGAATTGTGATTATAGTTGTTTACTTATTTCCTCTAAGACCTGCTTTTGAAATATCTTTCATTTTGAATTCATATGGCCAAGACACATTATATCAGAGTATCTAAAAGTCCCCAGGTTCCTTAAGAAAAACTGTGCAGTGGATATCAAAATTCAACATTAGTTTTTATTTCGCTAATTATTGGAAACACGGATATCAATCCCTATTAAAATTAGTGGGAGGAAATATTGACTATCTGCAGTGTATTACTGTATATGAAGGCAAAATAGTCCATTAGTGGATTTTTTACAAATTTATTTTGGATTAAAAATATTAACATCATTAAGATTTTAGACCAAGTTGTAACTCTTCCAATAGGAAGAGTTAGCAACACACTTGGGGTGTCTTGCGCAGCCATGGTGAAGAATAGGAGGGCACCGTGCGAACGTGGATGTGGTGGGCCAGTGTCCTTGCACCGGTGCAGCATCCTTTGTTCCAGTGCTGGTCTCTCCTCAGCATGAAAAGTGATCGTTACTCAGTTTGTATTTCCTTCGTACATATTTAAAAAAAAACAAACGACACAGTCATTGACTTTACAATTCAGTAATAAAGTTCGGCAAAGCCTATTTTGTAAACGTTAATTTTATAATGTAAAAAAATTAACCTTGACTTGTTATTTGCACTTTCATAGTCTATACTTGATACATTCCCACTTTATATACAGTAGGATTCTACAAACATGTAGATGTTTGGCCAAATGAATGCTGTTAATAATATGTAAAATTCTTTGATTAAACATTTATTACTTAAACTACTTCCATTTTGTCTCATTACATTATAGACATTGTTTTAAGCAAGTCAGGAAGCTTTAACTTTCTTCAAATTAAATATCTACAAAGGGATTAATTTAATTATTACCTGTAGTTGATTAGTGTCTAGTATTTTTACAGTAGCCCATTTGCTCAGCATTTCGTGTCCCACAGAGAAACCTGATTAGCACTACAGGATAGTGTGCTAAAACGATATGACTTAGTGCTCATTTTTATTTTCCCCACTGCAGTTTTCAGGAGAATAATGTTAAAATCTTGTTCTTGACAACTAACACACATACAAAAACACTATAGAACTTAGACATGTTTCTTTAGTTGCTTAGGGAAATTTTTTCATATTAATAAAACAACCTGCTTCTCCATAACTTTTTCTGTTTTTTCTGAGTGACCAAATCACCCTTCAGCATCCTTAATGCACATCTGTAATTCCAGGCCACTAAGTCATACTTGATGGGTGTCTGCCACTGGTAATTAAAATCATATGGTTTTATATATGCCTTTCATTGTGTGGATCTGATCCATATGCTGAATTATCCTTTAAATCGTGTTTATTGCAGCCTCATTGTTGCAGTCCTAGATACTCGTTGCCTAAACTGTTATGAATTAAACTCCGAGACTAATTAAAGTTTGGTTGTAATTTTTAAAGTTACAGTTGTGTCTCTAAAGAGTAAAACCTTGCAATGTAAATACTAAACACAACATAGACATTGGCAAGTGGTTAGGCCAAAAATATTCCATAGGAAAAAACACCTGTATGCCCAGCTCTTAACACTGAGAGGTAGTTTCAGCTCAGCATTGTGCCAGTGGCACAATGGATCATCCTTGGAACATGCGTATTATTGTTATTATTGTTGTCTTGGCCATCTTCTTAACATCATCAGATCCAGTGGATTTCCAGAAAGACAGAAGTGCTCTTTCTAGACTGAACTTTGTAACAGTTCTTATTTAAAACCTGTGTAATAGTAATTCTCCTTAAAGAAAGATGGACCACAAAATTTCCTTTAGCTCCCAGTTCTTTAATCTTTAAACTATGATTTGGTAATATTATTGATTAGACTATTTGTCATTTCTTCACCCCTTCTCTCAAAGTTTTTATTCATTGCACAGTTTTTAGGCAGATTAAGAGGTAAATACATGAGTGAATAGGACAAAGCAGAAAAGTATAATAACTGCAAGAGACAGACCTCTTGGGTCTCGTGTGCCATATATCCTGCTGTTTGGTGTGCCCGACTACATACATAGCTTTAGCTACTTCGTCTAAGCCAAATCTCCAGATTCATGTAACTAAAGACATTGAGGACAAGGGCTAGGCCTAACATTGAGGTCAAGGGCTAGGCATAACTGCTTGCTATAAAAGTAGTTTATTCCTCATGCCCAGTATTCTTCAGCTACAACCCAAAACATGCCCAGCGTCTTACCCAGACCTGTTGGGTTGCCCCTGTGGAATCAGAGATGGGAGGGAGCCAGAGTAACAAATGTGCTGGTGGGCATTCTGCTTGTGTGAAAAAGTCCTTTTCCTCTGGCCCAGGTGTCTCGTGTCTCTAGTAAGACGCTGACGGGCTCACTTACTGGTCTGTAAGTGGGATACAATAAAGTCTTCAATCTCAATTTGGCACAAATGATGGAATGCTGATAAAAACATGATTTTCTGGAAAAGAGACTACCAACCATAGGGGAACCAACACTAAGGATCTGGTAGAGAAGGCTGTCACTTAAGTGGTGGATGTAGAGTGAGGGCTGGGAGAGGCTCCTGGGTCCCATTGTCCTACCTATTAATGAACTTTGTTCATTAAGGCTTAGCAACTAGAGGAAGGATGGAAACAAACTATCCAAATGGTCCCTTCATGGTTAACTCCAGCAGGCAGACACAGGGATGGATGTTTTTGTAACAAGCAGGAAGTTCTAAGCGTCTAGCTGAGAGGCAGTGAGGCCAAGGCTACTAAGTCAAGTAGTCCCTCATGGTGTCTAATCAAGAGCTCTAGAAGAGTTTGAGCTATAGAGTGACAGCACTATTCAAATGGAAGTGAGCACAAAGCTGCCCGTAGATGTACAGCAGGCTACCCTCACGACCCTGGCCCCTGCCACAATTGATATAAGTGGCCATAAGGAAAAAGTGCTGGGTGCAAGGATGACAGGAAGTACCAAAGACTTGGAGGCAGGGGAGTAGAAAGACTGCAGGTCCAAGGGTCCTGGTTTTCTAGCTGCTGCGGCATCATCACTGCCATAAGACAGTAATTGAGTTCTGGCCGTGGAGCAAGAGCTACAGAAGAGAGGCTGCTTCTTCCCCACAGCTGGCCACCTGTAGCTTGTACACATTCACAGTTCTTCCTGACATTCCTGTAGTGGAAATAGTTTGGAGACATGTTCTGTGATGGGGAAGGGAAGCTAAAGGGACCTTATGGTTGGGATTCCTTTGAGTAATTCAGTGCTATGTGACTTCCAGGTGTTAATAATAGGATTGATACATTGTAGCCCCACAGCCTGCTTCATAGTATCAATGGGTTTTTCTCTTTTAAAGGCTGCTACATACCAAGGAGGACTGACAGCCCTGGGGCTTTTTTGAGCATATTGCCCTCTACTTGATGAGTAGTGCACCCATTTTGGAAGAAAAAAAAAAAATGCAGCTGTTTTACCTGCCTAAGCACTTACAGCTGAGCCTTGACCCATGGAAGCTTTTAAGACTTCCTGATCTGACATCTTGAGTTTGGGGTGGATCAGCTCAAATTGGAGAATTAAATAAGATGGAAAGAGTCCAATAGGTCTTGCTAGTCAAGAAGACATTGTGTATTTGAGAGTGCATGTAGCTGGGCCTTACTAATATATTTCCATTCTATCTGGAAAATGAATGCTGCCTCTTTGATAGAAATTTTGTTCACAATTCACTGCCTAAAGCCACTAGCTTAGTGGGGATCCCAGGCAGCAGAACAAGTAGGCTGCATTCAATTACTGCAATGATTCCTACTAAATTCTAGCAAGACTTTTTTTTTGTAGCTATAGATAAAATAACCATGGTAAAGCAAAGAAACAGGAGTAGCTAAAACCTTAGAAATGTATCCAATTTCAGAACCACAGTAACCACTACTAAGATACTAGTGGAGGGATAAACACTTAGATTGATGGAATAGAACAGAGAATCCGAAATAACCCTGACCAGAAATTTTCAACTGATTTTTACAAATGATGCGGGATCAGCTGGTTGGTATAAAGCCGGGGAAAATACGAACCTGTCTAAACCTCACAGCTCATATAAAGTTTAAAATGAGTGGAAGTGCCAGTGGTTCTTGCCTATAATTCTTGCAGTTTGGGAGGTTGAGATTAGGAGAGTGACTTTGGGACCAGCCTGGGTACAAAAAAGGTGTACAACCCATAGCTAGGCACAGAAGCAAGCACCTATCTTCACAGCAGGAGGCTAAAAATGGAGGATCTCAAAACTGGACTATGTAGTGAGTTCTGGGTCAGCCTGAGCCTGGTAGTAAGACTCTCAAAAAAAAGGAGGGGGGGTGGGTCATCAATCAAGATGCATTATACTCACTACCTGACTTCTAGAATTGAAATCCCTTGTACAGAAGTAAAAATGAAACAAAAATCAGTATGAAGAAAAATTTAAGTCCATGGGTATGGATAGATGGCGCTTGTCAAACTGCTTAGTGCTAGCGGATTGATAGGGCCTGTGTTGGTGTTATAGAAAATATAACCTGGAGACTTCTATAAATTCTCTTTCCTGTGCAAATGTCTTTTGTCACTCTTTCCTGGATATCTTGAGATATGCTATTGGATTTGTACTACTGCTGACATTATGTTCAATTTTACACTTTTCTCAGAAGATAAATTTCTAGTACTGAGAACAAATTACTCATTTGATAAACAGCCTAATAGGTGTACCTTGCTCAGTCTGTGTGAAATGCTTCTCAAAAGACTGACAAGCACTACAAGTTCTTTCAGTCACCAGCCCTCCTGAGTGGCACGTGCAGTAAGGCTCCTACAATAGGCTACATGTGGGTGGGAACGTGCTGGCCCAGCAGTGATGTGGGGTGCTGTGCTGGGACAGCAGAAGCTCAAGAGAACCAGCAGCCTCGTGTGCGCCTGAAGGGTTTTCTGAATGCCCGGGAGAATATGCTAGACCTCCAGCTTCCCAGTTGCATTCGCCTTCTTGTATGAAATTAATTCACTGAGCCTTTTATACCAAAGCCTTCACCAATGCCTACACAGCGCATTTGTTTAGGGAGCCAGGATCAAGAGTCCTCACAGTTTGTTTGTTTGTTTTCTACTCATGCTTCAGCTGTGAATTATGTAGTCCAGGATTTTCCTGGTAATATTGGGACTACAAAATGCAATATGGAATTCAGCTTGAATCCCCTCATGAGAAAGCAACCATTAAAAATTGTAAGACACAGAATCTGACGTTCAGGAATTAGGCAGTGTATAGGGGTTTGTATTCCTCTCTCTCTTCCTCATAATCTATAAATTTCAGCTAACTCAGCATTCCCTCTGTTGGTACTTTTGGTGGATTCATCTCTGACTGGCATTCTCATGCACCGTCCAGGGGTGTAGGCTCAAACCTCCAGTGTTCTCTAATTCCCCATCCCCCAGCGTAAGCACTGCAGAATCCATTCCTCCCGCTTCTATTCCTAACTTCTTACCTCTACCCCAAGAAGGTTTCACAGGTAACTGCCAGTCCTGCCATTGGCCTGTCTGAAGCCATCCCTAGTTTGTCCCATGTCCTAGCACCTTTACTTCTGCCTTCAAACAGGCACAGATTTCCCCGTTTTCTGGAAAATTAAGAGTAAAAGCACAACTTTTCCCTATCCCTCCCCGCTACTTCTCGCTCTCCACCAGGTGAACATGTCTACCTTGCTAGGCACTTCTGGCTTCCTGTTCCACCCCAACCATTCCTGATGTCTTCTCCATACCACTGGGGTTGGTCCTTGCTTCAAATGGTCATTTTCAAATCCATTGGCTCTGTTACTAGTTTCATTGTGTCTTTATCTTTTTCCGTAAAGAGCCTCAGGAAGTCTCCAGGACTGGAGACATAACAGTAAAGGAATTGCGTCCACACCTCCCTGAGGCTCTGGGCTGCCCCCACTAGATTACATTCTAGCTTTCACATCTTGGTTAGTAATACTCTATGCTTTCTGTTTCTGAATTCTGGGCATTCCCAGAGTTCACGCTTTAGGATCTCCTTTCCTTTCCCCTCACTCCTAGCAATTAGATGTCTCAGCTCCAGTTCTCAGCAAATTGAAATTGCCCCCAATTCTGTATCTTTAAGTCCTGAACTCTAGCTCTTGCTCTTCCAAGTTGTTTTTACATATTGAAAATATCCAAGCCTACATTTATCACCTTGCCTTACTATTCCCCAAGCCATGTCTTCCTTACAGTGGCCTTTTTTAGTGATAACTGCCGGAAGGGAAAACTATGATGTCTCCTGTTCTGAGATCCATCCACACAGCAGCATGATCAAGATGATGAACGAATCACTCTACCTACCCCATTTAGCACCCTAGGTCTGCCCTTCACTGCCATAAACCTAAGTTTTGTTAGCTTTCATTCTGACCCTTTCTGCCTTCTCCTCTCTTTTCTACACTAACCTAACACCCCATAACTACACTAGTTCTAAAGTCATACTGAACTGAAAACCTTGTGCCTACACGGTTTTGGGGACTATTTGAGGGCCCTCATCGGGCACAGCCATTTTTCTAGTTGCCTTCCCAGTTCCCTGAAGCACACAGGAGTGGGTCTGCCCAGTGCCTTGTCCATCCTGCAGCATTGACATGTTCTTCCCACTGGGACAAACACCAAAGACTGCTTGGCCCAGAATTGGAAACTAGAATAGATGAGGCAGGGATGCCGATGATGGATTTGGAAGCGTAAGCTTTTATAGCTGGGTAAAATTTTGTCTCACCAGGCATCTTACTTCATCCAGCTGTGAGGCTCTAGGACAGAGGTAAAGATCTATACAGAATATGAATTTCAAGAACATAATCAGAACATATTTACAAAAGCCGGGCGCCAGTGGCTCACGCCTGTAATCCTTGCTACTCAGGAGGCTGAGATCTGAGCATCGTGGTTGAAAGCCAGCCCAAGCAGTAAAGTCCATGAGACTCTTATCTCCAATAAACCACTAGAAAACCAGAAGTGGCGCTGTGGCTCAAGCGGTAGAGCACTCGCCTTGAGCTGAAGAGCTCAAGGACAGCACCCAAGCCCAGAGTTCAAGCCCCATGACCAATAAAAAAAAAAGAATGTTACAGGACTTAGTTAAGGCACATATTCAGTTTTTCAAGATGAAAAAGTTATAGAAATTAGTTTGTGCAGTAACAGATATCTGACACTCCTAAGCTGTACACTTAAAAATGGTTAAGTTGGAGCCAGACACCAGTGGCTCATAACTGTGATCCTAGCTATTCAGCAGGCTGAAATCTGAGCATCTCAGTGTGAAGCCAGCTTGGGCAGGAAAGTCCTTGACACTCTTATCTCCAATTAACTAGCACAAAGCCAGAAGTAGAGATATGATTCAAATGGCATCAGCCTTAAAAGTTAAGGGACAGTGTCCAAGCCCTGAGTTCAAGCACCATACTGGTGTATGCATGCACATGCACACACATGTGAGCACACTGCTAAAAATATTCCCATAGAATTTAAGACAAGAAAGGTAAATTTAGGTTTCTGTAATCAGTTTTATTCAAGTAGAAAGCTGTTATTTACAGCTATCAAATAGTGCCCCAAAACAAAGCATTGAGTGTCTTTAAAACAAATATTTATGATACTCATCTTTTGAATTTATATCAGAAAAAAATCTCCCCTAGAAGTTTTTGTTATGTGATACTAGAATGAAAACTGCAACAGCTACTATCTACACAACACTTAGATTCATATGGCCAGAAGTAAGTATCCTTAATTTTTTTTCTAATGAAAGTGCTTAGGAAGTGGTAACTTTTTCATGCCTGAACCTGGTACCAACTCACACGTGTCCCTCCTTCCCTCTTCTCTTACCAGTGCAAGCCCGTCTGGGCCATAAGACTACCTCCCCAGTCCAATCAGTTGCAAAATAAAAAGGAAAAGGTTGATAATGTCCAAGTAGATGTTCAGGGCAGCAAAAATATACTCTTCAGGGTCCAGAGAATAATGGTGACGTCCTCCCACCATAATTTGCACATCCATCACCAAGTACTTGGAAAAGAGAGAGAAGAAAAATTAGGTACCAAATTGTACATGAATATTAAATAGCTATCTTAAATGGTCTGGAAAATCACTCTAGCATTGAGAAAAATACTGCAGAAGGTCAGTTTGTGGCTAAATGTTATTCTTAAAGACCTCAATCAAACAAGAGGACTCTGAATTTGTGCTCTATGAAAGTAAGTGCTTTATCTTCCTGAAGGCTTTGGGACTTAAATCTGTGCACTCCCTTTGATGTTCAAATGGGGGGGAAAAGCTGTATATTGGCCGATGACATGGACCAGATGGACAGAGTGGACACCCAGATAAAGTACAAACTTCTTTGTGATTCCTCACCTCCAAGTTCTCACTAAACTGAGACCACAATAAAGCTGGCTTGTAGACTCACACCGAGTTTAACTGAGTTCTTAGAGGTTTGGGTGACAACAAACCATGTCATTTGAGAATGGCCTTGTGACCATTCTAAAGTAGAATAATCCCCAAAGAAAACGTGTCAACTCAACTGCAGTAAGTGAAATTATGAGATCCTAAAAATATCAAACAAGGTTAGAGAGCATCTTTATCCTTGTTTTTGCTGCATAGTAAGGAGACCTGGGCAGTGTGCGCGCAGTGAAGGGAGAAGGGAAAACTGACTAAGCCACTTGTGTCCAGTGCTGGAAGGCAGAGCCCATCAGACAGACCAGCACTAACATCAGAAAGAATTCTTGGGGGTAGTGGGGGGGGGGGGCTGGGAAGGTGGCTCAGTGGTAGAGTGCTTGCCTTACATGCATGAGGCCCTGGGCTTGATTCCTCAGCACCACATAAGTAGAAAAAGCTAGAAGTGGCGCTGTGGCTCAAGTGGTAGAGCGCTAGCCTTGAGCTGAAGAGCTGAGGGACAGTGCCCAGGCCCAGAGTTCAAGCCCCAGAATGGGAGGGAGGGAGGGAGGGAGGGAGGGAGGGAAGGAGGGAAGGAGAGAAGGAGGGAAGGGAGTGAGGAATGGAGGGAGGAAGGAAGAAAGGAAGGAAGAAGGAATTACTGGGGTTTGAATGATTCTTTAGCCCATGTTTAGAACAATGTCCACTTCAGTGAAACTCTGACCTTGGGAATTTAAGCCTTCTCTCCCTGCTAGGTTCCATGTGGGTTTCTAAGAATGGGGAAGGAAGGATGAGGATGGACATGTCCTAGATGGCTTCACACTGAAATCATGACAAATTATCTCACTATGTGGGAAGGGCCCAGTTAGAGTAGGTGGAATTTAACCGAGCCTTGGAGGGAGGAAGGACATGACATGCTGCAGTAGGCAATAGAAGGGAATCTCATGCATCCAGGGGGCTGTCCAAGCCCTGCTACCCCATCCACAAGTCTATTTCCAGCTGGGTTGAGCAATCCCTCTGATTTCCCTAGGACTTTTGAGTGTCCTGGGAAACTCCTCAGCCCCAGGCAAACTAGGACATTCAACAATTCCCCCACCCACCCCCACCAAAAAAAATTAAACCACCCTGGGCTGAGTACCCAGCTTTGCTCTTTGCCTCTTATTCTCAGTCTGGAATCCTAACTCCTAGGAAGAAGTGCTTTTCCTTCTTCTTCCCCTCCAGAGATCCCTAAGTTCATCTTGTAAAAGGAGAATGGCACGTGCTGAATTGTGAGCTATAAGGCTTATCAGGAAAGCTTGTGTGCTGGAAGGCAGATAGGAAAGAGTCAGAAGAGGGCCAGCAGAGGATCAAGCTGTGGCCAGTCTGCTCCATGGAGACTAGAGCTTAGAATACTATCGCAAATACCTTCAACCCACAGGGAAACTCCAGGCAGGCTTCAGACTTGTGCGAGCATTTCAAAGTGCAGTGCTCGGCCTCACCTCACAGGCGCAAACACACCTTTTACAACTGTGGTAGTTAAAACAGACACAAGACAAACAGCTAGAAAGGGAAGATTCTTCCTACCTCTAGCTATCTGTTTGGTGTTGGGCAACCTTCAAGAGTTTTTGCTCAGCCTATAAATGGAGGACAGAATATCAGCCTACTTTTACGTGAAAACAAATTGCCTGAAACACGCCATGAGGCAGAGCAGCCAACATCACACACAAAGGTTGAGCACACAAAATAAAGGAAGACTGGTATAGATCAGTTCCTTTTATACTAGGAGAAGAAATGAGCAAACAATCTCCTGGTATAAATTTCTTCCAACATTTAAAAGATAAGACACAATTACAACATCAATATAAAGAAATACAATGAAACAAAATGTAGATGGTTAAATAATCAGTGATGATTATAGGGCTTATTATACAATATTTGAGTATGTTTAGAAAATTTCAATATAAAGAAATTTCTTTACCAAAAAAACCTTAAGAGCTGTAGGTTTAGATTAGTAGATATTTTCCTAGCATGCACAGTACCCTGAATTTTAGCCCTGATACCATAACAAAGCTTTAAAAATCCTAAATGACATGATAAAGACAAAAAATAGAATACCACACAGTTCTTTAAAAGAATCAGTTAGACCCAGGTCTGTTCATAAGTGGAGTACACTATTATTACTATTATTATTTTATTGCCTGGGTTCCGCTTGAACTCAGGGCCTGGACACTCTCTGGGCTTTTTTTGCTTAAGGTTAGCACTCTACCACTTGAGCCACAGTGCCACTTTCAGCTTTTTCTGTTTATGTGGTACTGAGGAATCGAACCCAGGGCTTCATGCATGCCAAGCAAGCACTCTACCACTAAGCCACATTCCCAGCACCCCCCCCCATTATTTTTAAATGAAAAAAGAAGAATGCTACTTATAGTATGACTCCATAAATATAAGAGGAAATGGTGCATTTATATAAAGAAACTCAGGCAGGGTTCATAGAAACTGCTATCAAGTGTTATCCTTTCAGAGAGAGTAAGAAGAGGAAAGAGGATTTTTTTTTCATTTTGTAATGTAAAAATGTACATAGGTTACTTTTTAAATAAAATGTTTCTTAAAATAACCATAAAAAGACCAGGAATTAGTGGCTCACACCTGAAGTCCTAGCTACTTAAAAGGCTGAGACCTGGAGGATTGTGGTTGTGGTCTGAAGCCAGACTAGGTAAAAAATGTCTTAAAACTATCTCTTATTAACCAGCAAAAAGCCAGTCTGGAAGCATGGCTAAAGTGAGGAGCACTAACAGCAAAGAAACCAAGTGAGCTTGAGGCTTGAATTCAAGGCCCTAGTACTGCTGCTGCTGCTGCTACTACTATTACTACTACTACTACTACTACTACTACCACCATCACTACCAATAACAACAACAACAAACAAAAAAACACAGTGAAAATAGAACAGCAAGAGATGGGACTAAGCCACACACCAGTGGATCACACTTGTAATCCTGACTACTCAGGCAATTGAGAGTTGAGCAACAAGATTTGAAGCCAGCCTGGGCAGGAAAGTCATGAGACTCTTATTTCCAACTAACTACTCAAAAAAAAAAGTCACAAGTGGAGCTGTAGCTCCAGTGGTAGAGTGCTAGCCTAGAGCAAATGAGCTCAGGAACAATGCCCAGGCCCTAAATTCAAGACAGAAAGACAAAGACAGAGACAGACAGAGAGAGAGATTCTCAGTTGTATCAGTAGTGACCCCTGCTAGTTCCCTGCAGAAGTTCCTGCAAGGAAGGTATAGGAATATGACAAAAACTGAAACCACACTCTGCCACAGTAAACTTCCAGTCTTATAAATGATCCCTCTGTCTCTTCTTAAACATTGACTCTCTCAAGAAAATCCATGTTTTCATGTGTCAGAATGGCCCTCCAGCTCTCCTAAGAGTGCCGCTTGAAAACAGAGGCAGGGCGCTGCTGGAGTTTCCAGCAAATCACTGACTACCCATGACCAGGACACAGGCCTATTCATACACATGCCACATTTTCATCAGAGAGGTGGGGATGGACTTACCAGGGAGAACACCAGAGCCCCAAGTGCAGCATACAGTAGATGCAGCCACTGCAGAGAGAGACAGAGAGAGAGGAAACAATTGTAGCTTAATAGGATTTGGAATAACAAAAGGGCTCACTTAAGTCACCATTACCAAATAAGGACCTGATATTTAAAGTCAGGGCTGGCGCTGTGGAGCCACACCGGTTTGGCCTCCTCCATGTCACCTTTGCCCCTTAATTCCCTGGGGGAACTCTCCAAAGGAATAATTGAATTTCTCTGAACTTCTTTCCTTATCAATAAAAGAGACACGTACTTTCAGCAATGTTGTAGGAGTTCTATGTGATGCCTATATGAAAACCACATAGGCCAACATCTGACATCCAGCAAGAGCTCATAAACAGAGTAAAGGAGAAAACACTGGACTTGGACACTAAGGAGCCTCCTTCAGGCTGCTAATGGAGAAAGCCAGAGGAGCCCATCTCTCTCACAACTGCGCCTCCCAACACATGGGAGGAGTCAGCCTGCCCCCCTTCAAGCAGGGTTACTACAAGGTTCTCTGGGTGGAAGAACTGTCATCTAGAGTAGGAGCTCAATATTCACCCACTAAATCCATTTGTAGTACCTCCACAATGATGGTAGCCACTAGGATGGACTTTATAGATCTTCAGGTACCCGGAGGGGAGGGGAGGGGACCATGGGCTCCAGCTGTTGGGCTGTGTAGCCACTGAAGTCTGTCTTAAGCAACTTACATACCACACCACTGGCTGGAAGCAGCCAGGCCTTTCCTGGGAGAGATGAGGGCCTTGCTGAGCTTTCTAAGACTTCATCATGTCTACAATGCTCCCACCCAACCTGCCTTCATTCGCCCCAACCTGCCTTCATTCGCCTTCACCTGCGGGTCAAGTGTGCCATCCTGGGCTGCCAACTGAAATAGCTTTTAGGCTCCTCACTTCCTTTCTTTCATGGGCCTTTTTACTCTTTTTTTTTTTTTTTTTTTAACATTTTTTATTATTATCTTTAAGTAGTTGTACAAAGAAGTTCCCATTCTACAAAACAGACACCTTGTGGTGTCTGACAACATTGTCACCCATTGCTCCCAACCCATCCTTTCTCTCACTTTTCTTTTCTTTTTTATTAACTTGAGATTAGGTGATCACAAAAATCTCACATCTTTCACAGTATTGTAGAATTAGTGATACTTAAAGTCACAAACACATTTTAACCTTCACAAGGCAAATTGTCATTATCATGGTCTATAAAGTTGGTGAATTTTATGAGCTTTGACAATACAATTATTTCTTCCACATCAGGTGATGTTTACATTTCTTTCCTTTTGCTTAGTGTAAGCTGTTCCCTCTCATTCCTCCCTTCCCATCGCTGTCTTTGAGTTGCTTAGTTCTTTTTCATCTATGCTTTCTACTCTTAAAACTCCTTACATGCTTAGCCCCAAAAGACATGTCTGCTTCTCACAAGGCCCAGATGCACACAGCCAGTACTTCATCTATACTTTTAACAATGTTTTAAGGGTTTCCCGCCAAAAGCCACTTACATAGGAGTGTACGAAGATTAAGATAATTCCATAGATGATAAGAATGAATAAGAAAACAAACAGCATTCCACTTAGCATGGTGAAGTCCCACTGAGGAAACACAAGCAGCACAAACAACTCCATTATCATCTAGAAGGAATGTCACGATGTTTAGAGATGCATTTTATCCCCCAGAGATAGGAACCAGCCCATTGCTAACAATTTTCCTTGGTAAATTCAGAAAGTATGAAGCTCCATTAACCCCCACTGGAAATGGCCACATAAAAAGGATTACATTGACTGGGATTTGCAGGAGGAGGGGGAAAAACATAGGAGTATGGGAAGAAATGATGGAAGCTACAATTGACATTGGGTGTTTGGGAACTCATTGTACTAATTATTTTTAGTATTCATATGATATTTTCTCTTATATAAAAGGTACATCCACTAAGGATTTAATGTGTATGTATAGTACGATCAGAATTATTTATATTTTTAAGAGCATATGCACAGAAAATACTGATGAAAAATACCAAATGTTATCTGGGTATTTTCACAAATATATATGTATATATATATTTCACAAATATATATATATATATATATACACATATATATATGTGTATATATATATGTATATATATATATATATATATATATATATTGGAAGTGGTACTGTGGCTCAAGCTGCAGAGTGCTCACCTTGAGCTGAAGAGCACAGGGACAGTGCCCAAGCCCAGAGTTCAAGCCCCATGACCAACCAAAAAAAAAAATTAGATATACCATATATTAAATTAATTATATTATATATGCTAACATATTATATCTTGATATATTACATATCAACACATTATATATCAAAATAATATAAATTAATATGTTTTATATCATTTATATATTAGCAATATATTTATATAGTATATTGCTATAATATTAATATCTAATTATATCATATATAATTATATTATTATGCTAATCATATCAAATCGAAATATATAATATATAAAAATCAATACTAAGCTTCCATAAGGGATAATAATTCCTTTGTAATTGTAAATTTTGGTTTTGCCTTTATAAATTAGTGAGCTAAATCAGCTTGGGCAACCAGGAACTTTTTTTTTCCAGGAAAGGAATCTCTAATCACTCTTCTCAGCTTATTGACTAGATGAAAATGTAGGAAAAGTGGCTCATGCCTGTAATCCTAGCTACTCAGGAGGCTGAGATCTGAGGGTCACATTTCAAAGCCAGCCTGAGCAGGAAAGTCCATGAGACTCTTTTTTTTGGGGGGGGGGGGGTGCGGTTGTGGGACCTGAACTCTGGGCCTGGGCACTGTTCCTCAGCTCTTCAGCTCAAGGCTAGCACTCTACCACTTGAGCCACAGCACCATTTCCAGATTTTTTCTTTTTGCTTATGAGGTGCTGAGGAATCGAACCCAGGGCCTCATGCATGCAAGGCAAGCATTCTACCACTGAGCCACCTTCCCAGCTCCTCCATGAGACTCTTATTTCCATTAAACCACTAGAAACCAGAAGTGGCACTATGGCTCAAGAGGTACAGCACTAGCCTTGAGCTGAAGAGCTCAGGGATAGTGTCCAGACCCAGAGTTCAAGCACCATGATAATGATGGACCAAAAAAAAAAAAAAAAAAAGGAAAAGATCTTCAGGACTGAGAAAGATAGGATGATGAAGTAAACAAAGGCAGCCAGAACTGAAAAACAGTTCTGGCTGAAAAGACTTCACTAAATCTCAAGGAGCATCTTAGGGCTGGAGAGACTTTAACACCACAATTAAAAGAGAATAGATCTCGCAGGGATCCTCCTGCACTCCAGGATGCTGTAGTGTTTGCCTGGTTCCCCAAGGCCCTGGATTTGACCCACAGCACCCAGAGAATGGAAAGAAAGAGCCAGGCACTGGTGTCTTACACATGTAATCTAGATACTCAGGAGGTTGCAATCTGAGGATCACAGTTGGAAGTCAGCAAAGCCTGTGACTCTTCAAATAATCCACCAAAAAGCTAGACGTGGAGCACAAAAGCTCAGGGAGAGTGCCCAGGCCCTGAGATCAAGCCCCAGGATTGACACAAAAAGAAAAAGAAAGAAAGAAAGAAAGAAAGAAAGAAAGAAAGAAAGAAAGAAAGAAAGAAAGAAAGAAAGAAAGAAAGAAAGAAAGAAAGAAAGAAAGAAAGAAAGGAAGAAAGGAAGAAAGAGAGAGAGAGAGAGAGAGAAAGAAAGAAAGAAAGAAAGAAAGAAAGAAAGAAAGAAAGAAAGAAAGAAAGAAAGAAAGAAAGAAAGAAAGAAAGAAAGAAAGAAAGAAAGAAAGAAAGAAAGGAAGGAAGAAAGGAAGGAAGGAAGGAGAGAAAGAGAGGGAGGGAGGGATTAAAAAAGGGAGAAATAGTGCTGAATTGTATCTTGGGGAATCTTGGCACTTTGGGTGCTAGCCTTTGAAGTTTAAACTCCCTGTATGAGGCCAGGCCCAGCAGGGAATAGATGGGGCACTTAAATAGGATAATTGAAAAGGTTTGCATAGAAACTCTTATAGTAGTGTCTGAAGGAAACCAGTACAAGTAGAGCTAGGTTAGCAGTTGAAGAGCTGTGACGTGTGGGCCCAAAGTAAAGAGGAGGACAGGGAGCCTGAGCGTTGGGCTGATTTGGGGTTGACCACCTTGGTATAGGCAAGTGAATTTTTATGAGGAACATGACAAGCCCAACAGGAACTTGTTGGAAGGCAATGTGGGAGTAAATGCCTTTCTCCTATATGCAGTCTCTAGCTGGGCCTTCTACTGTCCACAGAAAGCCTGAAAGCAAGAGGGACATGGTAATGTGAGGCCGACAAGATAGCCAAGTTCAGGGGGAGTACAAACGTCAGAAGGAACCCGGGAACACATCCAGTACATTCCCTATTGAGAAACGGGTTTCAGTAATACGTACTTTTGTTTGTAGAGCAAATAAAGTGAGCCCTATTGTCACCATAGTGGTTGCTCCTGTGGCCCATAACACTTCTTCCACGTTATAGGAACTAGAACCAGAGACCAGGGTTATTCTTCTCATACATTCAACAAAAAGCACACACAACATAAGGAAGTGTATATTAAAAACTTACACTGATATGATGCCTAGCAGCAGACCTTGAAGAACTGTCTGAAGACAAAATTTACAATCAGTCAGGAGCCTACTATTGGAGGCCTGAGGTGGATCCTCAGAGTCCAGAGGAGTTGCCTTAAAGTGTGCACATTTGGGACAGAGTCTAAGGGAGTGAGAAGAAATGGGTACAAGGAGAGTCTGCAGGAGGGCTGCACTGAAGGCCATGCACTCTCCAAATGGGGCTAGGCTGGGGGCAGCAAGGGACAGAGGCAGTGGGCAGTTGAGCCAGTTGAACACCATGCTGTGTATGTTAGGCCCACAGTCTAGCTCAGAACAGCCGCAGCTGTGGTGAGGATGTTAAGTGGTGGCCTTGGGCTAGAGAAGTTCTGGCAGGACACTGTCAGAGAGAAAAAAGAGACAATTCAAAGGACCTATCGGTTCATGAAAAGGACCAGGAAAAAACAATCTAATCTAAGGGAAGAAAGAAGAGGGCACACCCTAACCAAAGTGCTAGAACTAGACTAGCTTTGCACTTCTCCAGCTAGCCAATGAGGGCTGGGTCAAAGGGCTGGAAAAACAACTGCAGCCCCCAACATCCTGGATCACCTATATGCATTTCCAGACCCAATTGGTAATTTCCAGAATTTTTACTTTATTAAGTTTACCTAAGGAAGCTGTTTTGTTTTCATCAGAGGGAAAAAATATATAAATCCCATGTGCACATGATATTTTAATATGGCACTCGCTTCCAACCTTCCTCACAAGATATTTCCCTTCTCTTCTTCTGACTCAATTCCATCATATTCCAAGTTCCAGCACACAAAAATGCATCTGTATGTAAATCATGTAAATCACAGTAGAGGTTGCTTGGGGGCATATGCTAAGACTCACGTTATTGGTCACGTTATTGGTTATTGCTTGTTAGGCCATCAAGGCCCAATCAACGATCAGGATACTCATGCATGGGGGACTGCATGTGTTTTGCACATGAGTCTAATCACTATGTTTGTTTCCCTATCCTATTCTTCCTTCCATCAGATTTCCCCATCAATTCATCTGATCATCTTGTTTGTATGGGATACCTCAAATCCAGTATGGAACTACATAGGGAATAAACAAATTTGCGAAAGTAAATCCTCATAGAAAAGGGTGGTCCACACTGGCACTGGAAGAAACAGAAATCCAAATGTGCTTACACTATCTTGAATCTGGACTCCCCACCCCCACCCCCAATAAAAAACAAACCCAAAAGATGCCAAACATCCTGGCAGTTGCTACCAGTGAGCTTCTGAGAGAGGCTTTCAGGCCCCCAGGAGGGGAGGGTTTAGACTGCTTCTGTTGAGTGGGAGTCAAGGTTGGGAATGACTTAGATGCTGCTGAGTTCCCGGTAGAAGCCCAGTGACCTTCAGGAAATTCAGGGAATCCAAGAGCTTAAGTATGTCCTGAAAGGGATGAAATCCTGCCCCCTCCCCAACCTGCCCACCACCAGCGCAAAAAGATTGGTGTAGCAAGAAGAGTGACATGGTTTTGTAGACCTTAGGGTAGCCCTGAATTTCAAGGAAGGGTGCAGTGCTGAGCAATGGGGAACCAGGAACTAGAGTATGGGTAAATGGTGTGAGCCAAGGCCTAGATGTCCCTTTCCACCTGTGCCTACACTCTATGACACTGGGGTAGGAGTAGGGATGGGGGGATCATAAGAAGAAAGGTGCAGAATTGGGGACAGCTGAGCTTGCTCCCAGGGGGAGTTGAAATAGAAGTATGGTTTACCAAAATAAAGAAAATCGTATTTCTAGGTCGTGAGTTTGTGAACTATATGTGGAACTGACTGGTCAGCTTCTGTTTATTGAACCTTGGGGAAATCTGCTGACGGCCAACTTAACTCTCCAGAAATGTAGCCCTCACTTGGGCAGGATCGTGTTTGCCTGAACAGAGAAACAGTCTGGGTCCCCAAACCTCCCAACTCACCAGAAGAGTGGGACGCTATATCCTGCAGCACTGGGAAGAGTTTCACAAACACTCCTGACCTGTGTTACTCCACAGGACACATTTCCAGGAGTGAATTTTAGTAAATTGACAACAGTATAGATCAGAGGTGAGCTAACAGGGACGATGCTAACAGGGTTACTTACAAAGAGTCCCAGGAGAATGTAATTTGTAGGCACCTGACGGCGGAGATGCTCACAGCAAGCAAGTAAAATCAGGATAATAAAAAAGGCGGGCCTAAAGGAGAATGTAAAACCATGTGTTATTTGCTTCCCATGCTTATATCTTGTATTATGTACAGATGAATAAATGAACATAGATACTGCTCTCTATCATTGAATGATTTTTATCTGTATTCTGAAGTGGAGAGAGTGGGTAAATGTAGTTCTTTGACATAGAACTATGCATAAATCTATGTGTAGATCTATGTAATCACCACCACAATGCAAACTTAGAACTGTGCTACCAATAATTCATGGATAGAGGCCTTTGTGCTACCACTTTATGGTGATGCCTCCTTACCCTCACCTTACAACATCACTAGCCCTGCCCCTAACAAACACGAATTCATTTTCCTTCCATCTCAAGGGGCTTGCCTTTATCTCAATAAACTCTCATCATTTATGGCAATACACTCTCATCAGTTGCTAGTAGACAAACTGTTTTATTAGAGTCAATTAAAGGTACTTACAAGAATGCATAGGTGAACCAACGGTTTGCCAATACCCACTCCCTTAAATCATTCCTGGTTAAAATAAATAAATATAAATTTATACCACAGACAGCAGACTTTTACTCTCTATTTAAATAGAAGCAAGATGACATGGTGAGAAGCATGAGTAAACCCTAAATGATGAATAAGGACTGCTGGGGATGAAAGAGGCAAAGGTTCTTGAGAGAGAGATAATAGGCTGCAGGAGGAACTCAGTGGTAGAGTGTTCACTATGCATGTAGTCACAGCCTCAAATCCCTAGCCCCCTACCCTCCAAATAGACACATTTATAAAAGACAATTTCACAAGCCAGGGTAAACAATAATTTTGGATTTTTTGGTTGTGTTTGTTTTGTTTGATGCAGGGTCTCACTATGTAGTCCAAGCTGACTCACTATGGAGTCCAAGCTGACTTAGAACCTGCAATCTTCCTGTCTCAGCTTCTTGAGTGCTAGGATTTGCACCACCATGCTCAGATATTAGTCAAATTTAAACTAATAAAAATACTGAGGTATGTGTGCAAAGTGAAGTAAATCAACTCATGATTCATTTTGTAAATACCCATTTTCAGAGGCTATGCAAAAGTAGTGATGGACACAAGTTCTCTCTATAATTCCTGGATTTAACAGCCTTCCAGCCTCCTAAATCTCCACAATCTCGCCTATTTTCCTTTATCCAATTGCATCTGCAAAGTAGCTCAAGGGAGACAAAAACAAAAAAACAAAAAAAAAAAACACAAAAAACAGTGCCCCAACTAAGAGAAACAAGCTCTTGGTTCAGGAAGATGAGTAAAATTCTAGCAATCTACACCACCTTGGTCTAGTGATTGCTTCACAAACTTCTTAAACTTGGTACTGGTGACTTAAGCCTGTAATCCTAGGTACCCAGGAGGCTGAGTTAAAATTCAAAGCCAGCCCAGGAAAGATGGTCCTTGAGACCTTCTTATCTCCATTACCCAACAAAAAAATGGAAGTAGAGGTGTGGCTCAAGTGATAGAGTGCCAGCCTTGAGCAAAAAGTCAAGCAAGAACTCAAGACCCCAAGTTCAAGCCACAGTACTAGCAGATACACACACATACACACACACACGCACGCACACACACACACACACACACACACACACCAAGCTTCAGAAATAGACATAGAAGACACATAGAAGACTGATTAAGAATGAATGGTGTAGGTGCTGGTGGCTTACACCTGCATTCCTAGCTATACAGGAGGCTGAGCTCTCAGGCTCAAATTTGGAAGCCAGCCTGGGCAGGAAAGTCCATTAGACTGTTGTCTCCATTAACCATCAAAAAATATAGAAATGGAAGTGTGGCTCAAGTGGTATAACACCAGCCTTGAGCTAATGAGCTAAGAGATGGTGATTAACCTTGAGTTCAAGACCCAGTACCCACACGCACAAAAAATATGGTTAAGGAAAAATGCATACTATCTTAAATGATCAAAATTAAAGCAAGACGATCCAGTGAGAGAATTAATATGATAACAACTTACCAGAAAAGAAACACACTGATGATTATGGCAGTGACTAACAGCTGAGCTGACACAATGAGGAACACTTTTATAATGAAGGCTGAGGAGATAGAAACATTATTTTTGATACTATAATATTAAAATGAAACGATAAATATAACTATCTTTGATATAAATGAAGTGAATTTTTCCTTTTTGGGTATGGGCAGTGCTAATTTATCATCAGCAAATAGAGTAACAACAAAAGTACAAATCTGCAGAACTTTTAAAGAACATTTCACCAAACTGGGGTGTGGTGGCACTAGTTTGTAGTTCCAGTGGTCTGTGCCTATAGTCCCAACTAAGCAGAAGGTTGAGGCAGGAAGATCACTTGAGTGAAGGAGCTCAATACCCATTTGGTCAACATGGAGAGACTCCATACCAAGGATGAAATGAGCAAGCAAACAACCAAAGAGTCAACTTAGTTGTTCAAGGTGTTTATTGGAGACCTTAGGGTTTATTCAAGTTTCAGAGACAAACTCAATGATCTGAGTAATTCTCTAGTAGAAATATTTCTATACTATGCATACCCCATCCTCCTTAGAATCAAAATAATTCCCAGTATGTGGTGAGCCCATCATTTTGGATCCAGCTACTACTCAAATGCACAGAACAAGCAGCAGCAAAGCTTCAGGGCTGCAGGGAGAGGGTGGTCCCTTCTTAGAGATGGCCTGATGCTGCAGCAGAGTTTGCAGAGCTACTTACCCTCTGCTTTTTCCAGCCTTCCTGCCCTACACATGACTCCCTACTCTTCTATGAACTGAGACAGGAGCTAAATAACCTGCCAAATTAAAAGTCAGACCAAAGAGTTCCATGTGGATGACTTGCAAAGCAGTTCACAGAAGGACTTTGCTTCTAACTTTCCAACATCACAGATCTCCCTAGGCCCTTTGATTATGCCCCTGGCAATGACATCTTCCTCTCATTGCGGCAGTATCCTTATTTCAAAAGGAAGAAATGAAAAATGCTTAAAATTAAGTTATAAGCCAGGCACTGATGGCTTATGTCTGTAACCCTAGCTACTCAGAGACTGAGATCTGAGGATCCTAGTTTGAAGCCAGCGTGGGCAGGAAACTCTTGTGAGACTCTTATCTCCAATAAACTACTCAAAAAAGCCAGAAGTGGCACTGAGGCTCAAGTGGTAGAGCACTCTCTTTGAGCAAAAGCAGCTCAGGGACAGCACCCAGGCCCAGAGTGCAAGCCCCAGGACCAATAAAAAAATTAAGTTATAGCACAGTAAGACCAAAGGAAAAGAAGGTACAGTGCCCATGTGCTCAGATAAATGCCTCTGTGATCACATGAAAATATTTATTGAAATGAACTCCAAGAAATGGAAAGAAGTAGTATTTTCTTCATTGCTGTTTTTTTTTTCTTTTTGTCTTATTTGTACATTTATCTGTCTTTGGGAGAGTAAAGGTAGGGGCACATAAAAAGTGAGGGAGGGGGTAACCTTGTTCAAAAAGAAATGTACTCGTTACTTGATTTATGTACCTGTAACCTTCTGCATATCACTTTTATAATAACTTTTTTTGTCAGTCATGGAGCTTGAACTCTAGGCCTGGGTGGTATACCTGTGCTCTTTAGCTCAAGGTGAGTGCTCTACCACTTGAGTCACAGCACCACTTCTGGTTTTCAGGTGGTTAATTGGAGATATGAGTCTCAAGGACTTTTCCTTCCAAGGCTGGCTTTGAACTATGGTCCTCAGATCTCAGCCTCCTGAGTAGCTAGGATTACAAGCATGAGCCACCAGCACCCGAGAATAACATTTTTTTTTTTAATGTTAACTTAGAGGAGTTAACTTACAGACACTGCAGTGTCTCTACCTAGGAAGTATGATACTTACCTTCCTAATTAGAATCCCAGAATATACGTGTCCAAGTTGTAGCACCTATATTAAAATAATCACTGTGGCAGAGACTGAAAAGGAATAAATATTAATATGGCCCAGCCTCAAAAGGACAGACACGTAGACTAATAGAACAGAGTTCAGCCGGGCGCTGGTGGCTCACGTCTGTAATCCTAGCTACTCAGGAGGCCGAGATCTGAGGATCGCGGTTCAAAGCCAGCCCGGGCAGGAGAGACTGTGAGACTCTTATCTCCAATAAACCACCAGAAAACCGGAAGTGGCGCTGTAGCTCAAGTGGTAGAGTGCTCACCTTAAGCTGAAGAGCTGAGGGACAGCACCCAGGCCCACGACCGACAAAAAAAAAAAAAAAAAAAGAACAGAGTTCAAAGTCTCGAGATTAAAGCCCGATTTTATGGTCAATTGATTCCAACAAATTGTTCTGCCAAGCAATTTGATGAAGAGAAAAAGAAAAAAAAGATTTAGGCATTTCACTACATGGTTCTGGGAGGGACCACTGAATATACACATAGAAAAGGATGAATATGGTTCCTTTATTCAAGCTATGGACAGAAGTTAATTTAAAGTAGTTGGATGTAGTTGGATTTAATGGTTTATGCCTATAATCCTAGCTACTCAGGAGGCAAAGATCAGGAAGACCATGGTCAAAGCCAGCCTGGGGAAAAAGTTCAAGAAACCCCACTTTAATCAATAAAAAGATGAATGTACTGACACATGCTTGTTACTCCAGAGGATTACTGTCCAGGCTAGTTTTCTGATAAAGAAATTCTCATTAGGGACTTATATACAGAATACATAAAGGACTCTTACAATTAAATACAACAACAACAAAAAAGCATTAAAGGGCTGGGAATGTGGCTTAGTGGTAGAGTGCTTGCCTAGCATGCATGAAGCCCTGGGTTCAATTCCTCAGTACCACGTACACAGAAAAAGCCAGAAGTGGTGCTGTGGCTCAAGTCCCTTGAGCAAAGCAGCTCAGGGACACCGCCCAGAGTTCAAGCCCCGGACTGGTAAAAAAGACTAAAATTCAAATCATATCTACAGAATGGAAAAAGAGTTTTTAAAAAAAAACATTAAATATGGACAAAGCTTGAGTCATGCCCTCCTGTGGCCACATGACTTGCTGTGGACAACGAGACATTTGCATGTATAATACAAGCAGAAGTTTGACATGCTGGGGACCAGCAAACATATCTTTTCTTTTTTTCTGCTTTCTTTCTTTCTGTCTTTTTGTTGTTGTTATTGTTGTTGGTCATGGGGCTTGAACTCTGGGCCTGGGTACTGTCCCTGTGCTCTTCAGTTCAAGGCGAGCACTCTACCACTTAAGCCACAGCGCCACTTCTGGTTTTCTGGTGGTTAATTGGAGACAAGAGTCTCATAGACTTTCCTGCCCAGGCTGGCTTTGAACCGCGATCCTCAGATCTCAGCCTCCTGAGTAGCTAGGATTACAGGCAGGAGCCACCTGCGCCCAGGACACATATCTTTTTGATACAAATGTAAGTGAGATACTTAGGACACATTAAGATAAGTCTATGACCAATACGACCTGCCAGCCATGTCAAAGAGACTTAATGGCCATGATCAGAAGAAGATTGCCTGAGTTGAGTCAACCCATACAGTCATGAGACAATGAAATGTTGGCTATTGGTATTGGTTTTTAAGATGGAAAATAGTAATCCTTCAGAGAAGACACGGGTGGCAAGAAAAGATGTGAAAGGATATTCGAAACTATTAGTCTTTAGGGGAATGAGAATGTACCAATCCACATTCATTAGAACAACTACAATTAAAAGGACAAATAACAACAAATGTCGATGAGGATGAAAAGAAACAAAAACCTTCACATGCTGTTAGAACAAAATATGGTGCAGCCACTTTGGAAAAAATTTGTTTAAATTTTATTGTAAAGGTGAGGTACAGAGGGGTTACAGCTACGTAAGTAGTAATGAGTACATTTCTTTTAGAACAGGGTTACCCCCTCCTTCATTTTCTCTCACTTTCCCCAACCCCCCCCCCAGTTGTAGAGTTCATTACCAACACTGTCTAGTGAGTATCCCTGTTGCATTGGTTCACCCTTTGTCCCACTATTTCTGTTATTCCTCATCCCTTCCCCAAATCAGATAAACTTATATACAGGACAAATGGCACAGAAATAAAAAACTGTGACAACATGGAATAAAGCAAATGAGAAAGAAAAAAGAAATAACTACAAACAGTACACTAAAAAAAACCTCTTGCTTCCATTTCTTGGAGTTAATTTTGATTTAAAAAATGTAACACTTCACAAATTTGCGTGTCATCCTTGTGCATGCTAATCTTCTCTGTATTGTTCCAATTTTAGTATTTGTGCTGCTGAAGCAAGCACAAAAGTTTGTTTGTTTTTAAATGGAATGTGTTGTTACCATATAGCTCAACTCAAGAGAAGTGAAACATATTTCACAAAAGCTTACATATAATATTGGCTGAACATTTATTCATAATAACCAAAAAGTGGAAAGAACCTAAATCTTTGTCAACCAATCATTGTAACAAAATGTGTCTAGCCCAGCACTAGAGTATTATATGGACATAAAACAAAAATGAAGTCCTGACACATGCATTACAACATGGGCAAAACTTGAAAGCCTGCCTTGTGAAAGGAAATCCAAAGACCACATGTTACATGCTCCATTTATATGAAATCTACACATTTAGGACAGAAAGCAGTTGCATGATTGGCAGTGCAGGAGAGGATAGAATAATTACCACTGGATTTTTCTGAATGTGGTGAATATATTTCAGAACTGATTGTGGTGATAGCGTTTAAACTTTGTAAACATTGCATTGTAAACTTAGAAGGGATAAATTTAATGATCCATACAGCTGCCTTAAAATCAGTAGTTGTTCAGAACTAGGAATAATGGTGCACTCTTGGAACTGCAGCTACTTGAGAGACACCAGCAGGATCTCTCTTAGGGGCTGTTCCCATGCAGAAGTGTGAGACTCCATCGAAAAAATAACTCAAGCAAAAAGAGCTGCGGACATGGGCTTGAGTAGCAAACCCTTCCTCACAAGTGCCTCTAATATCACCAAATAAAAGAATAGCAAAATGTGTAGGTGGGTGATGTAGCTCAAAGGATAGACCAAATACAAGGCTCTGAGTTTAAACTACATCACTACCACCAAAAACAAACTTGTGGTCATATCCGTAACTCCTAATCCATCACACTGCTAATTTTTCCTTTTTCTGTGCCACACCCATCTTTTTATATGCTATGTAGTTCATAAATAGCAAGAGAGGGCCCAGGCTCTGCCTTCTAGAAGAAGCAAGTATAAATAACACTCATAATGGTGAAACAACTTTTACATATTTTTCAGTTCTACCTACTTACTGCTGCCTGTATAAACTAGGAATATAACTTCACTGGAGTAATGACACCAGGGACAGTCTGGCTTCGGTAGCACTCTCCACCCTGTGACAGAGATCTTGTTAAAGGGGGTTGGCACTGGGCCCCCCTGAGAAAGCACAGACAGAGATGACTGTGTGATTGAAATACCCTCAATGATATAATTGTAAAAACTCTTGAATGTGGTTTCTGGGGTAGTGTCTGAAACCAGGTCAGGTTTGGCTGATCCTCAAGGCACCTTTTTTTTTTTTTTTTTTGTCAATCATGGGTCTGGAACTCAGGGCCTGGGTACTGTTTCTGAGCTTTTTTGTTCAAGGCTAGCACTCTGTCACTTTGAGCCACAGCTCCACTTCCAGTGTCTGGTGGATACTTGAAGATAAGAGTCTCACGGATTTTCCTGCCTGGGCTTGCTTTGAACTGTAATCCTCAGATCTCAGCTTTCTAAGTAGCTAGGATTACTGGTGAGAGCCACCAGCACCAGCTCAGGGCACTTTTTGTGAATAGGCCCTTTCAAGTTGTCAGTGCAGCTGCCTCTCTTGGCCTTCCTTTGTCTTTGAACGTTTCCCTTTTCCATTGTCTACCTAGAAGTCTAGAATTCCCTAGATGAGTCACGGGATGGACAGGGAGGGCCAGGGGGAGGCAGCACCGGATCCAACCTCACAGTCCTCCTGCACACTGTCCAGACCCTAAGAAAGCTAAACCAGGAGTTGGAGGCTTACACCTGTAACATCAGCTGCTCAGGAGGCTGAGGTCTCAGGATCCTGGTTCAAAGCCAGCCCAAAGTCGGTGAGACTCTTATCTCCAATTAACCATCAAAAAAAGCTGGAAGTGGAGCTGGGGCTCACCTGGCACAGCTCGAGCAAAAAACTTAGACCCTGAGTTCAAGCCCCAGGATAGGCATAAAAAATAATGATGAAGGGTGACCCAATGGACACCAGCACCATGTAACAGTAGCCTTAAACTAACTTTGACTATCATGTTTTATGAGAGAAAAAGATAATCTCATTTGTTTAAGTCATAGATTTTTAGATTTCTATTATTCACTGTTAAATATGTTCCTTACTTACATAAAACTAATACCTAGGACACTGAATTTTTTATATTAAGCTAATAATATATTCTATATAGGCATGAACAATTTACAATCAGCGACTAGTTCATATTTTTAAAAAATCCAGAAATTATTTACCATATGTTCATTATGAATTTCTGAATTTCCTGGACAAGTTTGGAATACTCTGTTACAGGAGCCGTATATTATGTTTTATAATAAAGCAAGAGTAGAGAAAGCAAACCACAAAATTAAATCTTTCCGACAATCCACACCTTTGGAACTATTTTAAGACAACATTTGATCTTCCTTTCTAGAAAGGTAATTCCTTTTTTCTCACCTCTGCGGACAGATGCATCTGAGAATGGATTGCTGGCATTGTTATTGTTCTCATTTGAGTCTCCCTCTTCTGAAATTTGTACTACATACATATTTGCATGTTTAGTAGCCTGTAAATATGGTTTCCCTTTGGTGTCTTGTGTCCTGTCATCGCGTGAAGACATGTAGGGCTGAGCAGACTGGATCTGGATGTCTCCACCTTCTTCTTTCTGAGCCAGATTATCTCTAGAACTAAAGTCTGTTGGCTCCCTGACCTCCAAGTCCATTTCCTGAAGAAGAAGAAAAACTGTTACTTGTGGTCTTATGACATTTAGGTAGTAGTTTAACTCCTTTGGCTCAGCGCTTACCAAGTTGGTGTTAACTAGTTAAGTGAATATATGGTGAATATATACACGTACTTATAATAAGGTCAGTATAGATACTGAAAAATAATTTGCATCCAATTATGAAATTAACCTTTTGGTAAGTAAGATGAATTGCCATCTCATGTACACAATTATATTTATTTTACTTATTTTTCTCCTAATTTTTCACAAAGCATTATAATATTTTCACGGCTTCCAAAACAATCCTGGGCACCGTAGCTAGAAGGCAGGTCAGCACTGAGGCAGCACATGGCAGCGTGGCCTCAGGCAGGAGCAGCCAACAGTCTCCCTCCCACAGCTTCGAACTGTGCATTTGTTACATATTTGAGCACTTTGTCCCAGAAACATACCCATGTGTACAGACAGAGAAGTTCGGCATGTCATTCATCACTCCTAATTACACGAAATTTGCAGCCATCTAACAGGAGGCCGGGAAATGGCTCATTTGACATAGGAGAGTGCCACATGTGAGCAGATATGAAAGTTCACTGTGATATATACTTTTGAATGTAAAAAGATTTGAGAATAATATTTCAATCGCATTCATACACTCCCAGGGACTGGAGAGATATACTACAAATTATGCAGATGGTTGTTTGTGATACAGCACAGTTGTGGAATACACTCTATACTGCATCTTTTTTTTTTTACAATGAACATTTATTTCTTATAATAGCAAATATATTTACATTTTGAAGAGAAAAATGAAATGTTTCCCTTTGTGATAAAGTCTAGACCTCCTCTGAGAAAACTCCACCTAAAGCAGTGGCAAAAAGATGCTCAAATAACCAATCTGGTTTCTTCTCCCATGTCCTGCAAATTGGAAAGGGGAAAGCCAGTAAGATTTTTAAGGCCCTCACACAAAGCAATCAAAACCAAAGGCAACTGATTTTCCTTTAGGAAGCTACATTAGTTTGGTGTCTGAATCACAAAATGAATCCTTCACCTGGTCTTCAAAAGGATCTCCTGGCTTCTGAGCCAGCAGTCACCCAAAGGATTGGCAAGAACTAGGGTGGAAAGCAGAGTTCTGAGTGACAGTTAATGGAGTGGCAGTTGGAGCATGGGGTGGGCTGGGTACCCTGGTGCCTGGGAGAGGGACTCTATGTTAAGTCCAATGTGCCAAGCTGTGTGTTGGCTGATGCACTTTGTGCTGGGTCTCAGGGGTAGGGATTAGCAGTGGGATTATACCTGCATCTCCAATTCATGTTGAGAGCAGGAGGGCAAACTTACTCTGTCCATCCAGGAGGAAGCATGGTCCTGCTGTTGCTGGTCTCTACAGGAGGAAGAGGCTCAGAAACCCCACTGGGAGCATTCTCCAGAGACCCTGCATGATTGTCTCAATGACATAACGTTAATTTATGATAAAGTAGGTGCAGGTCTTTCTGATGGCTGGAGGGAGATTGCTACCTGTAGCCTCTAGGCCCATGAGAAGCTGTGGAGAAACCTGATTTCAGGCTGCTTAGTAGAAGTCAGATGACTACAGGGAGCAGTCAGCATGAAACCCCCTTCCCCCAGAATTTCTCATCAGTGAGGGGTACAGGAATGGAAACTTGTCCAACGTGGTTGCTGAGAAAAAGTGTTTTTTTTTAAATTATCTTCATTAAGCTGCTAATTAGCACTGTTCACTCTATTCAAAGAATGGAAAAGTGGAAGAAACACATATTATATGTGCATATCTCCATATTATAATGTGCATATCTAAGGTAGAAGGAAGGAAGCTCCCTCTCTACCTCCCCCCCCCCCCCCCCCCGCCGGCCAAAAGAACAGCTACTTAGAGTCAGGAAATCAGCAATGTCATTTCTATCATAGGCCTAAGATAGGTTTTCAAAGATAGTTAGGGTCAGGTGTGAAGGGCGAGAGGAAGCACGTCTCAGGCAGAGAACACTAAGTTAAGGCATAAGGCAGGGCACCATGGGGCACACCCTACACAGAAATTCCTCTGTCAGGTTATAACATAGAAAGGAAAGGTACGTGTGCAGTACAGGACAGAGGTGCCATGATTTCCCTTCAACTTCTCACAGTTCATCAGTCTCCTTCATTCTCTCTGTTCAATCATTAGTCTTTTTAGTTTGTTGATGTTAGCAGGAAAACGGAGGAAATTACATTTCCCCCGAAGTATAGTTTACATGATTTATATGATTACCTGTCAGACTTTAATTACTTGATCATAATCTGGTTAAAAGGAATGATTCCTCCTCTTCCTTTTTCCTCCTCCTCCTCCTCTTCCTCCTCCTCCTCCTCCTCCTGATGCTGCTGTTTCCTCCTCTTCTACTTTCTCTTTCTTCTCCTCCTCTCCTGTCTTTTCTTCCTTCTCTTCCCTATCCTTTTTTATGAGCCTCATATTTGACACTGATTAGGCATTTACTGATATAAATTTACTGATACAGTCTCACATGTACTAACTCATTCAATCACATTGACTCTATGAGTTATGTTCTCTTGATTCTCTCATTTGTCAAGTGACTAAACCAAATATAAATGGTCAAGAAATCCTCTAAATGTCCAATAGTCACCTAGAAACAAAACTGGTGAACCAGTCCTGTGATACATTTAATATATTTGTTCCTTTTTTAATCTTGACAGTATTAAGAAATATTTTAAATCATGCAAATAAGACCAAATGCTGACATTGACAATTCCTTGGGGGAATCTTGCCTTATGCTTTTTACTTACTGTGAATTTTTAAGACGTGGAGGTACTTGTTATTGTTTACACTTGCACACATACACACAATCACAATCACAATATGCTCAGACAACTCATGCATAGTAAATAATGCCTATGTACTCCAATTGAATCCTTTATCTGTCTCCAGGCTGAATATCTCTTATTGTGTGTGCTATGGCCTAAACAAGTTGCCCACATATAGATACAAAACAATCACCAGTGATTTTTTTGTTTGTTTGTTTGCTTCTGGTTTTGTTTGGATGGTCATGGAGACTGATCTCTGGGCCTTGGCACTGTCCTTGAGCTCTTCAACTTAAGGCTAGCACTTTACCATTTGAGCCAGCATCACTTCTGGCTTTTTCTGCTGATGTGGTGCTCAGGAATAGAACCCAGGGTCTCATGCATGCAAGACAAGCACTCTACCACTGAGCTACCTTCCCAGCCCAATCACCAGTGTGATAATACTAAATTGTGAGAGTAAAACTGTACTGAATGGGATTAGCAATCTTATACAAAGGCTATCAGGATGACAGACCATTCCCTTTTGTACTTCCACCTTACACCATGGAAGGACACCAACATGGTCATCCAGCAGGAATGAGCCTTCACCATACACCAAAACTCATCATGGACTTCCCAGTCTCCAGAAATCAGGAATATGTATTTCTGTTCCTTATAGATCACCCAGTCTCAGGTAATTTGCTATAGTAGCACAAATGTACTCTAAGACATTGTATCAGTATGAGATTCCTCCCCTGGCATGTCAGGAAGGCCTGGTCTATGGCTTATAGTCTTCCTGAAGCATTCATTAGCTGAGGGAGAAGGGCACTGGGTCAATACTTTCACTGATGGAGTCTTCTTTTCTCCTTCCCATTTCTCTCATTTTGGATTTGACCTTCTACTCGCCTTCTCTGCTCAGTTGTCTTATTTGTAGAGTCTGTGATACTATAGTTACTGCTATTTGGAGAAAGCCCATTAATTGAGAACTATGTGACATGCACAATAACATAATATTTTCACAGGCCTCAACCTAGGAGATATCACCCTTGCTTTCCAAGCAAGGAAATGAGCTCAGAGAGGAGAATCAGCTGTCAGTTCCTAAACCAGGTATCATCCACCACTCATTCAGTCTCTTGGAAGGGGGGAGGTTGTTTAAAGTGAAAAATGTCTTCCATTTGCTATTTTCTCCTCCTTTTTATTTTTACTTTTTAGAATTAAAGTAATGTATGTATAGCTGAAAAAGATGTCAGGTAATATAAAAGACTGCAAGATTTCTTAAAATATTCCCCTTTAGCTGTGCACCAGTGGTTCATGCCTATAATTCTAGGAACTCAAGAGACTAAATTGGAGGATCATGGTTTAAAGCCAGCCCAGGTAGGAAAGTTTGTGAGACTCTTATCTACAATTAACCACCAGATATTCAGAAGTGGTGCTGTGGTTCAAAGTGGTATAGTGCTAGCCTTGAGCAAAAAGAACTTAGGGACAGACCTGAGTTCAAGCTCCATGACAGACCAAACAACAACAACATCAAAACCCCTGTGGCTACTCCTGTTGAAATCAATTGCCAAAGTTGATTAGTTCTAATAAATATATGGAACACAGAGAACTTTTAAATTTACACAAAATAATCATATTACCCTATGCACTACTTTGTAAATTTTTTTCTTAATATCTGAGGGTTTTTTTTGTATCAGTACCTAATAACCTCTAATAGTTTCTTGCTAAGTTCTAATTTGGCGGACATACCAAAAATCTGACAAGTATATTACAAGGAAGGAAAATTACAAGCCTATATCACTCTTGAACATAGATGTAAAAATCTGAGACAAAACAGTAGTAAACAAAACCATAATATACAAAAAAGATAATCCATCACAACCAAGGTTGACTGATTCCGTGTTGAAATATTCATTTAACATTCAGAAATAGCATTATAATCATCTCAGAGAGAGAGAGGGAACCATTTGATTATTTTTACCTTTTTTTTTTTTCAGAGTTGAGGACCTTGCCAGGTAAGTGCTCTTCCTCTGAGCTAACTCTCCAACCCCCATATTCTTTTTTTTTTTGCCAGTCATGGTGCCTGAACTCTGGGCCTGGGCACTGTCCCTTAGCTCTTCAACTCAAGGCTAGTGCTCTACCACTTGAGCCACAGCGCCACTTCCAGCTTTTTCTGCTTATGTGGTGCTGAGGAATCGAACCCAGAGCCTCATGCATGCAAGGCAAGCGCTCTACCACTGAGCCACCTTCCCAGCCCCTCCAACCCCCATATTCTTGATGAGCAGAGGAATAGAAGGAAATTTCCTTTACCTGATGGGGGGAATTTACAAAATTGACACTATTATAAGTTATTATAGAGACTATAACTAGATAAAGTACATCAAGGTGGGAGTGCTATAGCTTTTGCAATAGTCACATCTGTTTCTCAGTTTAGTTACCTGAGTGTGGTTACTTTGTAATAAGCTACAAATGTATGAGTTGGACACTGCATATTATATATACACACATATGTATTATTTTTCATTTTCCTAGGTTGTAGAGAAGTTAACAAGGTTGAAAAGATATTTCTCTCTGATGATCACAGAGGGTAGAAGCTACAACCAGAGTATGGGGAGCTAACATAACAGGACAGAACATGGAGTTGAGTGGGATAAGGAATTGAGAAGAAGATTGCATTTTGGCCAGTCCAAGGATGATATTCTGTGGTGGAGAGGAAGGTAGTAAATTAGAGTCTAAACTTTTCAGTGAATGGGAGGAAGTAATTTGGAGCTAAAGCGCAAAAGGAGGCAAACCTTGGTAGGTAGAAAAGATACATTAGCAGGTGGAAGAGGAGGAGGAGAACCTAATAGAGAAGAAATAGAAGCTATTGTATGTCCTTTTGAATAAAGAATGATTGGTAGACAAGACAAATAGCTTGAGCGAAGGCTGCTAGGTTTAGGAATCCAAGGATCACGAAGAAGGGTATATCTAAGTCTGGGAAGAGACTCCTCTCTTTGAAAAGATCCGTTCTGACTAGTGATGTTAATAGAGGCCATTTGTCTTCTTGTAATAGCTTGGCCTAGGCCCGCCATTCGTTCTGGAGTGTGATCTGAGGTCCTTTCCAGCAAGTCCTTAGGGTCAGAACTATTTACCAGCAATGCTAAACCAGTTGTTTGACTTTTCCTCTCTCATTTTCTCAGTGGTGTTGGAGCTACATACACTATAGCACCATCACCTTAAGCCCTACTAAATGCGTGCTTTATATTTTAAGAGTTAAGAAGTTTGCATTTTAACTTGTAATATATAAACTCCCGTAGACATAGCTCACATAAACAAAACTATTGGGTGGAGAGTTTTCAGACTGTAATTTTCAAAAGCATCAAGATGTCCTCAGTCAGGTTGTTAGACGTAGCAAATAAAAATCACAGGACGTGAATTTCAGTTAATGATTATTACGTGGGATACTCACACTAAAGAAAATACATTCGATGTTTTTAAATCCGAAATTCATATTTAGCAGAGCATCCTGCCTTCTACCCAGCAACTCAACTCTTCTACCGAGAAGTTTGGGAACTGCTCCCCTAGGCGACCGCCAGCTGAACTGCAGGAGGGAGGGACACTTCCTGTCAGGGAGTGGCGTGTGCGTCTGGCAGGGGCGAGGGCCCCGCCCACTTCCGGAAGCCCTCTCAGGTTCCTTCCCTGATAGGACAGGCCCCGTCCCACGCCGCCCTTTCCCTCCCCTCCAGCCCCGCCCGCGCCCCCAGGCCGGTGCTGGGCCCCGGGCGGCCGCGACCTGCCGCCCGCCTGCAGGGGGCAGTGGTTGCAGCGGGATCCCCAGCACCGGCCGACTCCGCGTCCCGCGGCCCTCGCCTTCCCCGCTCTTCCTGTCGTCTGGGTGACGGGCCCGCCTGAGGGCGGCCGGGGCAAGCGACCGCCATTCCCGTGTCGCTCCGCCCGCGGGGGCCGCCCGAGCCGGCCACCATGCCGCTGGGCCTGAAGCCCACCTGCAGCGTCTGCAAGACCACGTCGTCCTCCATGTGGAAGAAGGGCCCGCAGGGGGAGATCCTGTGCCACCACTGCACGGGCCGGGGCGGCGCGGGCGGCGGCGCGGGGCCGGCGGGCGGCGCGGGGGGCGGCGGCGGCGGCGGCGGCGGCTTCGGCGCGGCCACCTTCGCCAGCACCTCGGCCGCCCCTCCGCAGAGCAACGGGGGCGGGGGCGGCAAGCAGGTGAGGCCGGGCCCCGCCCCTGCCACCCGGGAGGACCCTTCCCCGGGCTCGTTCTCCTCTCGCCGGGGGCAGCAGCCAGGGCCTGGCCGAGTCTCCCGGGGTGTCGAGTCTGCTGGCAACGCGACGCGTCGGGGAGGCCGCGCCGCCCGGGCATTCCACCAGGCTGTTAACCAGGCCATTAGGGCATGGGAAATGACAGCACACCCAGTCTGATCCATCTTCCGCCTTGAGGAAGAACGCTGTAGGTCCTGTCCGAGATGAATGACACATGGGTCACTTCTGCCTGAGCTGAACTTGTGCTCGGTGTCCGGCCCCGGTGTGAGCAGCCCGCGGCTCCGAGCCCCGCAGCTCCGAGCCCCGCTCCTGCAGGCGGGTCTGCCCGTGAATGTTCACATACCCTCGGATAGCCAGACCCCTGGATCCCCGTGAGACGGCTGTGGAGGCCCCGTTCTTAGTTGCTTTCTCTACAGCGCTGTGGGGTTTTGTTGTTGTTGTTCTTTTTGTTTCTGTGTAACAGAGCAAACAAGAAATTCACAGGAGGTCCGCGCGTCTCAGAAACACCAAATACAAATCCGCTCCCGCTGCCGAAAAGAAAGTTTCCACTAAAGGAAAAGGGAGAAGACATATTTTTAAATTAAAAAATGTAAGATGATTGTGGACAGCTTCTTTTACTGCAATGCATTGTGTGTAGTGTGCCCTCGTCGCCGCCGCTGCCCCCCACCATTGAACCTGCAAACTGCCACGTCGTGGGGAGCGGGGCGGACTTCCCAAAAGAATGTCTGCTGTTTATATCATTAGTAATTCTGTCTGTCTGTCTCTCTGTCTGTCTGTCTGTCTCTCCCCGCCCCCCCCTCATCTTTTTCCCTCGGAAAATATAAAATGTGAAGCTAAAAGAAGCATTAACTTTGAGTCCTGGTTAACAGGTTATCCTTGCAAAGGAAGCGGAGAGATTATGATTTGTGTTTTATTTGTTGGTGATCATGGGGTTTGCACGCACAGCTTCATGCTTGCTAGACAAGCACTGTGAGCCACATTTTCAGACCAAGTTCTTGATATGGGAAGGTACACTAGGAAACTTTTTTGTTCTTTAAAGATCCAAGAAAATAATACTGGGACTCATCATATTCTTATTGGTTTCCTTAATGGTTTCTTATGATATTATAACATCTTATTCATGATGATGAGTTTGATGAATATGAATAAAAAATTTAAACTATTATCCCTTTTTCTGTTATAAAAAAGAAACCATAGAAACAGTTATGATAGTTGACAGTACATTTTTTTACAGCTGTAGTTTTGTGAACCATTAGGAGACAATGCACAATTATTCATTAGAGATTTTTTTTTTTTTTTTTTGGTACTGGTCTTGGGCCTTAAACTCAGGGTTCCTGAGCTTTTGTGCTCGAGATTAGTACTACCACTTGAGACAGTTCCAGTTCCAGTTTCTAGTGGTTAACTGGAGATAAGAGTCTCATCAACTTCCCCACTTAGTTGATTTTAAACCACAGTCCTTAGATCTCAGCTTCCTGATTAGCTAAGATTACAAACATGAGTCACCAGTGCTCCACGTTATTACAGACTTTAAACATCAGTGTAATACTTTTCAGAATAAGGATCCTTTACATACCAGTAAAGACATTTCTTAAATTGAGCATACTCATTTATAAAGCAGAGTGGTCCTGCAATAAATATTTTTGCAGATTTCAAATTCTTAATCAGTTTTGTTTCTAACATTAGAATTTTTCTAATAAGATTCTATAATTTGGTTTTTTTAAGATGAAGCATTTTATTGACTAGATGAAACATGTTATTCATTTGTTTATATTTGTATCATAGGCTTTTTTTTTTCCTTTTTAGTACTGCAGATGATTCTCTTTAATTATTTTATTATAAATATCTACAGTATCCATCAAGGGTGATATCAAGGCAGATAGAGGAGGCCTAGGTTCTATGTTGTGGCATTTAGATGTTATTGAAATGTAAGTAGGGATTTCATGATAGTTCCTTCTAAAGGAACAGATTACGAAGAACTCACAAAGTTTCTAAAGTCTTAGTTCAGGATTGTTACAAAATTGAGAATGGCTTGTAGTTTCTATTGCTGAGAACCCTTCAGAAAGATACTTTTTCACCTGTGCATTTTTTATTACTTCCATTCTGTCATGCTCAGGCTATTAGAACTAATATCTTTTTATAATTCAAGTGTTAATGTCTAATGGAGTTATGAGGAGCTTTGTGTTAGATCTCAGCAGCATAAGTAGAACCTGGTACCCTATTTCTCAGCAGTTCTTAAACTGCCAGAGATGGTACATTGAAGAATTTTATTTTGGACACTGGACTTTATTATATAGAACACATGATCAACCTGCCTCATTCTCCTGAGTGCTGGGAATACAGGTGTGATCATTTTACCTGGCTATAACACTATTATTTTACTGTATTTCTCGTCACCAAACAATACATTTTAGAATTTTTCAAATTATACAACTCTGCTATATGGCTGGGAGGATCATATTATGCACACAGATATGCCATGGTTGTTGCTAATGTGTTTGTTTGTGTTTTTTCTCACAGCCTATCAAAGCTCCTGAGTCTGTTTCCACCATCATCACTGCAGAATCAATCTTCTACAAGGTAAGCTTCTATGGAGCTTTTTTTTTTTTTTAAATCTCCCAAGCTGTTTTCCCATTTGTGACTGTTGTAAAACATCTTATCAGGAGCTGAGGTGGGCGGAGAAGCTGCCTGTGGAAATATGATCTGAGGGTCCTTAGTATTATTTAACACAGATGATAAGAAGTGTCCTTAAAATGCTACTGTATAGTGTGGAGCCATGAAAGAGTAAGGCATCCCATTCCCATGTGAAGGCATTAAAGGGTGAGGACAGAGGTGGACTGTGTTTGAATGTAGGTGTGGATCATGATGTCTAGTAGGTAGAGCAGAGGATCACAGAGATTCTAAACTATCTGTACATAGAAGTCAGAGAAATAAATGTATTAATGGGAGTTAATACCTACTAGAGGTTAGTGGTGAGAGAGTTCAAGACTTTTTGATAATGATCCCTTGGGACAAAGCCAAAGGACATGTGTTACTTCAGACATCTGCTACTTTAGTGAGAAAGTAGATGTAAATTTTTAAACTGTAAATCTTAGGAAGGGATTATAACAGATACAACCTACAAGTCCTTTGGGAAATAATGGATTTCTTTATGTTATTTTCATGTATATGTATAATATACTTTGAACATATCCTTTGTACCATCACTATGTCCATTGCCCCTCTTCCCTCCTCCTAGTTCTCTTCCCTAAACAGTCCCCCTGTATATTCATTTGAATTTCATTGGTATCTCCTGTAATGTTCCCCTTTCTATCTCTAATTTTATTGATTTAAGTCTTTGCCACTTTGAGTTACTTTAGCTAAAGGGTTACCAATCTTGTTTATCTTTACAAAGAACCAACTCTTTGTTTCACTGATTTTTCCTTTTAGTCTATATTTCATTAATTCCTCTGATCAATACTATTGTTTTCTATCTAATGATTTTGGATTTGGCTTGCTCTTGTTCTTCTAAACCTTGAAGGGCATCTTTAGGTTTTTTTATTTGTTGTGTCTCTAATTTTTAATGTGAGTACTCATAGCTATAAAATTTCCTCTTAGCACGTTCATTGTATTTCAAAGATTCCTGTAAGTTGTATTTTCATTTCTATTCAATTCTAGTAATTAAAAAATTTTTTTCTTCATGATTTTTCAGTGATCTACTGCTCATTCAGAAATATGCTATTCAATCTCCATGTCTTCCTATACTTTCTCATACTCTTTCTTCTTCTTCTTTTTTTTCTTTTTGGGGGATGAGGTGGAAGTCTTTACTGGGGCTTCAACCCAGGCCTCTCTAGCTCTGTGATTTTGTGGCCATTTTCCTGGTTGATTTAGGTATTATTTCTTCCTTAAAAAAAAGGCTGGGAATGTGGCTTAGTGGTAGAGTGCTTGCCTAGCATGCATGAAGCCCTTGGTTTGATTCCTCAGTGCCACATAAAACAGAAAGGCCAGAAATGGTGCTGTGGCTCAAGTGGTAGAGTGCTAGCCTTGAGCACAGAGAGGCTCAGGGACAGAGCCTAGACCCAGAGTTTAAACCCCAGGACTGGCAAAAACAACACCAGCGGGGCACTGATGGCTCACGCCTGTAATTCTAGCTGCTCAGGAGGCTGAGATCTGAGGGTCTCAGTTCAAAGTCAGCCCTGGCAAGAAAGTCTTAAGACTCTTATCTCCAATAAACCACTAGAAAACTGGACATGGTACTGTGGCTCAAGCAGTAGAGTACTAGCCTTGAGCTGAAGAGCGCAAGGACAGCACCCAAGCCCAGAGTTCAAGCCCCATAACCAACAAAAAAAAAACAAAAAAACCCAAAAAATCAAAAATCAAAAAACCACCACCACCAACAAAACCCTTGTTCACTTAAGATTTTGTTGGTTTGCTGAGTATGTTTCTTTTCTAATTCTCATGTGTGTAAATCTATTCCTCTTATGAAACTTATTTCTTCCTGCTCTCTCATTTTTGTGACCATCTTCCTCCTCTGTGTGCAGTATTCCTTTGAGCATTATCTGCGGGTCTGGCTTAGTGGTTATGAATCCCTAGCTTATGTTTAGCCTTTAAGGTTTTCATTTATCTATCAACTTGGAATGACAATTTTGTTGGGTACATTACTCCTGGTTGGCAGTTATTACTTTTACTTTGATGCTTTCATGACTTTAGGGTTTCTATGGAAAAGTCTGAGGTAATTCTGATGTTTGTAAGTAAGTTGGCATTTTTTTTCCTATGGCTTTCAGTATTTATTCTTTGTTCTATACTCTTGGCATTTTAACTATATTGTGGAATGGGGCTATTCTTTTCTGGCCATGGGTATTGGTGTTCCAAATACCCCCTATATTTATATTTCTACATTTTGCTAATATTTGAGAATTTTTCTGCTATCGTTTAATTGGATAGTTATCCTGTGCCTTTTGTTTGCATCTTAGCTTCTTCTTCCATACCATGGATTCTTTTTTCTTTTTTCCTTTTGTTTCAGGTCCTGGGGCTTAAACTTTGGGTCTGAGCACTGTCCCTGAGTTTTCTTTGCTTAAGGCTAGTGTTCTACCACTTGAGCCACAGCACCACTTCTTCTAGCTCTTTGGTGGTTAATTAGAGATGAGAGCTAGCCCAAGCTGGCTTCAAAGTATTATCTTTAGATCTCAGCCTCCTGAGTAACCAGGATTACATGAGCCCTCAGCAGCCAACTTTACAACATGGATTCTATGTTTAGTCTATTAATCATGTTCCAGATGTTCAAGGTTTTCCCATGTTTGTTTATCTCTTTTTCTGTATATCTAACTTTCTTGTCCAGGTCTTGCATTGATTTCCTTACTTCATTTATCTGCTTGCTTCTTCTTTTAGATCACTGAGCACTCTTAAAAGTAAATTTTGCGCTAGGAATTTAATTTCCTCTGGCATTTGGAGAGTGCTGCTTGCTCTAATCCACCGCCTTGGCTTCTCTTAGCAGTTTCATTGTCCAAGATCTCAGTGACCTGTGGGCAGCGGCAATGTGAAAATGTGAAGTTGGCAATTCTAGAAATAATTTATCCATTTTAAATATTGTCATAACCATTCTCTTATTGCTACTAATCACTTACTTTACCTAAATTGTAAACTATCATAAATATACATGCACACAAAGAAACAATATACAGAACTTGGTAGTGACCAAGGTTTCAGATATGTAGTGAGGTTCTTGGAGCCTGTCACTCACAAATAAGGGGAACTATTGTATACAGCACGTACTTATGAATACCTGCTGTGTGCCAGGCATGGCTTGCCATTGAATTCTTTCACTAAGACATTGTCTTTGCATTCCACAGTATGGTATATTTGGGATTAATATTCATTCATCATGTAATTTGAGTGCCTGTAATAAGCAATATAACTTATAATTTGGGCATGATTATACATGTAGACAATCATAAACACAAACTATCTGATAAATAGCTTAAAGCTTTAGAATGGTATCTGGGAGAAAGGACCCACTGCTGATGGATATGAACTAATAAGGAATAGACTGTGGTGGCCTATGCTGACTACCCGTCCATCATGATCCAGATGCCACAGCTACTTCAGACACCTGGGTAAGAGACTCTGAGGACACACTTGGCCTATTAGGTGTTCATGTTACAGTACAGAGACTGGAAATATTTCTTCAGAATCATTTTTATGATTGAAGTATACAACCCAGCAAAGCCCCATCTCATACTGATTCTGCAGGGCGTCTGTGGAGACCTGGGCCTACCTAAGGAATTGCTGAATATTGAAATTATTTATGTCCACTATTATGGATTTTCAGATGTCATATTGTTTTCAGCTTAAGACCCAGGAAATGGATAAATAGAATCATAGGGAGAATTTAATATGGGACTTGTACAGATTATTTAGTTGGATAGGAAATGAATAGGACAAAAATCCTTGAGTATGAGAAATGCCAGTAATCACATTGTGGGAAGATATAAAACTGAATAGGAAGCAGAAGAGACTGGCAGTCTTGAGTCAGGAAAATGTATGGCAAATTGAGAGTAACAAATCTTGATAGTGGTTATAACAAAAAAATTTTGGTCATTTCATTTCACATGAACTTATGGTGTCTATTTTCTTTAGCTGGGTGGTTGGAAGAGGCGTGTATAGAATATATGCCCAACAAGTAAGCACTGGGAAGACCTATGAGCTGGCGTTGGAACGCAGGCTGCACTCTCTGCCTTATGTGGCTTTCAGTACATCCCATAAACTTTGTATAGGATAATGATGCTAGGTAAGAAAAGTGGGATAGCATGGAGCACAGAGGAATTTTAGGCAGTCAGTGAAACTTTTCTATGATGCCATTATGAGGAATCTATGTTATTCTACATTTGCTGAAACCCACAGAATATACACCACCAAGCTTACACCCTAAGGTAAACTATGGGCTTTCAGCCAGTTTTTTGTCAGTGTAGGTTCATCAGTTGTGACCACACTAGTAGTAGCATTGTTGATGGAGGAGGACACACACGTGTTGGGGAGGGGCATTTTGCTATAAACCAAAATGACTCGTAAGAAATGAAGTCAAGATTTTTTTAAATTAGAGACATTATTGTCCTAACACAAAATAAAAGAAGTTACATGAACAAATGTTCATGTTCTGGGTACAAGCTATCATATGTGCATGCAAATCTGCACATTTCATTTAAAAATGAAACAAGGGCAGGGAATGTGGCTTAGTGGCAGAGAGCTTGCCTAGCATGCATGAGGCCCTGGGTTCAGTTCCTTAGTACCACATAACCAAAAATTAAATAAAATTACTGGACCGGGAAGTTGGCTCAGTGGTAGAGTGCTTGCCTCACATGCATGAGGCTTTGGGTTCAATTCTTCAGCACCACATAAGCAGAAAAAGCGGAAGTGGCACCATGGCTCAAGTGGTACAGCACTAGCCTTGAGCTGAAGAGCTCAGGGACAGCGCCCAGGCCCAGAGTTCAGGTCCCACAACTGATAATAAATAAATAAATAAAATAAATTAATTAAAAATAAAACATAAAAATGAAACAAGCATCTGGGAACTGGTGGTTTACTTCTGTAATTCCAGCTACTCAGAAGGCTGAGATCTGAAGGTCACCATTTGAAGCCAAACCAGGCAGGAAAGTCCATGAGACTCTTTATCTTCAAATAACCAGCAAAAGCCAGAAATGGAGCTGTGGCTCAAGTGGCAGAGTGCTAGCCTTGAGCAAAAAAGGAAAAGCTCAGGCCTTGAGTTTAAGTCCCAGGTCTGGCACAAAAGAAAAAGGGAAAAGGAAAGAAAAGAGAGAAGTACAAACATAAACATTAATACCTTAGACCTTATATTGACTACTTTGAAAACTGCTATGTGATTAAAGTAGCTACATTCATAGCTGTGTTGTTGTATTTTTATTTTAAATATGGTATTGTTTCCCCTAGGGAGTATATTACCAAATTGGTGATGTTGTTTCTGTGATTGATGAACAAGATGGAAAGCTCTACTATGCTCAGATCAGGGGTTTTATCCAGGACCAGTATTGCGAGAAGAGCGCAGCACTGACATGGCTCATTCCTACTCTGTCTAGCCCCACAGATCAGTTTGATCCTGCATCTTATATCATAGGTGAGTTTAATAACTGGTGTAGCTTCTTGAACTTAGTTAACTCTTAGATATACGTAAAAGAATACACTAATCTGCTTGGCCCCTCTTCTCTCCTCCCTTCCCCTCCCCTTCCGGGGCTCCTCTTCTACCATTTCTGACCCTAAAATTCTGCAGTGTCTCCCTAGAGGAAGCAGTCCAGCACAGAGAGCAGAGCATAGGGTCTGGAGACAAACTACTGGGTCTTATCAGCTGTAAGACTTGTCACCTCACTGTGCTCATATGCAAAATGGGAATCATAGCTGCCTAGTTGGGGTTTCTGTGAGGATTCGTGACACATATACATCTATTATGTAGAACAGTGCAAGTACAAGCTGTTTAAGTGTTCAATATTTTCAGACCCATTTCTCAGTTGAGTCAAATATGTATATATATGTATATACACACATATGTATATATACATATATATACACCTACACATATATATATATATATATATATATATATATTATTCAAAATTGATTTTAACCTCTCCAATGACTGTCTTCCAGGGCCAGAGGAAGACCTACCGAGGAAGATGGAATACTTGGAATTTGTTTGTCATGCACCTTCTGAGTATTTCAAGTCAAGGTCATCACCATTTCCCACTGTCCCCACCAGACCAGAGAAGGGCTATATATGGACTCATGTTGGACCTACTCCTGCAATAACAATTAAGGAGACAGTTGCCAACCACTTGTAGTTACAACTAAAACTGAGGCTGGAAGCTCAGTAATATATCCCTTACCCAGCATGCATAAGACCCTGGGTTCAAAACAAACAAAAAACCTCAAAACTGTATTTTTCATTTTCTTATATTTATACAATGTGAAAAATACCAGACACTTCCTTCATGAATTTTTTTGGGGGGTTGATCGTGGGGCTTGAATGTGGGGCCCTAGGTTCTGCCTCTGAGCTCTTTTGCTCGAGGCTAGCGCTCTGCCACTTTGAGCCACAGCTCCACTGCCAGTTTTCTAGTGGTTAATTGGAGATAAGAGTCTCACGGACTTTCCTGCCTGGCCTGGCTTTGAACCATGATCCTCAGCTACTGAGTAGCTAGGATTACAGGCATGAGCCACTAGCGCCCAGCTCATGAAATTCTTCTATGGGAAAATAACTAAAAAGTGTGTTCCCAATTACCTAGTAATCGTTAACATTCTACCTGTGGCTTGGAAAATTATAAGGGATAGAGAAGAATGGAATGTATTTGAAGGTGAATGTAAGCATTCTGTATGTGTATCTTCCCAGGCCAAGGTTGCAATTTCTGAGAGACCATTAGGAGTAGGCTCCATTTGTTTTTCTTCATAATTTATTTCTGGAAACTCATAAAATGGATTGTATTTTTATATAATCACAAAATATTAAGTTTTGGATTTCTGATCAAAGGTTTAATCAAATAAAGTGTTGCCATGACCAACAATATTTATCAAAGTCATATAGTTTTTTTTTTCTTTCTCACTATTAAATGTCATGACAAGCTTCTGGCTGCTGTAACCCTAAGGGAAACAACTGGATGATTTTATTAGCCCAGGACTTAAAAAGAATCTTTATCTGATTCTTCTGTAGGCAACAGGCATTCAGACCTATCAGTTGTCTTCAGTGGAGTTGCTCCTGATTGCTCTTGCTTCCCTCTGTGAGATGGGCTTCATCGAGGCCATCCATCCACAGTGCAGACACATCCCACAGTGCAGAGCACAAGTTTTCCCACTGCCATTTCAGTAGCAACTGACAAACATGAAAGTAACTGGTAGGTCATTAGCTTTGACAGCTAAAAATGTCCACCCCAAAGTAAAACCACATACCGTAGACTCCTAATACCATGCTGGGAAAGGGAAGCCAAGTACTGCAGGTGCAGTTTGGGTAGGAAGGGAGAGGGCAAGGCCTTTTCTGACTTAGCCAGCAGATTTCAACCCCAAGAGAAGTTGAGAATCTGATGGGATTATGATTAGTGCTGTAGCATCACAAACACTGAGCCTTTCTCTGTACACGTACACAGTTCTGTACAATTGGAAAGAGGCAATGATAGATCTTTGTTCAATTTTATCTCTCTTTAGAAATGCTAGTGTTTCAGCCCCTTTTTTAATTTTTATTTTCATTTTTGGTGAGTACTTGACTTGAACTCAGGGCCTTGAGTATTATTTATTTTTTTGCTCAAGGCTGGCACTGTTACCATTCAAGCCACAACTTTGCTCCTGGCTTTTTGGAGTACAGATGCAGGTAAGTCTCAATGACTTTCCTACCTGGGCTGGCTTTGAACAGGATCCTCAGATCTCAGCTCCTGAAGGTATAGGATTATAGGCTTGAGCCACCTAATGTTGAAACTTTTTGGATTAAAATGTATTTGTTTATAAATCATTATATACTCTGATTACTCGTGTAGAAGTTGATAGATTCTTGTGTAGTATCACTACACAGTAAAGTTTGAATTTTCATTTTCCTCTAAAACCAATACCAAGAGTTCCTATTGTTTTCATGTTTATCTCTGCTATTGTCTAGGCCTGCCCTCATATTCAAGCCTGCGCTCCCTCATTCCACTGAACTGTTACCCTTTATTTCATTTTTTCCTGGTGCTGAGCTCTTGTCTATACTGTTTCTTCCTACACCACCAAACACCTTTTAAAGGTCTTTTTTTTCCCTCCTGTGCTATAGTTAGAACTTCATATGCTTTCTATCACATCCCCAGCCCAACACCCTTATTTCTGTCTTTAAAGTTTTTGCAGATTCCCATAGCTCTATATCCTCTGGTTGCACTTCAGTTTTGACTTTTATGACCTTCCTTGTGCCGGAGGAGTGTTCCCAAGAAGATGGAGGATGTGTGTTTTATTTACCCACCTTTGTAGTTCTCACAGCACAGGTCCTCACTGGTGGGGAGTCCAAATTAGATTCTGTCAACTAAAATACTGATGGATATTGTGCTAGCTCCTACCAGCTTCAAACTTCCAGTTCTATCATGAATAGTCAAGTGTTTCAATTATTGTTTTAACAAGATTTTAAAAGATCAGTTTTTAAATAGGTTTCTTATATAACAAGAATATGTGAAAATATCCCAAATCATTCTGTTTTTTGACTGTGAAAGACTTATCCAGAACAGAGTTTTCCATCAAGAACTCTTTTTTTTTTTTTTTTTTTTTGGTTGGTTATGGGGCCTGAACTCTGGGCCTGGGCGCTGTCCCTGAGCTCTTCAGCTCAAGGCTAGCACTCTACCACTTGAGCCATGGAGCCACTTCTGGCTTTTTCTGCTCATGTGGTGCTGAGGAATCAAACACAGGGCCTCATGCATGCAAGGCAAGCACTCTACCACTGAGCCACCTTTCCAGTCCCTATCAAGAACTTGAGTCACAATAAGTAGGTGAAATCATATGAACAGTGAAGAGAAAGTTATTTTTATAATGAATGTATGCTTTTTCCTGTGTGAACATGCAATATACATGTTTGGAATGAAGTTGCTCTCATGGACCAGTAAAGGGAAAGGCATGTTTGTGGCTCCCTTAGACATGTTTTAAAAACTCTCATTTCATACCAGGTATATGAGCCATATCTTTTGTCTTTTCGTGCTGGTCCTAGTGCTAAAATTCGGCCTGAGCATTAGAGCTATCAGTGGCTCCCCTAGTTTTTTTACTCAAGGCTAGTACTCTACTATTGAGCCATACTTCCACATTTAGCTTTTTGGTGGTTACTGGTGTTGTCTCATAGATTTTTTTCCTGCCCAAAATAGCTTTGAACTGTGATCTTCAGATCTCAGCTTCCTGAGTGGCTAGGATTAGTCTAAGACTCCTTTTTTAATGCGGTTGTGTTGATGTCCAATGTTACCAAATAGGCCTTATGTATCCTGGTGTCATGGATTATAAACATCTACGGAAAGGCTGCAAGGACACAGCAAATTGGCAGATCTGCTAAAGCTGAAATTACTTTGGACTAGAGATTCAAACTGTGGCCTCACTCATTCTAGGCAAGTGCTATACCTCTTAAAACATGGCCCTAGCCGTATATCCTTATTCTATAACCAAAGCCTGCCTTGGGGACTTACCTACACTCATGGTTCAGAAATATGTCATATTGGGGCTGGGAAGGTGGCTCAGTGGTAGAGCGTTTGCCTTGCATGCCTGAGGCCCAGGGTTCGATTTCTCAGCACCACATAATGCAAAAAGAAAAAACCGGGAAGTGGCACTGTGGCAAGTGGTAGAGCACTAGCCTTGAGCTGAAGAGCTGAGGGACAGCGCCCAGGCCCAGAGTTCAGGCCCCACTACCGGAACCCCCCCCCCAAAAAAAGAAATATGTCATATTGATACACCTGGTGCAATGGAGATCATGTAGCTCACACCCACTTTCCCAGGGCATAGTAAGGCAAGGTATTGGAACAGATGTGAAATTAGCTAATCCATGGAATGAGCAACAGCGGATGCAAGAGGGAAATGTTGCAGTAGAAATCTGCTTATTTCTGCTGGAGTCAGGTTAACTATGGAGAAGCAGAGTTCATGTAGTAGCAATGTGGCAGGCCAGATGGACATGATTATCACAGGTGGCAGCAAGGACAAAATGTTAATTACAGCAGTTATCAAACTGCAGGGAGCTTTGGTGCCACCTAGTTGCTGTGTCTTTAAGACTAAAATATTTGAGCAAAGATCTTAATAAGTTTTAAAAAATCTCCAATCAGGGGCTGGGAAGGTGGCTCAGTGATAGAGTGCTTGCTTTGCATGCCTGAGGCCCTGGGTTCGATTCCTCAGCACCACATAAGCAAAAAGAAAAAAGCCGGAAGTGGCGCTGTGGCTCAAGTGGTAGAGCACTAGCCTTGAGCTGAAGAGCTGAGGGACAGCGCCCAGGCCCAGAGTTCAGGCCCCACGCCCGGACCCCCCACCCCCCAAAAAAAAATCTCCAACCAGCAAACCAGTTCTGATGTGAGTTATTATAATACCGGCATGGTCTTAGCCAAGAATGAACAAGTCAAGTGTTTAGGGAAGTGGTCTTATAATAACATCATAGGCTCTTGCTATGAATGTTTTCCAAAGAATCCAAGCACATTCACCAAGCCATTTCCCAGATACCCTGAAAAGTGACCAGGCATTATGGGGATTGTCAGAGAACCAGAACTTCACCATGACATATCAACCAGAGTGACTATATTACCAATTCCTTCTAAATGAAGGAAAAGCCTCAACAAGTAGAGACAAGAAATTGTGCAAAAGAGTATTTTTTTTTCTGTTTTTGAGACAAGATTTCACTATGTAGCCCAAGTTGGCTTCAAACTCTCAATCCTCCTGCCTCAGCCTCCCAATGTTGATTGTAGAAGCATATCCCACCATATATAGAGTTCAGAATTTAGAAATTTCTGATATTGTACAGAAATATAAAGAACTGTACATATTGCTAGGTAATCAGCTACATAAGAGACAGGCAGGAAGATCTTGAGTTTGAGACCAGCCTGGGCAAAGTTATCAAGGATCCGTCTCAAAAACAAAAATACATATCAAAATGGCTTAGGGTGTGGTTCAAGTGGTAGAGCTCTTATGTAAAATGTATATGGTGCTAGACTCAACCCCTAGTGCTACAAAAAGTACGTATTAATGGGATAATCGATGTTTGATACTTGCAGTCATTGTGTAATGTATAAATCAGGATAGGCCCATCTATCTTTCTTTATGGTCTAAATTTTCAAATCCTTTCCTCTAGCTTTTGAAAACACATAGTACATTACAGTCATCCTCTAGTACTCTCATGACGCAAAACTTTCAAGCAACCTGTCTCCTCAATTTTGTCAGAAAAGATGGATGTCTGGTTATCAGCTAACACCAGATTATCATTAATTTGGAAACACTGCAACTAGCCATGAGGTTTGGGGGAAAGGTATAGTTACAGTTAAAACAAGAAGGCTTACTATTTGTTCCAACAGGAATTGTTCCAGGCCACCCTACTTAAGAAAGATCTCTAATCC